TTTCTGGAACGGAGGAATACAAAAAAAAAAAAAAACCTAAATAACTTTGAGAGATATTAAAAAGTAAGGTGAGAAGATATTAAGTTTTACATTGGTCAAATTATTAACCAAAATATTAGAATTTATTTTACAAACTTTTAATTGCATTAATCAAAGTCAAGAAAAAAAAAAAAAAAAGATGAACTATCTTTTTGGACGGAGGAAGTAAAAAAAAAAAAAAACCTAATAACTTTGAGAGATATTAAAAAGTAAGTGAGAAGATATAAGTTTACATTGTCAAAATCTATTAACAAAATATTAGAATTTAATTACACTTTTAATTGCATTAAATCAAAGTCAAGTCTTATTATATTTTTTTTAACAGAAGTATTATTATATCTGACTATCAATATATTTCTAAATTCTCTTTTTTCTTTTTCTATAGTCATCAAACCTTAATTTTAGTTTAGAATTTTCGTTGTTGTTGGGAATAGCCTCTAATGTCTACTCTGTTTTTCGCTTTTAATCTATTCTTCATCTTTAATAAATTCAAATCTGCTTTTTTTATTACAAATTTATTTTTTTTATTTTTATTTATTTTGTCTACATATTTAAAGTTTTTTTTATCCATTTTTTTGTGAGGGTTTTGATTCTCTTCTTTGTGAGGGTTTATTACCAAATAAGAATATAGTATTTGATTTTACTTGTTAGAGAATTTAGATCTTGATTTGTAAATATAGATTTTCGATTAACAGAACCTGATAATAAAGGTTTGTTCCTATATTGGTGCATGGTTCCGGAGACTCGTCTGTATATATTATATGATGCAAGTTCTTGGAAATTCAATGCAGGTATAAAAAAATCAATATTTTTCAATCATTTTCTTAATCATTGTGAAAAGAGCAAATATTGCTATTAAAGTCGAATGGAAGGAATAATAAATTCTAAAAAATATGATTTTTTTTTTTTGGGAGAGAAGAGATGAAATAAAATTATTAACTCAAGGAAAAATACAACGAGCATGGGAAATATAAAATCCAAATCCGAAAACGAGCATGATGGCAGAACACTCAAGCAAGGAGTGAGCGCCTCCAATAACTTGGCTCTAAATCACACTCAAGCAAGGAGTGAGCGCCTCCAATAACTTGGCTCTAAATCCAAATAACATTAACATCACTCATAGAATCTATAAGTGACTTACAATCCGAAATAATGATCCCTAAAGGAGAATTATCAACGGTACTAGATTTTAAAGCATAAAAAACTGCTTGAGGATCAATGTAAATAAAGCCTCTGCCAAGCCAATTATCACGAACGTAAATGAGGCAAGACTGTATAGCAACAACCTCAACAATAGCAGGATCACCACCACCATCATAATAACCAGAAACTGCCTCATCCCTTCAAACGTAATGCCAAAACCTGCAAGCCCCATATATGTGAAAATCGCACCCAACACAAGAGTGCTAAACGTTGGAATTATGAATTAAAATAGTTTGATGATGTGTTGAATAAATTGTGCCATGGCCATTTGGAGTCCTTTGTACGTAAACTTTAGCTACATTCCATTCTTGCATGAACCTGCATGTATTAACATGCACTTGATAAGGCGAAAGAAGTCTCTGATTCCGTAAGAAAGAGTTGCCTTGTTGCCAAATATTTCACCCAAGCATAGCGAAACATGTTAAATTTCTCAGTATTGGAAGAACTCGAAATCTACAGAAATAAATCTATAAAAGCAGTGTTAGCTAGGAACTCTCCAAACCCACCATAACTCCACACTTCTCTATCCCTACCACAACCTATCAGCACATGATTAAGATCCACCAACTCCCATTAAAAAAGGCAGCACTCATCAATATTGACACCCTTCAACCGAACTCTCTCTTTAGTAGGAAGGAGATTCCTCAGACTATGCCAAATAAAGTCTTTTACCTTCGGTGGCACATCCAACTTCCAAACTCTTCCCCAAAAATCACCCTCCACGCTACCACCCTAATTATCCAAAGTTACAGCATACGCGTTTTTCATTGTATTACAATCTCCTCCTATCGAGATGACAAATACGCTGGTCAGCTCTTTTCACAACATTAAAGGGTATTTCGGGAATTGCACTAACATCCCTACTATTAAAACAAGAAAGAAGCTTCTCAACATCCCATTGCGTACCATCCTCCCTAAACAAATCCTTAACTCGTAAAGTAGGCTCTACAACACCCAACCCATCCTCTACCCAAAAAGAATAATCTCTGGGAAGCCACGAATCTCAAAGCACGAGAATACTCTCACCATTCTATGCTTTCCAAACAAAACTAGGATTTCTTCCTAGAGGTGCATAAAAAAAATCCCCATTCAGATAATATTTTGCCTTAAATAATTTATAAAAAAGAGTGCTAGGTGCCGCAATTAAACGCCACCCTTATTTCTCTAACATGGCCGCATTAAAATAATGAAGGTTCCTAACCCATAATACCAACCCTCTTACTATTACACATTCTATCCCAAGTGAGCCAATGAAACCCTCTACCACCATCTTTCTTTATACCCCACCAAAATCTATTTATACACTTTTGGAGATCATCACAAACTCCGACAGGCAAAAGAAAAATGCTCTAGTTTGAGCCACAGCTTTCAACAACACTTCCCTACCTGCTCTAGAAAGAAAACAATTCGACCATCCATTTAGCCTACTCCACAACTTATCCTTAAGAAAATTAAACGTCATTCCTGTTTCCCTAACATGGTCACACAAACAATGAAGGTCCCTAACCCATACCACTAACCCCCTTACTGCTACACATCTTATCCCAAGAGAGCCAATGAACCCCTCTATCACCATATTTCTTCATGCTATACCAAAATCTATTCATAAACTTTTGAAGATCATCACAAACTCTCATAGGCAAAAGAAAAATGCTCGTATAACAAGTAGGGATAGCTTGAACCACAACTTTCAACAACACTTTCCTACCTACTCTAGAAAGAAAATTATTCCACCATTCATTTAGCCTACTGCACAACCTATCCTTAAGAAAAATAAAAGCATGTTTCTTATTCAGCCCAATGATAGAAGGAAGACCTAAACACCACCCTCCAAAGAATTATGCACGTGAAAAACATGAGAAATAGAAGACTTGATTAATTTAAGTGGACCTCCATATTTTAATTTTTTTGTATGAGTGTTTTTTTTTATTTGTAATTCTAATAAGATAAACAAATAATTTTTTTCCATACCTTGTGAAACTTTTTATGTGGATGGAAATCTATAAAATGTGAAGTTAAAAGATATACGTACAAATAGAATCCTGTGGAAAATCGTATTTAGCAAGAATCAGTGTATTCGGCTCACAAATGTTATTAACTTTTAATATTCCAACTAAAGATAATTTAGTAGAAAATTTAAAAATCATAATCAATTTTATTTAATTTTAGCTTTTAAGTAAACTTGGAACCACATTGAATTAATAATTCAGTTACCATACTCATGGCATTATTGTCCATGTGCATATATGTGTATATATATCGTACTATTCTCTATATCTATCTTGTCAATAATTTATAATAATAATAATAATAATAATAATTATTATTATTATTATTATTATTATGAGTTTTCAAAAAAAATTATTATTATGATAATAAAATTAATTCACATGAATATTGGAATAGAGAGAATAATTGAGACTAATATTTAAACTTAATTATAAACCATAATATTAAAACAAAGAATAAAATTTTAACTCAATGAGAAAGAAAAATATTTTAACTCAATATTGATATTTAAACCCAATTAGCAGAAAATATACTAATCATTTTTCTGAAGTATACTAATCAAAATTAAACCCTCTAACTATTATTTTATTTGTCATTATTATTAAAAAAAATTATATGTCACTAGCATTAACTATTAGCAAATATATGCGGGATCTAAACGGATAAAAAAATTTTTGAAACCTAATCTTTTAAGAATTATGTCATAATAATACATTACTAAAAATACTCAAGAATTTTTCTAAGTGAGTTAATATTTTTTTTAATATTAAAATTTGTAATTGAGTTGTTTTTTAATTAACATTCAGATTTCTAATTGCATTTAAATACTCATAATTGAATTAAAAATATTTGTGGTTTTTTAATTTACAAAAAATATTAGGATTACTAATTGAGTTCAAAATTCTTTATTGAATTAAAATTTACATAATAGTAAATTTCAGAGGATGTTTTTATGTTATTTGCAAAAATATTAAGATGCTCTAGTCGATTTTTTTTTTTAATTTTAAAATTCTTAATTGAGTTCAAATTATTTCTTATTATAACTTAAATCGCCAATATTAGGTATTAGCATATATACCCAATTTAAAACAATAAAAAAATTTTGAAACCTAATCCTTTAGTAATAAATTTTTTTTATTTAATAATTTGGCCCATCCTCATTGGTAGGTTATGGTTTTTTATTTTGATATTCTTTGTTAATTTTGCTAATAATGTTGTTTATATTATTAAAAACTTAATATTTTTACATGATGTTTTTGGGATAAATTAGATGGTGCAGTACTTAGTTTTTTTTTTTACTAAAAGAATAAATATTTGAACTCAATTTAGAAATATAAATTAGGAATTTATTATTATGACAATAAAAAGAATATTTAAACTCATTTAAAAATTTTAAAATATTTGTTATTAAAAATTAAAAAAGGAGGTTTAATTAAGGAGGCTATGGACATTATCAAAGGCTTACGCAGTTAAAGAAAGTAATGTTTATCTCTGATAATAAATCGTAAAAAAAAAAAAAAAAAAATCTATGAACTATATATACAAAAATTATAAACATACTATGCTTTGTTTACGCTTTTGCTGTATTTGGGTTGGGCCCAAATTTTTGGCGTACGAAACTCTTGTTCTGCTAGGCCCTTTTCATGCAATGACATTGTTGTTCAAGCAAGACGGACAATAAAAGTAGCAAGAAATGGAAGAACGACAGCTTGATTAGGCTAATTTATTCCATCAAACAAGAATAAAAATAAGGCAATAAAAGTTCAGATAACACAACCAACGTTAATATTCAAAATAAAAACAACAAAACTACTAACAATAAAATTAATTTCATTCTGAAGGTATCCCTCTTAATCCATAAAAGATGAACATAATATACATAAAAGGAAGTACAAGAAGAAATCTTTGAACATGAGATAGCCGCAACTCTTTCACTGATTAAAGCAGAGTGAACTCCCAAACATGGCTGATACAGAAACAGAAATCCTCCTTTACTTATTGAGCTGCCAAATCCGGAAAAAGGGACAACTAAAAAAAGATAGTTCCTATAACTTCAACCATTCCAAGCAAGGACATAGTCCCCAGCAAAACCTAGAAGGATAATAGTCCTTAAGGTACACCTCCCTGCTTAAACCAATTATATAGAAACTAAAAGAACGATTGCGATGAACCATGGTGATGCGTGTCACTGGCACCACAGAGATTGTATGCCTCTCGCATATAACCCTGGCAGTGGGAGATACGGAGGGCCTCTCTGCAATTACTTCAGAAGAAAACTTATTAAGGAAGAATGAGTCAGCAAAAAAGGCTGGAGTACATTGATATGCTTGTGTGTTGCACAACTGAACCCCTTTGGCTCTATGAAAAACCTCATCTGGAACTGAAGCTGCTCCACTTCTTGCACTAACTTTTCGAGTTGACAGTGTCTTCCTGTGAACAGAAAAATTTATGTTCATTATAACTTTAGTGATTTAGACCAGCTGCAAACTAACATAAACCAACACTTCACATGCTAGTAGACAGGCTACAGTAACAAAACCTCTGTATGTCTGTCATGGTGATGTTAAAGAAACCCTTCATTTCCTGAACTTGGAAACTCATAATCTAGTCACCACTAGCATTTACATTTGGAATTTTACTCACAGAATCCTAAAGATCCACGACAATTTTCAAACTTCTAGGGGATCCAGCCATTTAGATGATTTTGGGGTGGGTGATCTAATAAAGACAGCATTAGTTTATAATTAATCATCAGTGAGATAAAGAAGGCGATGTTTTTTTGACATTCATTGCCATTCCCTTCAGACCACATCAACATCAAAATACCAGGCATGGTAAACATAAGCTCTAATAAAAAACAAGCAATACTTAAATGAAAGGATATGCCAACACATTTGACACACAACTATGTTGCAAAGATATTATGCATACCATCTAACGATAGCAACACTGCACGTCAAAAGCGAGCCACTTCCACTGCATTTCTCACATTTTATCAGTCCACGAGAACCACAAGTTCCACAAGGAATCTTTCCCTTGCCAGAACAATTTGTACATCTGCATTTAGGAAAAATATTGTGAAGAATAAACCATTTTAAACAAGAGAGATCATCAGAAATGTAAATGTAATAACAGCTAATTAGTTCAGATGCCAATAGTGGAGGCAGCTATATGACTTGAGTAAGAACTGTTACATGGAATTCCAGTTGGTAATACTTTAACTCTAATTATATGGACCATCTTTAGAAGTCAGTGATGTAAAATAGAAGTATTAAAACTTTGAATAAATGACCCACAGTTTGGCACTTGAACTGGATAACTGTGTAGTTAAAGTCTCAACTTCATAGAAAACAAGCCAACATAAAACAACATACATTGTGTCAGATCCATCTCTATGAGCAATCAAACCCCTTCCATAGCAGGCAGAGCATTGAAACATCTGATTCTCCTTATAAAATCCAGGCTCTTGATTGGCATTGCATGTTGGACAGACAATAACTCCCCGGCCTTCACAATCTGCATAACATGTCCAAGGTTGTGTCAGAAATAAATTAACGAAATATGCCATTGAAATATGGACAACATGAATTAAAGATTATGTCAATTGTTAAACAGAAATAAAGCTATGAAGACAGGACAAAAACGACATAACCAGTAAATCAAGACAAATTCAATTGATCTTCTTCCAACATTAATTACCCTATTAGAATTATTCAAGTGTTATTACCTGTGCATTTCTCAATAAATTCAGAATGTGGAATCTTATTCCGTGTTTCTTTCTGAGGTACAAAGAGAACAGGAAATTGAGATCTTAGATCCAATTCCCATACACCAAGTTCAGGCCCCTTATCTTTTCCATCAATATTGCCACCGAAATAAGGCTTTGTTTCTCTTATAATTTCTCTTTCCTCCACAAACGTGTCAAGAGTTCCCACATATACATTGCAGTCTTCCACTGTATGAATCTTCCAAGTCCGAGCTGGACGACTTCCCCAACAACAACGATGACCAACATGATCAATGAGCAACTCCCGTATCTCAACCTCATCCAATATTTGCCTACATGCAGATTATTCATTTGATGACAATGTTGCTAATCTAATTTCACCACTCACCAAGTTAAACTTAGATGAATACAATGACAAATTGCCACCAGAAAAAGCAAACACTCACGGAGACACATACACATATACACACAAGTAAACTGATGCACAATAATCGCCTCCCAAAACAAGAGATTGTAGGAAAATACATGAGCAAAATTTCTCAAAAAGTCAAATCCCCAAAAGAAAGTAGAAGGGTTGAAGCAAAAGTTTTCCTAATTTAGCATTGCTGTATGATAAACCCCCTCATTTGTTTCCCAGATATCCAAAAGTATGATACACATAATCCTAATAATAATATGACAAAGACTTAGAGAAAAACTATTTCATCCAAATGGATTAATTTATGGCAGCTTCTATTTCCCTTTAAACCTTTGCGTTTCTGCATCACAAGCATTTCTGTCTCACACATCTTGTCTCTTCTGGTTTAAGCACCTTACTATCCGTAGTTCAAATTATAGAGACAATGACTCACACACAGCGTGCTCTTATTGCTGGAACTTTCTACGTATCACAATCAGTCTACTAAAAAAAGAAGAAAGGGGAAAAAAAAAAAAGAAAAGAAAACTTTGAAATAAAACACTTGCAGACTGGCGGTAAAAAAAAAAAAAAAAAAAAAAAAAAAAAAGAAAAAAAAAAGAAAAAGAAAACTTTGAATAAAACACTTGCAACTGGCGGTAAAAAAAAAAAAAAAAAAAAAAAAAAAAAAAAAAATTTCAGAAGCTTTATGGTGCCATAGGTCTAGTGTCCCAGTCAACTAAGCAAACAGAAGTCAGTCCGTAAATATGCTCAACATTATCCGATTAAGGTGAAATTAAACTAAAAGAAGCTTAACCCCTCGAAAGCCAGTGGTTTGTGCCACCATAGTCTCCTCCAAATCCAAAAAAAAAAAAAAAAAAAAAAAAAAAAAAATTTCAGAAGCTTTATGGTGCAAGGTCTAGTGTCACCAGTCAACTAAGCAACAGAGTCAGTCCGTATAAAGCTCAACATTATCGATTAAGGTGAAATTACTAGACTTACCCTCGAAAGCCAGTGGTTGTGCCACCATAGTCTCCTCCATATCCACCAGGACCACCACCTTGATAAACAATCGCTTGCTCTGAAAAAAGTGGCTTCCAATTAACATCGACTAAACATAGTGGAAAGAACAAAAAACAAATATTTTGGGGACAATCATATTTGACCAAATTACAGCGATTGAAATTGAAAAATGCATAGCTCAATAAAAAAGAAATTGAAAAATGCATAAACAACAAACGCAATGTATCTTGAAGAATTTATACCATTAGGATCAGGCTCGGGCGAACTGATCAAGGCAGCATGCAAGGAAGGAGGGTAGTGATCAGAAGCCGCGGCGGACCGAATTTCTTCGACGCTGAGTTCGGTTCCCGCCAACGACGAGGTGGGAATTACCGTCCCAGTCCGGCCTACGTACTGATAAGAACTCCATCTCTCGCTTTCTTTCTCTCCCAAATTACTCGTCTTCTCTATTAATCAATCAATCATATAAAATCATTACCGGAACAAACAGATACAGCAGTTACTATTAGGATTTAGAGACAGAGACTGCACCTGAAAGGAGAGGCTCCTCCATTTTTTATCTGATGAACTGATATTCGAAAATGAACACTATAAATAAATAGCTAATTTTCTTTTCAAAAAAAAAAAAAAAGCTAATTTCAATTTTTTTCTTCGCCGGTAAGGAACAACAATACAAAAATCCATGTCAATACAGCCACCAGATCAGCCCTACCACCCGGGTCGGGCCCACACGTTTAAACGGATTTTAATAATATCTTACAGTTTCCTTCCTCTCTTCGCTCCGATAGGTCAGTGAAAAATCGGCAAACCGAAATCTCAACGCGGAACCGACCCACAAGTCAACTTAGTAATTGGGCCTAAATATTGTTACAGGGCCATATATTTGATGGGCCAGTTTGGGACCAATAAGTTTGCTTCTCTACTTGAATTAATTAGAGAAGGTCCACTTCGGCCTAATGAACGCCCTATAGCGAAATAAATATTGGCAAACGTACGATCAATCGTACCATATATTTACTTCAAGTTATATATACGCGCCGTTCAATTGCATTTTTCAGTGCTCTTAGGGTTTTCGTCCACTGCATACCAGAGAAACAGAACCGAAAATGGTGAAGAGCCGGGAAGGAGAGAACGTCAGGTTCTGAATTAAACTCTACCCTCCTTTTTCTTTTTATTTTATTTTTAGCTAATTTTTTCTGTTATGTCGTTTTCAAGCTCTTCTCAATTGCGTTTTATTTTGTCTCGCAGACTCTATATTCGGGGAACTATTCTCGGGTACAAGAGGTAAAGATGATTTCTTTCATTACTGGCAATGAGATTTTGCTCGAAGGAGTTTCTGGTTTTTGATTTACTTGTTTGTGTTTGGATATTAGGTCGAAGTCGAACCAGTACCCAAATACGTCTCTGATACAGATCGAGGGAGTGAACACCAAGGAAGAGGTCGGGTGGTACAATGGTAAGCGTTTGGCATATATATACAAGGCCAAGGTGAAGAAGAATGGTACCCACTATCGTTGCATTTGGGGCAAAGTTACTAGGCCTCATGGTAACAGTGGTGTTGTTCGTGCTAAGTTCAGAAAGAACCTTCCGCCTAGATCTATGGTAAAGGAATTTGCTATTTCTGTTCTATCAATTTTTTAATAGATTTGATAAATTTTATTCATTTTGTTATTTTATATAACAGGGTGATAGGGTTAGAGTCTTCATGTATCCCAGCAACATTTAAGGTATTATATTTATTGGGTTAATTTTTCTTCTACTTGTATGTTTCAAACTGCACTATGTTTGTTACCTATTGTTTTTGCAATTAATAATGGTTTGTATTTTCATTTGCCAAGTGGATTATCACTTTTGAGCTCAAATAATCTATTGTTATTATATTTTGCATTTGCAGTTTTTATTATAGATTGGAATTAAGTATCTTACAATTTCTTGCTTAGATTTATTGTTGAACATCTGTTATGGTATTAGATTGTGAAAAAGCTGCCTTTTGGTTCTCAATTGCCATTATCTGCCAATAACTGTATATTTATAATGAAGGATTTTGTCGTTAACCATCTGAGTTTTCAGTTCTGTAGGTATTCATTAGTTAAAATTTAAAAATGTTGTGAACCTATTGGAAGGGAAAAGTATGAATTATGCTCCTTTAAATTAAAAAATCAAGGCATTGGGAAAACACAGACAGGAAAGATTGTATCAATTGTTTGTTGTGTTGATTAATTAGATGCCTGTTGGTCCTGAGAATTATTTATTAATGGGTTGTATTAAGTTCAACCTTCTTGTTTCTTTTTAAGCGTATTGACATACCTTTCTTGTTTCATCTTCTCTGATTATTATTATTATTATTTTGTTGCAGAGATATGTGGAGTACTTGAATTTGGATCATGTACTAAAGGATGAGCTTTTAGGTTTTGTACTCGAGAAGCAATACTAGCTAGCTAATTTGTCTTTTTACCTTGTTTAATTTGTTTGGGTTTTGAAACATATGTGACGATGTTCATTGTTTGTCTCTGAGTTGAGATCCAGTTTTTGGGCGTAGAAATTAAATTTCAAATTCATAAAGCTGAGAATTTGCAGCAATTGCACAAAGCATTCCAGAATGGGATTTTATTAAGATTGTCAACCCTTAACTCTCCTGATTTTATGCGTGTTGAGAATACACCCTTCAACCTGAGTAATCTTTTTGAGTCTTTTTCATTATCTACATCGGAATCGGTGCTATCCAAATCAAGCAAAAATTTGCCTCTAATAGGAAATGCCTCATTTTAAGGACTGTTAAATTTTGACAAGGTTTGCTGGTGGGTTAACAAATTGTAAATGTCTACAAAATATGCTTAATGGATATGTCATATATTATGAGAAATGCTCCTAAAGGGTAAACCAAATAAATGAATATGTCAATGGGCATTTTGTCTATTTATATTTTTGGTGCAGAACTTCAAATCGGCTAAATGGCTCTGTTTGCCCGCCAAAATTAGCTCTAGTAGTACCTGGTTAATTGTCTTACCAGCACTTTCGAACTATACTTGATCTGGAATCATATGGGGCTCACATATGAACATATCAAAATTCAAATGGCGCTGCTTTTCATAGAAGAAAAGTCCCAAACATGGTTCTCTCTCGATCTCAGCGTCTCCCTCTTCTGTGACCGTGCCTGATTAGGTTGCTGTATCTGGCTCGATCAAATCTACCACAATCAAAACAATGTGAATTTTGCGTCTCTCTATGAATTACGTGTTGTGGGCTCATGCAATACAATTAATCGATTCAGAAAGCCATTATCCCCTCCTTTCCAAAATCAATGAGCAATCTGACATTTCAAGACTTCTATTTTCTGTTCAAACCAATGGCTAGTTATCCTCATTTTGTTAAATCTGGAATATAACGGCAAGTTCTTAAGAAGGTTGTTCAAGCTGCTGGAGAAGGCAAAGATGGATGAAGGTTAAGCTACTATAAAATAGTTATCCGTTGGATGCTTTTAATTGAGTTTGCGTTAATTGGCTCAACAGGAAATAGGTTTTTAATCCTAATACTAACTCTAGTTAGAAGTAGGGATGCAAATAACCTCAAACTTGCATTAGGGTTAGGTTATCAAGAAATAAATTGAAAATAGAATGCAATGGCAACAAGGCGGAAAATTTTGAGATACGTTTGTTTATTAAGCCCAGTTATAATATGGTAAGGCAGTTATAGTAAGTGACCGTAAAAAGCAAACTAACAATTTGAAGCTAACTAACAAATGGTTCAATGGCATAGTTCCTATCATTTTCTTTACATGAATCCAAGTTGTAGTACACAGTTGTAAGAATTCTGTCTTCACATGAAAAAGTCTAGCATATATATAACTATCTATTACTTGCAACTATTTCTTCCCGTAATCTTTGCAGGATATTACAAATTCAGTAGTCTTGGATGGGAAATCCCCTAGTAAAGCCTACTTGCTTTTAGAACTCTCACTTCCTACTTCCGCATGTCCACCTTCTCTAGATGCCAACAGCAATATGTGCTCGTCAAACACTGTTTTAGGGACAGGAAGAAAGAAATCTTAGAGAAGATGTCAAGTATCAAAACTTGATGACTCTTGATAATACTAACTTTCAAATCCACAGCACACATACATGATCACGTTGTATTTATCTTTAATATGGAATAGTAGATCAAAATTGTCACTCACATATTTAAGCAAAAATGTTGCGGCATCAGGTAAGTATTATCATGCTATTACTAATATTACAAAGTAGAAGATACAAGAAATGAAATAGAGGAGATAGAAAGAATGAAAACCTGACCTATAAATGGCATGACCCTCAAAGCTCAGTCTTAACCTTCATGTCTCCATTGGGTAATGAACTCTGTGCCTGAGCAAGACGTTTTGATTCCTGTACATGCAACGACCTTCAAATTTATGATAATGGTCTTCTCAAGCATTAAACTTTTTTTTTTTTTTTCTTTGTAGTGCTGAACTGCTAAATCACTAACTTGACTGACTCTTAAAGTGCATATTTGTGCCAATGCTTAACTTACAAATGTCTTTATCATTAGCATGACAAAAGATATCTGCTAAAAGAACACCAAAAATACTACTAGTTATAGCCTCCGCTAACAGATTTAATTTCTACATTAAAAACTGACCAATTAATCAAATTAAGCTCTCATGCAATGGATTATGCTGAAGGAAAAAAAAAAAAAAGAGGGGAAGCCTGCCTCACAAGTGTTCAGCATTTTAACATACAGATACTAAAAATGGCAAGAAAGCGCAATGTACTAACCATCTTGGAAACAGACAAGTGATAAGAAGCTTCAGACCTCAAAAAGGGTAAAAGTTTGAAGTCAGAAATACAGACAACAATATGCGCTAAAGCAGCTTTGATAATTAAGTGTATCACACTTATGGATTTGTATTATTACCATCATTCTTGTCAGTCACCTAATTCTAAAATAATTTACTCCTCTCTTTATGTTTGCAACTTCAAATCTAAAGTGAAGACGATATTCTAATAAAGTTCAGAGCTCAGTTTCATTCCACAAGTTGGCTCACAGATTATCCACACAAAGGCCAGGCAAAAGAGAGGTTCCCATTATATATATATATTATATTAATCACAAGAATGTGGATGACAGCATAAAGGATGCTTAGTTACAGTAAGACAAATATCAGTGAAAACTTGAATTTGCAATATTCATGAATGACCAAATTCCACTAAGACCCATTCAAAATTCAGTATATAAGAACTTACAGCAGCAGAAATTGTGCGTATCTCCCTATATGATTCAACTTCATCTGGAAAAGCCTGCTCAAGTTCCTCCAGCAGATGCTTCCTTAAACTCTGGAACATCAAGCAGTGCATGATGAATTTCAAAAGCAGTTAAGGTGAACTAAGACAGCTAGATACCTAGGTGAATGTCTTACAAAAAAGTTATAGAGAGAAACTAGCATATAGTATGAGGGAGCAAAGAGTACCTTGAACGCATCAGTTTTACCCTTGGTAACTTGATTCTTGGCAATGCAGCTGTTTATAACATTGCGTGTGAATTCATCTGGATTCTCCCCTTCATCAATCAAACTAATCATGTAGCAAATTAACTTGCTATCAGATCCGAAATAAAACAATCTTGAACTGAATGGCATAAAAGAACAGAACATGAAATAAACTCACTTGAGGACCTCCATAGGAACTTGAATGTCACATTTCTCAGACAATTTAACCATATTGTCTAGCTCCACAACAAGACCATTGCTACAAAATCAAACCCTGGTGTCAGACACTTCTAGCACCACAATAAATTCCTACCAAATAGACATATATAAAGAACAAACATATTGTTAAGAAATAAAAGGTATGAAAGTTACAGGCGTTGAAGGAGAGGGAGTTGGGAGGCAGTGTTGAAGGAAGAGACAGTTAAGTAAAGCTGGTGGAGGAGGCCAAGAGTCTTCTGGATGGAATTAATGACCTGGTTCAGATTTTGCTTCGGATCATCCACTGCTGTTGCTGCTGCCATATCATTTACTTGAGCAGGCAACATGCCATTGCCACCAGTCCCAACTGCTGCGTTCTGTGATGAATCCATCTTCAAAATTAAGTCTAAACAACAAAAATAAGACTGGAGTAAACAAATAGATGATTCAGCAACTTCTACAAAATTGATATAGACCAACAGGTTTCAGAAACATATTTAATAGGAAGCAATAGTTATTCATCATGACAAAAGTTATTGGATTTATATAATGAAGTTCACAGGCCACAAATTCTAATGTCCATGAAAAAGACTTAAAAGCCAAGCTTCAGCGAAATAGTATCATGTACTAATATATTTAACATACCAAAATGAAATCTATTGTACATGGATCAAAAAAACATATGAATAGGCATAACAGAAATATTATAAAGTAAGCCATGCAGAGCAGACGAAACTAAATGAAGAACTTTACATTTGTATTAGGTGTGATCCAGCCTCAAGTAAACTTTCCGGTCAAAGTATCACTCAGCATAAATGTATTACAGCACAAGCAAGAAGGAATGTTGTAACTTTAAAGACTATAAAGGATCTTCAAGCCAATAACAATTGAAGAACTTTCATTTAAACTATGGACTTTCAAAATTCTGATTTCAAATATCAACCTGGACAGAAGTCTGTTCTTCTCAAAGTCAAAAGCACAAGATTTAAAACTTAAAATAGCAATGTCTTACTCATGCAGCACACACGCAATTTTGTCCCAGCCAACTAAATCGCCAAACAGAAAAACAGGACTAGACTAAACCTCGTGCTAACAACTAAACAAGGGATATCACTATGTGTCATTCTAAATAAACAAATTGCACATTTTTGTTTCTCTAAAAGGGAAAGCCACATTTTTAATCCAGTAAGCTCTTCCTATCCACAAAATTAAACTACTAAAAAACAAACACATTTACACCAATCTGAATATATATATTTTTTTTTCATGTAACAAACTGGTGACAAATTCCAAGAAAATAAAACCCAATGTGCTATAGAAAATAGAACCTAATTTCTCACAACTTCAAGTTGAAAGTATCAAATAGCAAAATTATTTCTCAATAACATGACCCCATTATGCCAGTAACCTTGAAGAATCATGATAGATACACAAATGAAATATCATGAAGTATATATTTCAGATCAAGAACATATATGGGGATCACAAGTTTTATAACATAGTAAAGTCACAAATCTGAAGCTAAAACTGGATTACTCAAACGTATAGATAATACTTTCAGTCTGAACATTTAGCAATGAAAGAAACCAGATTAGCTTATTAACAGTAACTCTCAAAAGTGATACCAAAATACTCTGCTCAATTCACAGCCGAATTCAGTAACCAACTCAACACCCAGTTCAGGTCACACAAACACAACCAGATCAGAAATTTGGTGGCCGTCAGATGTAATAAGACTCTGTTGATTGGGACGGTCAACTTTGAAATAAGGGTTTACAGATGAAAAAAAGAATTAGGGGTCTTTTCCGGGCTGCGGGGTTTTGATTTCTTGTTTCCTTGTCTGAGGAATTCGGTCTCTCCCGCTACAGATTACCGTGGAATTTCTTTTCGCTTAAGGAAGAAGAACGAAGATGGAAAAGTTTAAGAAAAGGTCGATACATACTAGAAAGGAAACGAGACATTATTGGATAAAAGAAAAGGGTAAACTCGACAATTTAGTTTCGAAATGGGGGCCGTGTTGGTATGCCAATTCAATTTATTTTCTATTTTTCAATATTTTTTTTGACTTATAATAATTTTGTTAAAAATAAATCCAGTAAAAAGTTCAGAATAGAATACACTTACATCCCAGAATTATATCATAATTAACATTTTTATCCGTATATTTTTTATAAATTATAATTATATTACTCAATATCGGGTCATTACGTGCAACTTACTGTTATTAAAACATAGACTTTGAACAGAACATGCTTACTTTTTAAATGGAAAGTGTAAATATATACACAAAGTTGTGATGGTGAGTTTAAATAAATATTAGGTACATATAGTAATATTTTAAAAATAAAACGATAAAAGTATTAATTATGAAATAATTTAAAGATTCAAGTATATTTTACCTCGCTTTTTAATATATGACATACATAGTAAACTGGTCAAATAAACTGTTTTCATTGTACCTAATTTAGAATTTGAAACATTAAATAAAAATTCTAGCAAATAACATCCAATTAATAAACAACATTAGTTTACCCGTTATTTAAAATTAGTGAATTCTACAAAATTTTATAAAATTTATTTAAAAATTCATATTTTTGTGTTTAAAATGAAAAAATATAAATTTCAATTCTACGAATTTAATTCCATAAAATTGAAAATAAATATACCAAATCGTGTTAAAATAAATGAAATTTTCAAATGAATTCCACGAAACTAAACAATAAACTTTTTATGACAAAGCAATTATATTTTTTTTTATATACAACGGAGTGGGGCATCCTAGAAAGACGAAACTAAGCTGATCGAGGGCCTAAACGAGGCCAGTGAACACCGTACAAGTCCAAGCTAAGGAATTGGAGGACCTGATCAGAGGACTAAACAAGAATCCTCTTGCCAGGCTCACCCACAACAACGAGATTGGCCAGTTATCTGCCACTTGGTTGGCTTCTCAGAAACAATGCTGCAAGCGGACCGTCGACCAGTCTCTGCCCATAAGGGCATGACATTGGGAGATCAGTCTCCCCAGCCTGATATTTTGGGAATTGCCCTCTTCCAGCAGATACTTAGAGGTCATAGAATCCATTTCAGCAATGACCTGCATATAACGCAAATTCACGGCCATTTGAAGACCATTCGACACAGCATGCAATTCAGCTTCCGTGGAGCACGAACCCAATCTCATCATGAACCCACCACACCACTGACTACAACTGTCCCTAAGAACGCCACCACAACCACCTCGACCAGGATTTCCCCTAGCAGCACCATTTTATCCATCCCACAGGAGGAGGCTGCCGAGAAACTCCAAAGATTGATCTACTCAGGCGGGGGGACACGGTAGACAGACCATTCCATGCAGAGGCGTTAGCCTTCAGCTGGGAACGTAGAGTACTAAGCTTGGAGAATAACTATAGAGAGTCATATCGAAAATTTAATGCATTTCGCCATTTCCAGATCTACCATAACCCAAAACATAAAATATGAACAGGGTGAAAGGAAGAGAAGGAAGGGCTTAAAAAAGACAAAGCTTGATCCAACCATTCGTGAACTTGCAGATAAGAAAACTTAAATAGAGAAGCAGAATCCCATATACTCTCCTAAACGTACTTCGCCAAGGGACAGTCCCGCAACACATGAAGAAGGGACTCAGCAGTGGCTCCACATAGAGTGCAGCTGGGATTAGAGCAAAAACCCCGCTTGTATCTTTCCACATTGGTCATAAGCCGTTGGTGATGAATAATCCAAATGAAGCATCTCAGGCATTGAGGAAGTTGAATCTTCCAGATCCTGTGCCAAGCAAAGGAAGGCACCAAAGGGTTAGAATTAAGTTATAGGGGGTAGGCTGACTTAACACTAAAACTACCTGAATTCGTGTACCTCCAAACGAGACCATCTAAATCAAGAGCATCTTCACTAAGAAAGATTGGTTCAAGCAGCAGGCAAGCATACTCCGGAAGCCAGATACGGAGAAGATCCCAATTCCAACCATTAGACCCCTTATAAAAGGCTACAGGGAGATGAATGTGGTTCGAAGGAACCTCTAATCTTGCCAACATGATCAAAGGGCAATCCCCTACCCAGGTATCAGTCCAGAAAAGAGTGAGAAGGCCATTGAAAGGATCAGATTGCTTGTGTAAATGTTTATTGTATTATTCAAGGAAGCAAGATACATATTTATAGAGTTTGCAGATTACATTTGAAATATAGAAAATCTCCAAATCATATCTAAACTATTTATAGTTAAACAAAATCAAATATCAGAAACTAACTAGTTTGACTTGATACAAGAGAGTTATCCTCAATACACCCCCGCAAGATTGAGCTTACATCAGAGATGCCAATCTTGGGTCGAAAAACACGTAATCGAACTTTGGACTGCGGCTTAGTAAGCAAATCAGCAAGCTGATCCTGACTGGAGATATGTTGAACAATAAGTTGACCAGAAGTTACCTTCTCACGGACAAAATGATAATCAAGAGATAAATGCTTCATGCGAGAATGGAAAACAGGATTGGCACAGAAGTATGTAGCCCCAATATTATCACACAAGATTAATGGCTTATAAATAACTGTAGGCTGGAGTTCTTGAAGCAAACTTTGAAGCCATGAAACCTCAACCTTCTCACGGACAAAAATGAAATCAAGAGATGAGATATGTTGAACAATAAGTTGACCAGAAGTTACCTTCTCACGGACAAAATGATAATCAAGAGATAAATGCTTCATGCGAGAATGGAAAACAGGATTGGCACAGAAGTATGTAGCCCCAATATTATCACACAAGATTAATGGCTTATAAATAACTGTAGGCTGGAGTTCTTGAAGCAAACTTTGAAGCCATGAAACCTCAGACGTTGTGGCTGCTACTGAGCGATACTCTGCTTCTGTGGAAGACCGAGCAATAGTCCGCTGTCGTTTTGAATGCCAAGACACTGGTGCAGTACCCAGAAAAATAACATATGCACTTGTAGAAAGCAAAGTGTCTTTATCACCCCCCAATCAGCATCTGAGAAAGCTGTAATTGAAAACTTGTTACAAGGACGAAGATGCAAACCATGATAAGCAGTACCTTTGAGGTACCGGAGAACTCGTTTCAGTGCTTGCCAATGTAGTTCAGTGGGCTGATGCATGAACTGAGATAGCGTATTGACAGCAAAACAAATATCGGGTCAGGTGAAGGAAAGATATTGCAAAGATCCAATTACACGACGATATTGTTTCAGATCAACTGCAGTACTGCCATCATTGAGACGAAGAGCAGTCACTGAACTTATAGGAGAGCCAACAGATTTTGCATCTTCCATTCGACATCGCTTGAGCAAATCAAAGATATATTGATGCTGAGATAACAGAAGCCCACCATTAAACGGATTAACAGAGATGCCAAGGAAATAATGCAGTTGTTGTGGATCTTTAATAGAAAATTTATTGGCCAAACTCAACAAGAAATCCGAAATAAGCTGATTATTATTGCCAGTAACAATAAGGTCATCCACATAAACAAGAAAATATATCACAGAACCGGCATCCGAATAAATGAAAAGCGAAGCCTCTGCTTTGGAATTTTTGAACCCAAAAGATAATAAAAACTGCGAAAGAGCTGTATACCATACCCTTGGTGCTTGCTTCAACCCATATATCGACTTGTGCAGTTTACAAACAAAGGAGGAATGAGTCTAATCAATAAAACCAGGAGGTTGAACCATGTATACCTCTTCAGTAAGCGGTCCATGAAGGAACGCATTATTGACATCTAATTGTTGCAAGTTCCATCCATTGGTCAAAGCAATAGTCAAGACAACACGAATAGTAACCGGTTTGACAACAGGACTGAATGTGTCAGTAAAATCTTAGCCTGAACGTTGTTGAAATCCTTTCGCCACTAGTCTCGCTTTATGTCGAGCAACACTGCCATCGGATTTGAACAAGAGAGTTATCCTCAATAGTCGTTACCCACAGATTTGAACAAGCATTTGTTAAGAACATGGACAGAATTAACAACACCTCACCACACATTAGAAGCAATACGTCTATAGCCAATAGATTCGATATTCACCTGCCCAGCGATATACTTACCTTTCCATGACAAAACTACTAAAATTTTTAATTATTTACTTATTTAACTTATTTATTTTATCAAATTTGACCAAAATCATTTAAAATTTTTATTTTTTCAGAAAAATACTTTCTTATTATTTTTTATTTTTATATTTTTTTATCTTCTGTTTTAATTTTTTTAGCATGTTTTACTATTAAGGAGAGAAAAATTCAAGTTAAATATACATTTATCACCAAATTAAATGCAATAATTTTATTAATACTATTTTTATTTTATATATTTATTTTAATCAATAAAGAAATTATGTATCGTAACATAAATATTATTGGTGTTTATTATTTATTTTTGTAAATTACTATTTCAAGGATATTTTAAGAAGCAAAACCAAATGAGTTTTCAATTATGAATTTATTCTATACATGATTATGTAGAATTCAATTAAATTACATATTTTAAATTAACCATATCAAACATAAATAATTCATTCATAAATGAATTCGTATTTCGAATTTACTTATTACCGAACGGAGTGTAAAATGTTTCTCTCTAGATAGTAGGACTAGCATATAAAATAAGTGCTTGAGCTAAAAGGTATACTGCAATATTGGTTTGTCTACTAATTAGGATTGTTTGTGAATTGATTTAGTTTGATTTAATTATAATAATCGAATTAAATTTAAAGCGGTGGTTTGAAAAAAAAAAATAAAACCGAAAAAACCTTTAGTGTAAAGCTCGGGACAAACATGCGTATGTTGATTTCTCGAACGTTGAGGTCTACTTAGCAATGGCGAAGAAAAAACCTTACTCCCATGGGCTTTGCTTTTGATGCAGCCTGCAGGAACAAATGGCGGGCTGGAGCCTTTGTTTTCAAGCAAGGAGATTGGAAGCTAATATTAGATATGGAACTATAATCGGGCCAAGAGTGCTTGACCTACATCTACATGTATCTTCTTTATATCCTTTATATCCATTATACTTCTACCGAGTAAGAAAAAAAAGAAGATATGAACCACATGTCATTTTCTCTCTAATTTAGAAGGAAAATTGGTAGAAAATAATTAAAATTGACAGTTTTACCCCATTTGTTATATTTTCATCAATAAAAAATAAAGACTAAATTTATAATTTCACTATTTTCAAAATCATTTCCTCTCGTTTTCCTTTTACACATCTAAACGTCAAGATGAAAATTCTTTTATATTTTTCCTGCTTTTTTTTTTTTTTTCCTCCTTAAATTTCTTTCCTCTCCTCTCCAAAGAGTGTGATATCATAATCGATCTAAATTGAAAATGAGATTTGTAGCTCAATTTACCATTCAATCAATACTAAAATTAACTTCTTTATTTCTTTTATGATACCACTAATATGTATTTCTCATAATAGTCATACGTAAATTATATTTTTCTCTCTAAATTAAAAGTTTTAGTTACATATTTTATTAATCATTAGTCTAATGCATAAAATTGACCATAAACTTTAATCAATCTTCTTTGTAACTCTTTAAATTATGTCATTCGCCAAAATAAAATTTGAAAATACAAAAATTCATAAATTCAAAGAGCTACAAGGATAATCATCGAAGTTGAAGGTCAAATTTATGCATTAGGTAAATATTATTTGCATCCACAAATACATATAGAAGGTAACAGATGATCATTTCTTTGTCGATCTCATGGCGATAGCTACAACCGTAATTATGAGGGCCTGCACAAGGGCAACAACAACGTTAAGAATTAGCAGCCAAATAATTAATTATTTTTTATAATAATAAGGGAAAAATAATAATAATAATAATAAATTTGGAGGACCGATACGGATATTGTAATCTTAATTTCTTAATTTATGTCATATTTTACAAAATCAAACAAAAATCTTTGGTAAATTCATAGAATATCTAAATTTCGTCGCTTAAATTCCATTGGTCCAAAATATTGATTGGTAATGGTTCTAAGTTTTGAAAAATAATTGATTCTGGTAAAACTTTTTCTGCAAATCAAAAGCACAGAGAGCAAGAAGAAGGACTCACAAAACTGACGCACGCAATATATCCTGCTCTCTCGCGGCGATCCACCTTTGAACAAAATATAATAATTGCCCCAACATACCAAGGGATGCCACAAAGAAACCACCCTAGTATAAACCTTCAAAAACAGAACAAATGAAAAATAATAAAACTCATGTCAATATATATATACGTCATAAATAATAATAATAAACTAAATTTAAGGGATTAATCATAAATGTAAAATTCGATAAAAATGATTTTTAAGTTGTACTTGGTAAGCTGTATGTATTTGATTACAGTGTATTATGTTTCATCACTGTTTATCAAATGTAGGATTTTATTTTTTTTTAATGATTATTTTTAGAAAACTAGAACATTTATTATCTTTTATTATCAGTAAAATTAAGATAAAAAGGAAATTTTGTTGCTTGTTTGAAGAATTATATATGTGGTAACTTACAAGGTCCAACCAACACCAATGCCACAACATGGAAGACCTGGTTCAGCAACAGCAACAGCAACAGCATAACCTGAAAACAACAATAACTAATAGTTGCTTCTATCTTCTTCTTCTTGTAGTTATTATCCTATAATTACACAAACTAAATGAAAAAAATAATTAATTACAAACATAGTATTCATTGTATAAAACTATTTAAAACTTTACCTGCTTTTATCAATAATAAATTTAAAATTCACCACAAAAAAATAAATTTACAATTTTTCGACTCTTTCTCTTTTCATCTTAATTCTACAAAAGAGAAAGTAATTAAAATTTTTTTATATTAATAATTAATTTAAAGTTATATATGAAGAAACTAATTGAAGAGATAATCTTAGAAAATAAACATTTTTTTTTTTTGGTTTTAACTATCCAGTGTCGGAAACTCACTGACCGGACAGACCCACAAAGGGAGGCTAAGCGCTCCCTCCAAGTGTTTAAAGAGATTTCATTCCCAGGATTCGAATTCAAAATCTATGGTTTAGGGAAAATGGATCCATATCTTCCCATCTAATCCCTCAAGGGTTAGAAAATATATATTTTATGTAATTAAATAAATAAAACAATCATAAAATCGAATTCAATGGACGACTCTAATTCAATTCATAAATTCAAAATCTATAAAAATTTGCCATGCACTCTTCCTATTAGTAAATGAATTTGGCTTTCGATCTATTTTATTAACTAGAATTCGATTCTTGGGGTTAGACTGTAAGTGGAGATTTTTCCTCAATTATAAATTCTTCAGCCAAGCAAGATAATTTATATTTTAACTAAAAAGGAAAGACGAATTTAGTAAGATGCATAAAAAAAAAAAAAAAAAAAAGACGAATTTAGTAATGATGCATAAAAAAAAAAAAAAAAAAAAAAAAAAAAAATCTATTTCAAAATTTATATATAGGTACCTTTGACACGTTCTTCTGTGTTAACATATACATTGGTGTTGGCTACAGAGACAGCTGGTGGAGGTGGAGCACATGAAGTATTATTATTACTGGTAGCAAAACCTTGAGGTGGTGGTGGTGGAGGTGGGACATATCCATTGTTATTCATATCAAAACCTTGAGATGGTGGTGGAGGCGGCGGCGGTTCAAGGGGAGCAGAAGGATTATTATTATTCATAGGAAAACCTTGAGCCACAGCATATGGGTGTGGAGGAGGATAATATACCTCACCCATAACAACTCCTCCTGTAATATTGTTTCTCCCTTCCATTCCCATCGTTGATTAGAAACTAACAGCGAAGTTAATATATAGATTAATGAGTCATTATATAAGTTAATTACATGGTTTAGTTTTAAACAATTATAGGCAGTTGTCTTGTCAAGACATTTCCAAGAACTATAAAGCTAGCCTGTAATTGTATTTATCGATGACTTGTTCATTTGTTGGGTTGCAATATTTACAAGGACATTTGTTTATTTATATTGTTCATAACTGGACGTTTACCCCACGCTACGCGGTTGCAAATTATTATATCAAATTAATTAATATTTTATTGTATAAAAAAAAATTTGTTTATTAATTTTTTGTTGTTATATAAATACGACATAATAATAATAAATTTTCATAAACCATAATATATTCTTAGACTTTTTTAGTTTTTAGCTCTCTAATGAAATCTTGAGTTTGCATATCAAGATATACCCTAACGGTAAGTATATATATGACCATGCAATAAATCCGAGTTCGAATTCCATCTCAAAAAAAAAAAAAAAATCGTAAGTTTGAATGTGGAATTAGATTAGTAACCAAAAAAGTATTTACATTATAAAAATAAATAAAATGAGATTTTTGAAATATAATTTTTTGCTCAATTTACAAATTGGAATTTAATTTTTTTATATTTTAATAACTTGAATTTTATTGGAATGATGCATAAAAATAAAAATTAATTTATAATTGAGGAAGAGAAGATAACTGAACCAACATTGTAACATAAGGCAAGAGAATAAAAAATAAGGAGAAATAAAGCAGTTTAAAATACTATAATTTTCTTCAAAACGTGAAATATTCTAGTTTGACATTTCAACAAGTAGAGTAGTAGTTCACATGTTTAATTCACTTTAAAAAAAAAAAAGAACGAACAACCTTTAATTCAGATAATGGTAGAATTTTTATTTGTAATGTTTCAGGTCAAAGTGAAAACTGAAAAATACTTTTGATTTTTGAAATATTACTCTTATTTACATTAAATGAAATTACTTTTGATTTTGAGATTATGGATAGTTTTTTTTAAAGATAGATTATGAATAATTTAATCAAATTATTTTTAATTATATTATAATTTAGAAAAATTAATTATTTTTTAATACTAGTTGAAAAACCATAATTAACTTATATTTTGGAATCCAAAAGGTAATTAACTATTTAAAGTTGGCCTGAGTCATTCATAACTTTTTAAGTTTTAGTAACTACCAAATCTGAGCACGCTTTGGATCAGGAGGCATTGCATATTTGCGTGCGTTAAATTTGAATAATTTCATTTTCATCTTTATCCATTTAGCTAAACCATGTTTTAATTTTGAACATCCACGTCAGACTTTAGACGCACACTCCTGTTGAATCCTTATTTTTAATATTTTCTACGCGGCGGCCCGCGATTTGCTTCAAATTGATAACTGCGTTTTAGGCCTTCGAAAAATAATTCGTTTAGGAAATAATATTTTTTAATATTTAATTTTTATTTTTAAAATTGGTAAAATATAATATTTGATATTTGAAAGTAATTGATAATATCAATCTTTTTAATAGATAAAATAAAAAACATTTGAAGGTATAGAAATTAAACTCAGAAAATTTTATCTAAGGTTAATTTAATATTAATTTGAGAATATTGTAATCAATTTTAATAAATATATAAAATCTCAAATATGAAAACTTATGCGGTATGATATTAAAGTATTAAGGTGGCTGGCATGATACAATATTATAATATATTTTATAAGATCAATAATATTTATATTTAATAAAAGATATCGTTAACATTCATTCTCTTTGTATTTTTTTTCTATGATTTTAAAAATATAAAATACTATTTTTATCAAGGTAGTGACATGTATACATGATCCATGAATCAGGTTTATGATTTTAACGACTCCTACCATATGGTGATTTTACATATGTGAACTTAAAATTTTTATTGAATAAATAATCAAAAATCAAAGCTTAAAAAATTTTATTCATTAAAGTTTGCCTTCATTCACTACTATCTCCCTAGACAGAACGACACATAAATGCGAATGACATCACAACAAGCTTCTTATTTCACATATAATCACATTATAGAATAAATTTTTAGTTTTTGTTCTAATTATTTTTTAGAGGAGTTTTTGTTTTAATTGAAAGAAATAACACCTCTGATTTATATGGCATTATGTTGAGCTATATTGTAATTAGTAACAAAATAACGAACACTTTGATAGATGTTTGATGAATCGAAAGTCAAAATCCCTAATTATAATTATCAATCGATTTACAAATCTCAAATTACACTTCAGTTGATCGTTAAAAGTCAAATAACTTTTTACATTTCCATCGATATTTTTATATTTATTTGTAAATAGAGATCCACTTATTTTTCTTGGAAGTATGGCTGTGATTTTCATTTTCTATGTACGGACATTTTTTCCTAGTAAGAACAAAAATTATTTATTGAAAAATAAAAACAAGAAAAGCAAACATAGTTTCCTTTTCTTTTCTCAAAAAACAAGCAAACAAACAAAGGGCAATTTTATTTTTTCATGTTGACGTAAATAGTTTTCCATATTGGACTAGCAATGGCAGAGACAAGCTAAGAATAAATGAGGGATGACGATGAAGAGCAGAAAGAAACACAACAACAACAACTGCTTCAAAAAGGACCCAATTGTGCAACCTCCGCTGCTGCGCTCTGCCCAGTGGCCATTCCTCACTTTTCCCAAGATTCGATTTCCACGATTCCCATTTTTTTTCCGTTACTTTCTCTTTTCCGTCTTTTCTCTAACCAACCACACTTGTATAATTAACCCTTTCGTTTCTTCAACACACTCCCTCGCTTATAAGCACGTCGATTTTTCTCCTTAGCTATGGTGGCCGACAGCAAGGGTAAATCCGATATCTCTTTCGCCGGAACTTTCGCTAGCAGCGCTTTGGCTGCTTGTTTTGCCGAGGTATCAACTGAAATACTGCTTTCCAACCTTTTTTTTTTTGGGTTAAAATTCATCTGGTGGAGTTTTTAGTAGTTGATTCGAATTCAATTTGACTATTTTGAGCTAAATTTATGATTTAGATCTAGACAGTAACGTCGTCTCTCTCTCTTTCATTTTCGATTTTCCGAAATCTTGTGATTTCAAGTAATAAGAACTTCTTTAATTCTGATGATCGATGGATGGGGACCAATGTAGTGATAGCTATAGCTTTGTCCCTTATTACCTATTGTCGTTTTTGTTATTTCTTTTTAATTTGATCGCATAAACTTACTGTAGAATTGAATTTGAATTAACTTTTCGCGGCAGTTGAGCAGTAAATTGTTGATGAGATAAGCTGTTTTCTGTGAATGTGCTGTAGGATTAGAGAGAATTTATTCTCTTTTATTAGATCCAAACCAAGTATGCCCTCCTCTTAGTTTATGTTCCATTTAGGACAAGCTTGCTCTTTTTTCCCCCTATAAAGGACAGATTTTTATTTTGCAAGCTAGTAAATGCAATTAGAAGAAAGTAGTTTCTACTTTGTAAATGCATAAATTTAAACAACTATAATGTTTGTCTAAACAATTATAACAAGAGTAATTTTTGTTTTTCAGAAAAAAATTGGAAGTTTTTGGTTTGTTGTCTAAACAAGTATCATGTTTGTTACAAAATGCTAAAGTAAACTTACCAGATTGAATATTAATTATTATGAACCATCATATCCATTTCAGCATTCAGTTTCATTAAATACTGGGTGTATGCTTGTCAGATTGTACCTTGAATTACGCCACCTCCAGAAGCTATTTACTTGTTACTGTTATGGGGTTATGATATTGTCAAATTAATATCTAGTTATTAGTTATTTGTTGTTAAATTGGTGGAATTTTCTCAGTTATAAAATCCAAAACTAACCATTGGCATTGTAACTAATAATTATGATCTAAACTTATCATGATTTTCTAAAGTGACATAAAAAATTGTTGAAATCCATACAACCAAGGCTTCTGGTTTGTTCGATGAAAGAATCCTCGATATAAGATAGTTCCAGCGTTTGTAGGCTTTTTTCTCCTAACAGTACCAATCTTACTACCCTTACTAATTTACATTATGAATTAACAACTTTACTACGTACGTACTCTAGCTGAAGTGCTATTTTTTCCATCTGCTTGAACCTACTGCAGATATGCACAATTCCCCTGGACACAGCAAAAGTCAGGCTCCAACTCCAAAAGAAAGCTGGTGCTGGTGAGGGAGTGGCCTTACCAAAATATAAGGGTATGTTGGGCACAGTTGGTACCATTGCTAGGGAAGAAGGTCTAGCAGCACTCTGGAAAGGCATTGTACCAGGGCTTCACCGGCAATGCATGTTTGGAGGCTTAAGAATTGGGTTATATGAACCTGTGAGCCTCAAATGTTCTCCTCACTTGACCTATTGAACTATTTTATGTTCTGTTCTGCTGACTTATATGTATAAATAAATCTATGTGTTTGACAGGTTAAGACCTTCTATGTGGGCAGTGACTTTGTTGGAGATGTTCCTTTAACCAAGAAAATTCTCGCTGCACTTACTACTGGTGAGCTTAACAGCCAAAACTTTACATACCACATTTTATTTAAGCAAGTTAATTAAGACTTTGTCAACTTATTTCCTTACCCTTCTATTTTAATATGGTATTGGGCATTGGCATCTTGTTTACCTAAGATAAGGGACAAAAAATACTCTTATACCAATCTCTTTGCCATTTAAGTTGTGAAGTACTGTCTAATCAAACAGGTGCTCTTGGAATTACTGTGGCAAATCCAACTGATCTTGTGAAAGTTAGGCTTCAGGCTGAAGGGAAATTGCCACCTGGTGTACCAAGGCGCTATTCTGGAGCACTGAATGCTTATTCTACGATTGTGAGGCAGGTAGTGTATCTGTCCAGTATAAAGAAAGTTGGGGGGAAGTGGGCTGGGCATTTTATCTCCATAGTTAATAACTCTACCATACTTTTTCTCATTGGTTCTAACAATTAGGAAGGAGTTGGTGCACTTTGGACTGGACTTGGACCAAATATAGCACGAAATGCTATTATAAATGCTGCTGAACTTGCCAGCTACGATCAAGTGAAGCAGGTGAAGAATCGAATGTCTTTCCTCGTTCATTACAAGCTACTGTCTTTACTAATTCCAATTCAACTGTTTTAATGCAGACAATTCTGAAAATTCCTGGGTTCACAGATAATGTTGTCACTCATCTTCTTTCTGGTCTTGGGGCAGGTTTCTTTGCTGTTTGTATTGGCTCCCCAGTTGATGTGGTATGCTGTCCACTCTTGCATTTCGGCTTTTTCAAAATTAGTATATAGTATGCTCAGTGGTGCCAATGTTTGTGTAAATTGTTTGTGGGCATTTGTTCAAGGATAATAAATGACGTTGAACATGTGAGATGAGACAATCTTGCTTGTCTAAATTATGTGAAAGTTGTTGAAGAATGGTAGAGTAGAGTATTAACCACACAGCAAACTTAAAAATCTGGGTCTGTAAAATGAACCGTCAAAAGCACACATTTCATTGATTTCTTTGACACTTAAATACAAGAGATGTTACTTAATTCTAAGTACAAAAGAATGGTTTTTTGTCAGCCTTAAACCTAAGCCTTTAACTTGCTTTTTAACATGCTAAGCCATATTTAGTTTTACTAATCATACAAGCCAACTTACTATTCACTAACCCCAATAGCAGAATTGCTAAAAAGCAAAGCTAATTTGACTACAGGTTTTCCATCCAAAACATCATGCAACCAGACTGTTGTCACAGCAAAAGTGTCACAACCTTCAAAAAACTCCTATAATTTTGTTAATGAACCCAAAACCCACAGATATTATGATATTATCAAAGCCAAAATAACATAGAAATACTTTATTTTAGTCTTGCCTGGTCTAAAGGTAAATTATTCATTGTACTAATTTAACAGCTTCACCTTTGCTCTTTGCCAGGTTAAGTCAAGAATGATGGGGGATTCTGCTTACAAGAGCACTTTTGATTGCTTCATTAAGACCCTGAAGAATGATGTAAGACTGTCATTCAACTTATGTATCTCCTTTTAATAATGGAAAATTATGCTCTTGTTTCTGAAATGCTTTTCAAGTTTAATACTTACTTTAGTTGTTATCTATAGCATAACTCTATGTGGCAATTCTCTTTTCAATATCTTTTCCTTTACAGTGGCATTCATCTCTTGTTACCCTTAAGGATGGTATAGGTTTATATGGATGTGGAAGTGAGCAGGCCTATTATTTCCTACTCATTCTGAGTCTCTTCCGACATTCATTTCTAGAAGATGTGATGATTATGTTCATATTCTTGTAATTTAGAGGAGAATTAGTCTGCTTATTTTCATTATACAACACCTTTATTAGTTATATTTTTGAGTTGGAAAGAGATGCTTTCACTAACCTCTATTGTTAATGCTGAAATCTAAGAAGCAAATTCAATGTCATTTGCAGGGGCCTCTTGCTTTCTATAAGGGATTTATCCCAAACTTTGGGCGGCTAGGATCCTGGAATGTGATCATGTTTCTAACCTTAGAGCAGGTATGGTCACAAAATGTATTTCTTGATATAATAATTGCTTTCTTCTTTTTCATTATTTAGTTTTCTTAATACCCAGACAGCCTTTTTTATTTTTTATAAGAGCAGGCAGATTATAGACGTCAGATTCATCTGATACAACTGGACAAGTCCCAACATACATTTGCTATGCAAAGTAAACTAACCAAATACCTCAACTCCTTAATGAATACCCACACAAGTGAAAATTAAACTTACTACCTCTTGGTCCCAGGTCCTTAGTTGGAGCATTAAAATTTGTATCAGAATAATAACTGTGTCTAGGTATTTTGGTATTTATTTAATTATAGTTGGTAGAAATGTCTTTAGCCATTTAATTGCGTAACCATGTTTAAATTTCTTGCTTTTCTATTTTTCTCTAATCTAAAATTTTCTGTTTCCCATAACAGGCCAAGAAATTTGTCAGAAGTATAGAATCATCTTAAGTTATACATGACAATCAAAGCCTACAGTTTATGGATTTTTCATGGAGATGGTGGGAGTAGTCTTGAGAATAATAAGTTCCCTTGTCATCATTCTTGCTAATTTAGATAGGAGTTCCTACAATGAAAATTTTAAAATAATCCCTATTTGAAATATTTTTTTATAATATTTGTACTTGTTAAATTGCTCCTTTGTGTTCTAGTTCTTTGATTTTTCTTTTTTTTTCTTTTTTATTTGATTCCAAATTGTTTGATAATAGTGATATGCAAATGAATTTATTCCCTATACCAAAGATTGTTATGCGCAGATATTGAACTTGTGTGACCAAATTTTTCATCTATTATATTTGATGTACATATATGTATGAACAAATAAACTATATGGATTTCAAATATATAAAAGTTAATTTATAATTGATTTCAAATGTCTATGCTTATTATATGTTAAAGAAATTGATTTACCATTGAGATGTGGTATTATAACAATGTTCTTATATAAGAACAACTGCTGGATTATAGTTTGTAATATATAATAGTTGTCTAAAATATCTTTAAAAAAGAAATAGAAAGGAAAAAAAATTAAATAAGAAAGAAAATAGAACAAGAACAGTAAGTAAAAAAGAAAATGAGAAGCAGCAGGAGGGGAAGGGGAAGGGGAAGGGGAAGGGAAGGAAAGATACGAAAAGAAGAGAGAAAATGAGAAAATAGATTTTTTTTTTTATATATATAAATTTTGTAAATACATTTGCAAATTGAACGATTTTAATGAAATTTGTTTTAGTTATATTCCATTTTACAAAATTAAATTTGTGAAAGTAAAATAAACTATATTTTAACATTTCAAACATTTAAAATTGAAACTTTTACTTAAATTAATTGTGATTTTGTATAATTTATTTAGATAATGAAAATGAAATTAGGTGTGGATTCCCCAAAAAAAAAAAAAAAAAAAAGATTGTTTATTGCGCAAGGATATGGAACTCCTGTGTGAGACCAAATTTTTCATTCTCATTATATTATGTACATATATGTATGAACAAAGTAAAAACTATTATGGAATTTCAAATATATGACAAAGTTAATTTATTAATTGGATGTCAAATGTCTCCATAGCTTATTATATGGTTAAAAACATTGATTTTACCATTGATGATGTGGATATTTAATAAACAATGTTCTAAGTGATATAAGGAACAACTGCTGGATGTATAGTTCTTGTAATATATAATATAGGTTGTCTAAAAACTATCTGTTAAAAAAAGAAATTAAGAAAGGAAAAAAAAAATTCAAATAAGAAAGAAAATAGAAACGTCTCTAGAACAGGATAAAGTAAAAAAGGAATAATGAGAAGCAGCAGGAGGGGGAACGGCGGAAGGAGAAGGGGAAAGGGGAAGGAAATGATACCGAAAAGGAAGACAAGAGAAAATGAGAAAGATAACTTTTTTGGTTTATATATTATAAATTTTGTAAATACATTTGCAAATGAACGATTTTTAATGAATTTGTTTTACGTTATTATCTCCTTTTACGTATAAATAAATTTGTGGATAAAAAATAACAAACTATATTTTAACATTTATGCCAAAACATTTTAAAATTGACCAAACTATTTACTTGAGATTAATTGTCGATATTTGTATAATTTATTGAAAGATAATTGAAAATGATAATTAGAAGTGTTGGATTCCCAACAGAAAAAAAAAAAAAGAAACAAAAATCAAAATTACATCCAAAATAGAAAAACAAAATAAAAAAAAAAAAAAAAAAAAAATCAAATTACATCCCAAAAGAAAAAACAAAATAAGCCATCAATCACTTGGAAGAACTGGTAATGATCGTTGTATCCCAAGAAATAAATTGCATCCATACTCTCAAATGCATTAATGTTCTCTTAACTAAGTAGTACAGAAACATGCTGTCATAAGGAAGCTTTTATACAAGAAGAATGCTGTTGGGTTACAATTTATATTGGGATTGTTGTTTTAATTTACACAAATTACTACTGTTAATTTTTAATCCATTCCAAAAAATATACTGCTCGTTTTTTTGTTTTTGAATATAATATATTAGAATTTTAAATCAATAAAAATACTAAATAAAATCGAGATGAGATAAAACTATCATACTTAAAAAAATAGCACAATAGAGTTGGTTGATTTAATAAGAAATCTCAACGGGATTTTCACGTCATATCAACGTTAAAAGGGGATGGGAAGAACACTTAATTTGTTCCAAATGAAAACAATCTAATTTAGGGTTGGTTAGTTTAACTCTTGTGTCAGTGTGACTCAATAATTGTATTGTTTATTTATTTTTACGCTATATTTTAAAATTATGATTCAATTATTACATTCAAATTGAGATATCCTAAGAATCAAGGCTAAAATAAGGTACAATTGATACAACTTGCAAAGATCACAATATTTTCAATGGAATTTACTCTTTATAAGATAGATTAATAATAATAGTATTTTGAAAAAAAAAAAGATTAATAGTTAGTTACATATTTAAAGCTATTTTTAACCTAATATTAAAATGACAAAAAAAAAAAAAAGAAAAAAAAGGAAAAAAAGAAACTCGTTAATATTTGATTTCAACTTCTAAGTTATTTTTTGTCATCTTGTTTTGTTTTAAGGAATTCTATTCGAGGAGTTGTGAGTTGGAATAATCTTGACAAAAAAAAAAAAAAGAAGAAAAAGAACTCGTAATATTTGATTTCACTTCTAAGTTATTTTTGTCATCTTGTTTTTGTTTTTAAGGAATTCTATTCGAGGAGTTGTGGAGTGGAATAATCTTTAGTTTCTCAATGACTAATATGTAAACCTAATATTAAAATTTTGAAAAATATATTTTAACATTAAAATAAAAAAATGCAAATATTATTAATTAAGATTTTAATAAAAGACTAACATGTGAACCTAATTAAAATCATAATGTTAATATTAAAAAAATAAATATTTTAACTTATAAACTATGTATATTTATTATTATGATAATAATTAATATTTCAATTTTATTTTGATTTAATTAGAAATTCGAGTAATAATATTTTATTAATAAATAACTCAATTAAAAATTATATAACGAAAAATTAAGTAAAAAATTATTTATAAAAAAAATTAAATCTAAGTATAAAGAGTATAAACAATGTATAAAAGCGTTCTCTTAAAAGCAAGATGAAAAAGAATTAATTCAAATGTGCAAATTTGAAACATCTTTTCAATTTTGTGACATCTATTAAATAATATTCACCCATTCTCTTAAATTTGACAGTTTTTAGTTTTTTTTTTTTTTTAAATAACAGTTTTTAGAAAATTAAAATAACATTAATTATTTTATTTCAACTTTATCCTTATTTAGATGCCTGTATAAAATTTTATCTTAATTAAATGAATATTAATTAAAGGGTAATTTAGCCAATTACTTGGATCATATATTAATGTTCAATCTCGGAAAAAAAAGAGAAGGTTCTATATTATTATTTTTTTTTTCTAAAATTGAAGTGATTTAATTATTTTTTAATTTGTGATATGAAATTAGTGAGAGGTTACTATAAGTTTATATATATATATTTTTTTTTTGAGGGAAAAGTTTATATTCGTAATTAGTGTAAAAGTTTCTTTCCTAATTAGGATATAATATAATTTCTCAAAAATAAATGTGATTAAAAAAAAGGTCATCTCACCTTATACGCGCGAAGGCGGAGCAAGTAAAGACGCCGTTTGGGATAAAGAATTTAAAGCGGTCGGCCGTAAATAAACGCCCTGAAGTCGCCGGCACCCATAACGCGTCGTTTTCAACTCTGTGCTGGGATCTTCCGGTGGCAGTTTTCCATAAGCAGTGTCCACGAAGCCGTCGTTACTCCCTCACAGCCCCTCCTGTAAGCTTTTCTTCGGTGCTTCTCTGTTCTGCTTATATATATATTGCATTTTCGAGTATCAATTTCAAAATTAATCCCGATTAATTTCTGGGTGCTTTTAGAATTGAGTTTTAATCGAAAATTAGGGCTTTAACAAAATTTTCATTGCTGAGACTATAATGAAATATTGAATTTTGTATTTTGAATTGATGAATCGATTTTAAAGTTCGGCTGTTTGAATTTGTGGTAAATCGTAGTTACTACTTGCAATCTGATGGATGTCTAGTGTTTGTTATTGTACTTGATGGTAGATTTTTATAGATTGACTAATGAAAGAAAATTTATTGGGTTGGTAGAAGAGTGAAGGAAGACGGGATAGTTAGAGGTGAACAATGTTAATTCGGCTGAACAAGCCTTCCTCGGAAAGCGGCGGAGGTGTGGTGAAGCCCTTGCCAGTGGATAGTGTCACTGTTGCATGTCCTGACCACCTTGTCCTTGCTGATCTCCCTGTAGCTAAGGGCATTGGAGCTGCCACTGTTGCTACTGTTGTCAAGACTGTGGGTCGCAGGTCCAGACGCCAGCTCGGTGAACGAGTCCATTTTTGTGTTCGATGTGATTTCCCAATCGCCATATACGGACGCCTGGTAGGTCCTAAGCTTTGTCATTAATTTGCCCTTCATTAGAATAGAAAGAATAGGTAACTAATGAAAATGAAATGTCATAGTCTAAGTTTATATGCAACCTTGTTTTTTTGGGGGGGGGGTGGTCGCTGGAGGAACTTGTTTTGTCATCCTCCTATCATAAACCATCTCTCTCTTCAGCTGAATGATGACCCCTGCCAAAAGCTTATGAGAAATCCCTGACGTGGGAAGCAAATCACCTTATGTCTGACTACTTATTTCATGATCAAGCTTTTGAAAAATCTGAAATGTGTTCTTGTACAGACTTAGATTATCAGTGTCCTTTTTGCTTGATGTCTCCCTAATCATTACCAGTTGTATAATTTGAGATGTATGACACATGCTGCTTGAAGTGATCTATTATTTTGATATAATTTGTTTATGAATGCTAACAAATTTATGTTATGCAGAGCCCCTGCGAGCATGCCTTCTGTCTTGATTGTGCTAGAAGTGATTCAATCTGCTACCTGTAAGTAAATTCCTGATCTTTCTTATGCTTGTAAACAATATCTGAGCTAATAATTTCATTGTATAAACTTATTGCCGTAGTCTCGAAGTTGTCTGATGTTTTTTTCAAATGCAATATGCGTTTGTTGCATGTCCTGCTTCTGTGTTCAGGTTGATTCTCTCCTTAATCATTTAGAAGTGATTTCCCCTCCAACAACAAATATCAATTATCATGTGCATCTACATCAGTAATAGTTCCTAGAATCCTCATGGATCTAGGGGAAAAATTCCTGGAACCTTGTAGTTAATAGGAGTCAATTATTGTGATATATGAGTTCCATGCAAGTGTTCTTGATGGATTTTTGTGTTGGTTTATAGTGATTCATAGATCATACATCAGCTTCACTTGAGTTGGAGTCTGAGGGAAGATTTTTCAATCCTTATCATATACCCTAGCAAATATGAGAAATAACTGCCAGCCCTGAGAACACATATTCATGGAAAAACAGAGTTCCTATGCTTGAAATGCTACTAGTAGAATGATCAATGATGGTGTCCTTGAAAGAGGAGATCTAATCAAGTCTTTCTGGCAGCTACCCGATTGACCTGGTTGGTGCCTTGAAGAGGCAAACCTGCCATACTGGCTGCATATTTGGTGCTATTGTACTTCGTCTCACATAGTGTAAACATACATATAGTTTAAAGTGTGGGATGAGAAAATGAAATTCTCAGTATTCTGTGAACTGTTGGTACAAGATCAACCTCAACTAGTAGTAGCTCTACATTGTAGTGATAAACCTATATGAATCTTAATTTGGTTGATCTAGAACAAGAAGAGGACACTTCCATTTGCTACCATGGTAGACTCTTAGTGTATGTGTTAGATGCTTGATGAATGAGGTCAACTTGTCTATGAGGCTCATTACTGCTATCTTTTCGTTCTTTGCACTATTGAAAGTCTTGTGTGTTGTTATTGAGAGCGAACTAAATGAATTTTTCTTCTTTTTATAACACAGTTGTGATGAACGTATCCAGAAGATTCAAACAATCAAAATGATGGAGGGAATCTTTATCTGTGCAGCCCCTCACTGTCTCAAATCTTTCTTGAAGAGGGCTGAGTTTGAATCTCATATCCATGAGAACCATTCTGACCTTCTACAGCCAAATTCTGAAAAGGAGAATGGTAATGAATCAGATGTCCAAAGTTCCAAACAACATTCAACTTCAGTTTCCACTGTTCGAGCTCCTGCAAGGCCAGTCATACCTGGTTCAAATTCTCAGTTTCTTGATTCTGAAGACAAAGCTCGTAAGCAGCAACCTAGAGAACAATCGCTTTCTAGGCCAATGATGCAACCAAGACCTTTTTTCGGTCAAGCTCAAAATTACCCATCAGAATCCCAGCCAGACAACAACCGCCCTCCAGGCTTTGACCGGCCAGGCTTACAAAATCATTTCCAACAAAGCATGTCAGGTGGCACACAGCAAGAATCCAACCAGTTTCCAGACAAGCAGCAAGGTATTTTATCTGAGGGCCCAATACCTGAATACCCACATATGCATCCTATGCAACCACCCAATTTTGTTGTACCAATGAATTCAAATCAACTAATTACTCCTCAATATGGGATTCCACCTTTCCAACCTGAGGGAGGTCAGCCATTTTTCAGTGCACCCTATGAGATGGGACAGATGGCTAGGCCAGATTCAACCCCAGAAGTTGGAGCAGAACAAGGATCTTTGTTGGGTTTCCCACCAGGTCCAGCTGGTGTGAATTTCATGGCAAATTATCCCCAGCCCTGGAACACTGGACCAATGCCTGGAGGTCAAGGAGTTCCAGATGCTTTTGCAAACCTGTCAGATTCTCGAGGAAATGCTGCATTTTATCAGGGGGATTACGGACGGAATCCAGGAGTTATGCAGATTCCTCCATCTGCCAACAAGGGCATGGAAACTGTGCAGGGTGGTAATGCCATGGATACCAGGGACGGCAAAGGTATATTGGCACCACAGCCATATGGACATCCAGCGCCACCTCCACCTCCCTTACCTCACTCGTCACAGCCTACACGAGGTAAATACTACTCTGGTGATATGGGTCATGATGGACAAGGATTTGGATGGCAGCATGAGAATCGTGATGGCTTTGGAAGCAGCCAGGAATAGAAGCTGCTGTTTTTTTTTTTTTTTTTTTTTTTTTTTTTTCGGCACCACAAGGCCATCATGGACAGTCGAGGCCACTCTCCACCTCCGGGCTTTACCCTCTACAGCTCGTCACAGCCTTACACGAAGTAAATACTACTCTGTGATATGGTTCTCACGTGCATGACAAGGATTTGGATGGCAGCATGAGAATCGTGGATGCTTTGGAAGCAGCCAGGATAGAAGCTGCTGTTTTTTTTTTTTTTTTTTTTTTTTTGCTATACCATGTTTTTTGTACTGGACTTGTTTTATTTATCTGTTCTTTTTCTTCTCTTTCGGTGTTTATACTTTTATTCAAATTGAAGAGTGGGCCTATATAATGTCTTCCGCATTTGTTCGCCTTGCTGTGTTTTATGGACGTCGTCTTAGTCTCTTGATATTTGGGCAGGATCTTTTCAATTTTACAAATTACAAGAATGGGTTTTGCCATGTTGCAGCTGATGTTTTTTTTTTTTTTTTTTTTTTTTTTTTTTGCTATACCATGTATTTTTTGTACTGGACTTGTTTTATCTATCTGTTCTTTTTCTTCTCTTTCGGTGTTTAGACTTTTATTCAAATTGAAGAGTGGGCCTATAATATTTCTTCCGCATTTGTTCGCCTTGCTGTGTTATGGACGTCGTCTTAGTCTCTTGTATTTGGGCAGGATCTTTTCAATTTTACAAATTACAAGAATTGGTTTTGCATAGTTGCAGCTGATGTTAGTTGATTGGAGTATTCCTTCTAGTTCCCTCTTAAACACCGAATTAAAAATGGACTTCCACAATCCTATTTAACGGTGTCAGCAATATGAATTTAATTGACCACTCCATTTCAAACCCAGTTTTAGAATACCTTCTTATAAACATTTCATGCTTGGATTAATTATAAAATTGATTTGAATATATATAATCACTGTTTATACATGAACTGCATTAGTATTAATAGATTAAAACTATACAAATTATAAAATGAATTTTTAATTAGTACAAAGCAAAATATATAGATTTATGAATAAATTTTACTATCAAATAAATCCTGCCAATTTTTTTTATCAAAATACTGACCTTCCTAAACACATCATAAGCTGCTTTCAAAAGGCAAATTTAAAAAGGTATGGAATATATTAATGTACTAGGTTGCATAGACACATACATATGGTATAGGATATGATATAGGACACGATAAATTTTAAAAAGTTAGGACATAACACGTCTATAACACACGTCACTAAATAAATATAATCTATAAATAATCATTTATAATAAGTTGTAAATATAAATATTACCTCTAACTTATTCGGGGCCCATTTCATTTAACTATTTGTACAAGTTGATTTTAATAGCAACTGATATAATTGTTTTTATATATTATGATGTATAATGTATGTGTATATATATTGAAAAATTATTATTTTTAAATAACTATAAAAAAAATAATCACAAAAAAAAATAATTTCAATAATAATTGTTCTTATGAGGTTATTAAAGTATAAAGAAAATATAAATACATTATCTAAGACCTTTAAAACCAATTGATTGGGATTTTATCCGTTGTTGCTGATCAAAAAGTTTATCAAACTCTCTTAGACATAAATTAGCAATTTTTAAAATTTCAATATCTTTAGCCTTTATTTTATTGTTATTTAAATTAACAATTTCAAGAATTTTGAAATTTTCAAAAGAGTCAAATGAGTTTGTAGATTCTGATAAAAATCTTATGAATTACTAATTGCAAATCATAAGATAGGATTTGCCTCCCTTTATTTATCTTTTAATTTCATATTTGAAGTATAAAAAATTACCTAATATTATCTTTAAGACAACAATCTAAAATATTGACAATGAATTTATCTAAAATTCTTAATAAAATTTTAAAAACTATCTCTAATTAAAGTATCTTAGAAATGTGAAAGTGTCTTAAAGATGTCAAGTGTTCAAAATTAAAAAAATAATAGAGAACACATTTTTTTAAATATGGAAAAATAATTAATTCGTCCTTGATGTTTCATCCAGTAGTTTGGTAATATTAATTAATGGTCCATGAAGTTTATCGCCGTTAAACCACTTGGTCCTTCTGTTTATTTTCTCCAAAATTTTCCATTAAAACTTTTAAAAAATGATTAAAATACTCTTACACTTAAGAAATGTAAATAATTAATTCGTCTCTAATATTTTTTACCAAACTAACTATGTGGTTTAGCAATATTAATTAATAGTCCCCGAGATTTACCTCTGTCAAACCATTTAGTCATTCCGCTCATTTTCTTTAGATTTTTCCATTAAAACCTTTAAAAAAAGACTAAAATACCCTGACAGCTAAGAATAAAAAAACTAAACTAATTTAGGTTAGATTTCCATTTGTCGTGAAAGAAAAACGAAAAGTCAAAGTATACATTGATTATTTGATATTCACTCAAAAAAAAACTTTTTTTTTATCAACATCACTTTACTTTCTTAAGCCACCAACAAAAAAATGAAAAAGAAAAATATACATCAAATTAATTTTAATAAAAATAATAGACATTTAATTTTAGGTATCAATATTCAAGAGAACAAGTTAGTTTATATATTCAATTACAAACTGCAACTAATGAAATGAAGGTAGGACCATAGGAATAGTAAGAAGATAAAAAAAAAATTCCAATTGTAAATTTGATAAGACTTAACTGTCATTCCGTTATAAAGCAAATAACGTAGGTTAGATTAATCTTTTCTTCTTAAGTTTAACGATATTTTAATTTTTTTTTTTTAAGATTTTAACAGAAAAATCAGGAGAAAATAAATAAAATGACCAAATAATTTGACAAAGGTAAATCTCAGAAATCATTAATTAATATTGCTAAACTCTACAGAAATGACATAATTAATTTGGTCAAACCTCAGAGACAAATTAATTATTTTCCATTCTTATGTATTAAGGTATTTTAGTCTTTTTTTTTTTTTAATTTTAATGGAAAAGTTTGGAAAAAATGGACAGAAAAACCAAATGATTTGACGGAGATAAACCTCATAAATGATTAATTAATATTGTGAAACGGTGACTTACTTACGAATTAATTATTTTCCTCTAAAATATTTAACCGTGTCAGAGAGTGTCGAAGTGTCAACGCTCCATGTTATCACTTCCACAGCCAGTACTTTCCCCAAAATCTTCATTTATATTTGGAAGCTCGATGGCAACAACTATACATTTCTCTACTATTATGCCAAAAGAAACTATGATGAGGAAATGAAGATACAAAAATGGAAGAAATTGTTTTGAACAGGCAAAGAGAAGCAAAGAAAAACAAAAAGAGCAATCCATTTCCCAGTCGCAAAGCCGAAAAGAACTCAATGCCTCATTACCTTTTAAAGAAAACACATCCACTCATTCTCTGATATAAATGAGATACAAGAATTAATTCAGCTCAGCTTCTGCTTCTCCAAAATCCATTTCCGGATTCTGCCAATACACTCCACATCAAACGTCGCATACAGCTGCTGTGTTTTCTCGCACACCATTTTCACATAGTCATCTATACAATCTTCATGTTTCTCATAGAGTGCTGGAATGGTAAGCATAATAAAAAGACCTGCCACATTTGCAAATGTAAAATCGGCATTTAAATGATGGAAAGAAGGGATATGGAGAAAAAAATTCAAGTTCAACGTTATTGTTCTTCAATACTGACAACAATTTAGCCATAGTTCACTACTAAGGCTCTACTTGGGATTGAGTTGCCCCCTTTCTTAAAAAAAAAAAAAAGAAAATTTACATCCCACCTGCTGCATTTTTCTACTTGTCTTAACCACTTTGGACCCCCTTGGTTTTGAAAGCATTGCCCCTTAATTTTAATTGCTAGCTTAGCCCCTAGTTTGGAGCTGCTTTTAAAATTTTGTTTCGATTTTTTTTCACTTCTTTAAAAGAATTTTAAACTGCTTTTGGAAAATTAAAGGGAAAAGGTTAAAAGAACCTAACTTTTCCCAAACCATTGTCTGCTAGATCTTAATTATTGGACACACAATTTGCCAAAAGCAGCTCAACAATGGGCACTTAATTCAAATGCATTGGCAAATTATGTAAATCAAAAGAGAGGTGAAACTTACTGGTGTAACCCAAAGTAAGGAAATCCGCTAAGCCACCAACAATGGATATCAGCAAAAGGTACCCAGCTACTTTTAAGAACAAATTTGTGTCCTTACCCAGGGCAATGTCCTGGGAAACTGAGAGAAAATCATTCAAGCGAGTTCGAACGAAAGCTGCAATTTCATTTACTGTTTCTTCTGAAAGATGCAACTCTGGTAAAGGCGGAGCAGGTCTGCTCAAGGTAAGGGGAAAATGGTTCAATGAAGCCCAAGTTTTCCAAAAGCGAATAATGAAAAATACAGAAGTGATCAATCAGAAAATTTTGTAGTGCTGATCATTCAATTTTATTTATTAAACTAATCATATTACATTCAATAATAATCAAGAATAACTGTATTTGAGCTGAAAATCTCTCTGCCAACTCATAATATATAGCAGAAGAAAAACAAGAATAGTTTATCAACTACTCATTTAATGTAGTCTCAAAAAGGAAAGTAAAATCAGCAACTACTTTTAAAGAATCAATTTAACGAGTCTTATTCTAATTGATAATAACTATTAATTAGACCATAAAAATGAATTTAATATGAATTAGTCTAAAGGTGCATCAGTGTCTCATAGGATGACTACATACAAATACAATGAAAGTAGGGCAAAAAGTAGCCATTTGATATTTGCTGATACCATCCTTACATACAACTCAAAGAAAGCTCAAAAAATTTCCATCTTTGAAAAATAAATAAAGAGATGCCAATCCTGAAATGCAAACAAAGTAAACACAAATAAATATAGCTATAACCAAGATCATTTCTTCAAAAAAAGAAAGAAAAAAAAGTAAAGGGAAAACGCTAAAGTTGAACAAAATTCCCTAAACATAAGAAAATGATCAAGTGATTAATTAATGCTCTTGCAGTTTATTAAAATATGGGTAATCAATCTCCAAATAAATTATGATAATTGAAAGGAAAAAAAATATAAGCTTTAATGATGATTAAGAAACAAAATCTGTTTTAGGAAATTACCTGTTAAGAATGGCAGCAGATTTTGCCCAGAGAAAGAGAATAACAACAAGGAGGAAAAGAACGCTCGAAACAAGTGATAACAAAGTATAACCCGATCTCTCAAACACCACCCAAGAAGCTAGAGCTACTAACAATACCCCAACTGTAAAATTCTTTTGCCTCCACAGTACAACATCTGCAACTATTTAACAGAAAGATATAAAGAAACAAATCAAAATCACATATAAACCCAGAACTTCCATTTTGATTATCTTTAATTATGCATTTGGATTTCTTGAAGCAAAAGAACCTTCATGAAAAAAAAACAAAACAAAACAAAAATGCTAGACAAAATGACACCCCAAATTAAAACAAAAATGGAGCTTCTAAATTAAGTACTCACCAAAACCTCCTCCGAAGATCTCATGAACAGTTCTTTGCCTGTTAAACAATCGATCCGATGAACCCATTCAGATTTAAATAATTAAAAGAAGAAAATTGACTCCAGTTGAGATCTCTAAAAACCCACCAAGAAAAATTGGAGGAAAGAAAGAAAAGAGAGAGAGAGAACTTTGATCAAGCCAATCTTGGAAAAAAAGAAAAGAAATTGGTCGTGTTAGCGTTTTAATCTACAAATAGTAATAGAAATTCAATACAATGAAAGGTCCCATGTCATATGTATTGTGTATGTGATTGAGTGGTCTCAACTTACAGCCTAAAAGTGTCAAACCGCCCATAGCTTTGCTTTTCTTGCTTTTCAGGCTCTTTTGGTTTTCTCCCCCAAAATCATAAAATAAATGAATAAAAATGTTTGTTTCTACATATATAAATATTTTTTATTTTGGCACTTAAAAATACTTATTAATTATTTAGTTAGGAACACAAAGACAGACATTCCTTCTTCTTCATCATGTTCAGTGATTGAAATGACTGAATGGGGAAGTGGCTGCTATTTTCTCTTCAACTGTGCTATTACCAGTCAATTACCATTAATTTATTCAACCCCCTATATGACGCTATAATATTAATAATGTGCATTAAAAAGATTATACAAATTAATATAACAAATATTATATTAATAAAAAATAGAGAATTGTAGCAGGGAACTGTCTAAAAGATTGCAGAAATTTCTTCTCCATAGAACTGAATATGATGAAAAATAAAAGCGACGGAAGCAATATTTCTAATGAAAAAAATGCAATCACTGATTTGTATAGCTGACTTGGGTGATTGTAATGTTCTTATGATGTCAATTTGATGTAAACGTGTTATCAAAAAGTACAATGAATGTATATACTGAATTGCAAAAGGATGTTAAAAAACATCCTAGTTGACATGGATCAGTGTCACGCAACTAATAGAATGTGATTTCAAAACTACATTTCTCATTCTGCAATTTTTTCTTCTGTATTTTGAGCAGCAACAGCTTCGGTGCTAGTCATAGCTTGGGAAGAATCCATCAAACTGGCAGCTATTGCAGCTCTCAAGTCTTCATCTTCAAATTCTGTAAGCATGTCTGCAGCTGGATCAGAATGTTGTCGAGTGGAAATGACACGCTGAGAACCCCAAGTTGAGTTGCAGGATTTGATAATCCTCTCTGCATCTTCAGGAGATAGCCACTGCCCATAACCATTAGAAGCTTCAGATGATGAAATGGGACACTCTTTTGGGAAGTTTCCTCTAACCAAAAATATGCTCCAGCCAGAGCTCTTCAGAGAATCCAGATAGGCAGCAAGGTAAAACTTAGACAGGTGTTCTGGGGCTGCATAGAGACTGTCAAAGTTATACCACTCTCCATTCACTTTCCTTATACAGAACCAATGATCATGCAAATGACAAATGAATGCATTTTCAAGTTCAGGGTCAATCTGGGCAGGCTCAGCAACTGGACTGCTAAAGGGAATGACTTGCAAATCCCATACCTCCAAAGCCTTTTGTAGGACCTGCAAGCAAAAATTTCCACATAATTCAAGTTGGGATAGCATCATTAGATTTGGCACTACAAAACTACAAAACTTGAATGCACTATGTTCTGCCACTATCATAATTCTTTTTCCTAACATTTGATCGTAATAGATCCTCAAAATGTTTTCCAAACCTTTAAAGAATTGAAAAGATGAAAAAAAAAAAAAAAAAAAAATAAAGAATTCGAAAAGATGACAAAAAAAAAAAAAAAAACAGCACCAGCTTGCTCCAACAAAGGCATGATAAAATGCCTTCAACTTTTGTCAATTTTCTTTGATCCTTTAATAAAAAAAAAAAAAAAAAAAAACAGCACCAGCTTGCTCCAACAAGGCATATAAAATGCCTTCAACTTTTCATTTTTCTTTATCCTTAATGCCTAATCTTTCCTCTCATGACAACTCAAATGCTTTCAGGTGCAATTTTCATACAAGGAGTAAAAAAGAAAAAGATTTACATAAATGGTGTAACATCAAAACATATGTCTCCAGAAACTGCTAATCCTTTAAGTGGTTTCTTAAGCTTTTGTGTGTACATATATATATATATATATATACTACAGAAACCGCCATAAGATTTAGCAGTTTCTTAAGCATTTTCTGCTTGCTTCAGGCATAATATTAAAATGATTTGGCCAGTACAACAGTAAATTTCTTTTTGTTTTTATTTTTTGTTACGGTAACAGTGTACAAATGGAGATAATTACAATGTTACACTAATACCATAACTTTTCTCTTTGAGAAGTCCACAAAACACTGACTTGTTTTTTTTTTTTTTTTTTAATGTTACACTGTTTATGTAAACTTTTTTTCTTTTTACTCCTTTTACGAAAATTTCCCACTTTCAACAGGAGTGGAAAACATTGGCAAGGTGCAACATGTCCTTCCCTTTCTGTAAAAGAATACAAGCAGAGGGCAAGCCTTTCACTGCAACAATTTTTCTACCAATATAACACACAAATGACCAAAGAAAGCAAATGTACACACTATAAACAACCTTTATAAGTAAAGGCTACTTCCTAAACTTCCCACAGACATTAGTCAGTCCCCAACTCACCATATCTTTTCTCACACATGATCTGCACTTCATAAAGACGATTAAATTTTACCCATAAATATAGGAACAATAGTTTATTATTCTTATAAGGTAGAAAATATGTTTCATTATAGCATACATCTATGCCAACATAGTAACCTTTTCACTCCCTAAATCTAAGCTGCATTAGCATACATCTACACCCAAATTATACCGTTTTCATCCCCTAATCTAAGCCACATGAACTTCGAAAAGAATCCCAACCAGTAGTATTCACTAAACTAACAGCAAAGGTAGCCCCAACATTTTGAATAATCAGTCCATACCGTATTTACTATTTTCTGTACTTTAACACAGCTACTTCACTCCAAGGTGCTCTCTCTCTTTTTCTTAAGGGTTTAAGAATGTTAGCAAGAATCCTAATTAACAAATCTCCAGGACCCAACCCTCTTGAATTGATGAAGAAGAATAACATGCACAATATCAACAAAATGATGTTCCTTGAAAACCTCTCTTTTTGACCTCCCAAATTCTGCTGCCACCCTCTTCAGTCTTCTTCCTTCCAACTAAAGATTTCACTGTTGCTATAAAGTATAAAGATCCATGATAATAAACTCAACGTTTCTGAATTCTTAAGGAAACAAACACATTTACTGAGTTTAACTGAAGGAAAAGGTCTACAAAACAAATACGTAACAATCTAAATATTCTTCCCATTTATTTTGAGGTTATATTGAAATGTGTTCTCCACTTTAAACTGGAAAAATATTAAAAAATGCAATTTAAGATGAGAGCTCTTTTGTTAGCTTGGCTTTCTTAGTTTACAAATAAAGAATAACCTATATCCAACCAATTCATCAAAGAATCTCATGTTTCATGCATTTGCCAAAACTCTACTTATTCTTGAATAATTAATTGACCTAGTCGATTCAAACTATTTGCCCATTTCTACAGAAGGGTAAACAATAAAAGAACATACAAGTTTAAAATTTAACTCTTTTTTCTGTTCTTTGTGTAACCGCAGCCCAGGCTACTAAAGAGAGCACAGGGAGTAAAAGAAGAGATGTTTATTATCCATAGAAGTAAGAGTAGCAATTTAATAGGAAAATAGAACACAAAAATGCTAATAAAACACATTTTATTTAATTGATTATTTTCAAATTCAAATTGTTGGATAATCATCCAATTAATCAATCAATAGTCATCTAAATATTTTATGAAAACCATTTCCTAAGTCCCAAAGTCTACAATTTTCCGTTCTGTTTCTTTTCATTCCAAGAGAGAACATTACAAAATAGGAGTTGGTATCAGAATTGAAAAAATAAATAAAGCGAACCTGGATACTAAAGTCACCGTCCAAGGAGACATTGTGGGACTCGGCGGAGAGGAAATCGCCGGTACAAGCACCGGAATCTTGCATCATCTGGCGTTCCTTGCAGTCAAGATCCGAAGCCAACGCCGCCAAATCGAATTCAGAGAAGAAAGGCCCCTGCAACACCGTGTTGACGCAATGTACGGCACAAAGCTTGGCCTCTTGTACCTCATGGTACAACATCCCACCATTGCTAACTCCTTCCATTCCAGTCTCTGTAAAGAAGAGAAACCCTAGAATCTAATCTATTTTGTCCGTAGTTAATTAGGCGATTTGAGTGAATATTTGATGGTTTTTCCGGTAGTATATTTTCTTTGGATGCAGGAGAAGAAGACGAAGGGAAAGTTTTCACCTTGTCTTCGACGTTTTTAATGGTAGTTACCACGTGCAAAAGAACTGCGTGCCACGCGTAATGACACCTGGAACTGGCTTGAAACTGTGTCCGCTACATATGCAGCTAGAAAAGCGCGGTTTTTATTTTTTTAATTGTTAACATATATTTTAATTACATATAAATGATTTTAATGTTTACGTAATTCATTCATAAACTAAAATTTATGGCATAAATTATGAATAAGTTATTTCTTCAAATAAACCTTAATTTAAAAATCATGAATAAGTTATCTATATATCCCTTTTTACTTTTTTGCAACTAATTACTTTTTTTTTTTTATTGTTGCAGCTTTACAATGAAATTGTTCATGTTAATATATTACCAATAAAGTTCTTCCTATACTTTTTATTTCTGTCTTTTTTCTTTGAAAATGTATTAAAAGATGATATTAAATTTATTTTATTTATCTTTTTGTACATAATTGCTTCTCTTTTTATTTTTGCAGCATTACAATCAAATGATTCATGTTAATATCATCAATAAGGATGCCTCTATTCCTTTCTATTTTTTACTTTCTTTGAAAATATATTATAAGAGAATCTCAAACTAATTATTAATCATAGAATTTTCATAGTTATATTAATAATTTTCAATTGTATTAATGGATATATTACTTTCTACACTACAACCAATATAAAATGAGGTAAATAAATTAAAATTTATCGAAATTATTGAAAACGTTTCTCAAAAAGGCCATGTGATCTATTTTATTATATATTCTCGCAATTTTTCTTTCATAGCTTTATCATTTTTTATATAAAAGGATAAAAATAGTGGAATTGGAAACTAACTGTGATTTTATTCATTTTACAAGTATTAAGGAGTAATATGACAAACTCGAAGTAATATATATATATATATATATATAATTTCTCGCAATTTTTCTTTCCATAGCTTTACTCATTTTTTATGATAAAAGGATAAATAGTGGAATTGGAAACTAATCTGTGGATTTTATTCATTTTACAAGTATTAATGGAGTAATATGAACTCAAGTAATATATATATTAATAATATATATATTATATATATTTACTTATATATCTAAGCTATATCCATATAATCCGATATTTAATTATTTAAATTGTTGAACCTTTCTAAATTACATTACTTCACAGTTATTTAATTTGTTGGGACATCAGGTATCACTTGCTTCAGCTCTGATAAACCACTATCGTTGGACCCTGTTTTCAACCAATTAAGAGAACAATTAAAGCAGTGGAAATAGAAATGGGGACACACAGGAAATTTAACGTGGTTACCCTCAACTAGTTTAGGGCTATGTCACATGAACGGATCAGAATCTCCGAATGAATTTCCACTATTAAAAAATAATTAGTAGGTGTATAATGACGTCACTAGTAATACAAAAAGCAAATAGTAAAGCACTAAAGTGTTTTCCCAAAACACACCACCATAACAAAGTTTTGTTTTCCCTCACTTATTTTTCCCCTCCCTAAGGTTTTAGGGAAACTTTCCTAAAGACACGGATAAACTCTCTCGTCTAACATTTTTCTTCTTACTTAATTGTTAGTGTGTTGATGCAGGAGGAAGAAGGGGGATAAGAGTACGTCATTAACGGTACACACGCGATCATGGATGTTTGGTTATGCACGGGTCTATCTTTTCTTCCTTTTTGTTTTTTTCTTTCTTCGTGCAGCCTTCGGCTTATGAATTGATCAAAACACTAAAACGTTGTGGTAGAGAGTGTTTGTCTTTTTCTTTTTCCTTTTTTCTTTTGTTTTTTTTTTATTCAAGGGGCTATCCTGTGCTGTGTGTCCCACAAATGTATCATCTGAGGGACCAATCCAACAATTCTCCCCTCCCCGAACTATATGTGGGGGACTCTCCATCCTTACCGGCTTTTGACCACACCTTCGGACTTCTTGTCTCGCTTTTTTTGCCTCAGTTGTTACGAGAGGCAACACCTTCTGTAATCCTTAGACGTGCCCACAACACAGCTCCCTGCAAATGTGATTGGATATTCCTCGAAAATTCATTTCACTGCGTCCAGATGTTCCTTTCTAGGATTCTGTAGGAGACAAGAAACCGCTTAACTACATCCAACTGAGTGAGCAGTTGCTCTGGCCGTGTAAAACTATGGGCATTCATCAAGGCTTTCCAACTGCTGAAAAAGCATTGGAAATTCTTTTCCTTTACTTTCTTCTATCCACCGTCGGTGGGCGGCATGGAGAAGGCACTATTTAGGCCAGATTTAAGTGATCTTGAGCAGGAATTAATACGGCTTTAGCGTCTTTCCATTCTATGAGATCTTTGAAGTACTCTCTTCAACGATGTAACTTAGTTACTGTTTATTCTTGTGACACACCCATATTTCTTGGCTCTGTGATTAATGTGTATCCTTCATGCAAGAAACTCTGCTTTGAAATGATTCCCACAGTCTGTTTAATACAAACGACTTACTTAAGTTGTTTTCTTCACTATTAATTTTGGACCAACATTTTCACCATATCAAGTTGCCTGGCCCACATAGAGCAGCAAAAAGCAAAAACACATGGTGGTAATTATCGTAGTATTTGCCAATCAGAGAATTTTTTCATAGAAAACAATATTAATTTTGACCAACAGTCACCATATCAACCACATAGAGCAAAAACAATGTAGTCATCATCAGAGAATTTTTTCATAGAAACATAGTGATCTGAAGTTGTCTTTCTGTAGCCTTGCTCCCCCATAACAGACTCAAACTTCTTGTACCACTGTCTTAGTGCTTGCTTCAAGCCGTACAAGCTCTTCCTCAGTTTGCAAGTACAATCCTCTTTTTCTACGAAACCCTCTGACTGCTCCATGTATATTTCTTCTTCCAAATCTCCATGTAGGAAGGTAGTCTTTCAATCCATTTGCTCGATTTCCAATTCAAAACTGGTGGCCATTCCGATCACTGTTCGAATGGATGTCATTTTCACAACTGGTGAAATGATCTAAATCAATATCCTTTCTTAATTGAATCCTTTCACAATCAGTCTAGCTTTGAATTGTGGTTGGGAGCTGTGTTCTTCCTGCTTGATCTTAAACAACCACTTGTTCTTCCAAGCTATCTTGCCTTTGGGCAACTTCACCAATTCAAATGATTCATCCTCATGCAAGGACTTCATTTCATCTTGCATGGCTTCAATCCAGTTCCTCTTGTGTTCATTTCCATAGCCTCTTCAAAGCTTTCAGGTTCTTCCCTGTCAATCGTTAGTACATACTCATTGACTGAATATCTAGTAGATGGTTGTCAGACTCTACTAATCTTCTTAATGTTTGAGAACCTTCCGCTGCTGGTGGTTGAACATGAACACCATAATCTTCATCTGGTTCATTTTCATTGGGAACTTCTGGATTTTCTGACTCTGGCACTTGTTCTTATGGAACATTTTCTTCATCTCCAATTTGTCTGCATTCCATTGGAGGGACTCTCTGTATGTCTGTTAAGTCTTCATCAAATCTATTGGCACTCTGCTTCAATGTCTTCAATAGTCTGATCTTCAACAAATACAGCATCACGATTTCTTATAATCGTCTTCTGGATTGGGTCATAAAACCTATAGCCACATTGGTCTTTGGCTATAACAATGGAATTACACACAGCATATCTTGACATCAAGCTCTAGACCCGTCATCCTTCAGGATATGCCATGAAGGCTTATGCAACCAAAACACTCGGCAAATGATCATAGAAAACATCCTTCCTAACCTATCTCTTTGGAGTAGTATCATACTGTAGAGGGAAAAGAGTGAACGGCGAATGGCTGTGTGAGAGTAAACATCCTTCGATCTCTCCATCGACTCTCTCCATCAAAGTTCTGTTCATCCTCTCAACCAAACTATTCAGTTGCAGCGTTTTGGGAGGTGTCGTTTGATGTCGAATGTCATGCTCTTTGCAGAAAGCATCAAATGGCCCAGTGCATTCTCCACCATTATCTGTCCTGATACACTTCAGCTTCTTGCCTGTCGTCTCTCAACCAGGTTTAGAAAACTTCAATGTGTATACCCAGGTCTTCCTAGAATGGTCATCGATAAATATCACAAAACATCGATTTCCACCATATGACATTGTCAATGGTCCACACAAATCTGAATGAATCAGATTTAATACATTCTTCATTCTAGAAGGAGGGTTAATCTTGAAAAGCTACTCTGTTTAGCTCTCCCGCCATACAATTAGGACACTTGACTAGGTGAACTTCATCCAATCTAGGTAGTACATTCTTTCTTGCCAGAGTTTTCTTACTCGAGTTTTCTTACTCATGTGGCATAGTCGTTTATGCCACAATTCAACTGTACTGTCATTCTCTGCTACACTCAAAGTGTCTTGGGAGAGTTGCGCATGCATCATGTACAGCTTTTGGTCTTTAGCTACCACAAATGAATCTTTTGTGAGCTTCCACTGACCATTTCTGAAGGTGCTACAAAAACCTTCATCATCAAGTCTGCCAACCGAGATTTGGACGCATGCTCGAAAGCTCATTCCTCATTAGTCTTCTCTTCCGGTTTAGTTCAACTAAACACAGGCAAATGCATTTTGAATAGGCGATTCTATTTCTATAATGGTAATTATTTAACTTATCATTTGGCTTATTTGAATTGGCAGAAAAAATATTCAAACATAAGTGTAACTGTGAAAGTAGTATAGTGATAATGACATGAATAGTAATTAGTTTCTATTGAATTAGTAAACTGTATGGTGAATTGTAACTTAAGTGGAATAGTATATGGTTGAATAGTGCGGTTACTGGGAAGGACTTAGAAGGCAATAGTACTGTTTAATTCAATTTGAGTTAAGATTTTACATTATACTAAAGTAATTTTGAACGTTTTGAGTGGAAAGAAAATGGAATGTAGTAATGTTTGCATCGTGTATATTATTTTAAAATATATCAAGATAAGTAAACTTATTGAGGTGGATAGAAACTTGTTGATAAATTTGGGCATCAGGTACATGTAGTTGATAATACGTTGGCTTTCAAAATTAAGAAAAAATTTAAGCAGCGGAAAAAATAAGGAAATGGGAAACAAAAGATTTTAAGGTTATAAACCTGTTTAGGGAGTAGAGGAAAAACTGAGTTTTAGGAAACCCTTCCTAAAACTAGATAAATCTTTCTCTACATTTTTTCTTCTTCTTTTGTTGTGTGTTGATGAGGGAAAACCTTCTCCTATAGGAGAAGGGGACGCGTCATTAACGTATCCACCGAATGGATGCATTAATCCCGCGTCTACTTTTCCTTTTTTTTTCTTCTTTCTTCCGTAGCCTTCAAAACAAAACGTGTTTGTTTTTTTCTTTTTCTTTTTTTTTAAACTTGTGTGTGTCCCACACGTCGGAGGGACCCACAACAGAATTGTATTTAAATAAAACTTAAATATTTTAACAAATATATTCCTATATACTATCCATATTTAGTTATTTAAATTGTTGAACATTATCTATGTATGATTATCTCACGATATTTGAATTGTATTTAAATACAACTAGAGCTGCAACAAAACTTATTCAATGTTTGAGTTGTATTTAAATATGATTAGATCGTACCAAAATTTATAGCTATGAGCAATTTCTGAAGTTCAATAAATTCAAGGGGAAGAAAGTATGAGCTTATTATAAGCTAAAAAATCTACTGGCTACATCTCTCTCCATCTTCTTTGTTCTTACTATGAGCTTCAGTTTGTGTTTTTGCAGTCATATATGCTCTGTTATTTCATAAATTTATTAATGGTTTTGATTAGTTGTAGTAGTTGGCTCACCCAATTGTCTACAAAGTTGTATTAATATTCAATTTCACCTTTTAACTTACGCGCTGCAATGGAATTTGATTTTGAAACATGACTTCGGAGTTTGATATTTGTTTTATAGGTTGATAAACACATTACTTTCTTTTTTTACTTTTAATTTTATACAAAAGTAATTTTGTAAAAAGCATATCCAATCCGTGGAGAGGATTGGAAGAAAGTATGCATTATATGTTGTTTTAACTCAGTTTATATTGTTGTTTTTATCCGTGATTTTTTTAAAAAAATTTAAACAAAAAGAATTTATCTGACCCCTAATACGTATTTTTTTTTAGGTAGATTTTTTATTATTCTTTCTAATAATTTGATTATTTATAATAATTTATCACAACTATAATAATTAATAAAATAATATTTAAATACCCGCGCGCGAAGCCCCGTTTGTCGACCAGTTTCAAATAAGGTTAGGGAGCACAAGTTGCAGCTTAGTTGTTTTGTTTGATAAGGATTTTAATTAAAAACCAATTTCATCCGTTATATTTTGATTTGTGAGATTATTTCAACGGTAACTGTAAATTTCAAAATCCTAATTTTGCTGGGCCTAAAGTCTATCCAATATAAAACTCAAACCCGAAATGAGTAGATACTTATAAGAAGAAACTGTATCGTTCCATAAAAACTCCAACATTGTTGCTCCTAGAATTATCCCAAACTGGAATATAGTAATAAATTAAAGACGTCCTTTCCATTCAAATTAAGGTTGCAACAAGGAATATTTATTGAAATTGGGGAATAGCGAGTTTTTGGTTTTGAACCGAATGAATGAATCTTGGTTTTCGTCTTGCTAGCAACCGATCTCTGGCTAGCACTTCTACTGACCAAATCAAACCTTAATCGGTTTTTCAACAAAACTCCATGCAACCAAATGATCTAAATAATCAAATCAAATAAATTGAATAACATTTTATTTTTTTCATTTTAACTGAATAATGTCCATCCCTATTCCCTAAGAGAGAGTAGACAGCGGGTCGGGGAAGTAAAACTAGTGTCTTACTCAATAACCAAAGAGTATTATAAAAAACAAGTAGTCTAAATAATGAATTTTACCCAACCTCAGTACTAAATATTAATTTCCGCAACATAAACTGCATAAAAGGTTTTCTTCAAAAAATTAATAGTTTAATCCCTGATAACCCTCTCTTATAACAATGTTGACCGTAACAAAGACAAAATAGACATATAGATACCACAAACAGATAGCAATAAAACAGTAAATTTATGTATTTTAAGAAAAAAAGAAGAAGAAGAAAGAGTAGTCACTTATGGCTAACTCAAATGGTCATTTCTTAAGCAGTTGGAAATTTCAAGCCAGATTAAAAGATCAAGTCATGCTCCGTAACAAAAATAGGTATCATGCATCATCAACTAGCCAAAATTAGTAGTCTAGACAGCTAGTATGCAGCATCCAACCTTCCAAAATAGAAAATTGTAAGTAGTCGCAATAAGCAAGACCGAGAAAATTGCATCAATGTTTAATTTCTACAGGAATTTCTATTCATTTCCTTGGCAAATTTCAATGCTCAATCTTCCTTTCATATAATAGAGAATTTTCTTCCGCACTAATGTCTTTCGTATTGGTCACTGGTAAAGAACCTCCATGAGAATTCCTAGACAAGTAGGTCATAATGATTCTTACCACTATAGAGTAGCCTCACAACTTTCCTTGGCTTTCCATTTTTTGAGCCCTTGCGAAACTCAGTTCCATACTCTGCAATGGGAATAAAGCCAGAGCCCCATCCACCCCTTGTATGCTGCAATATAGTTAGAAACTTGGATATAAGACAGTTTCGTGATGTTGTTAGATATATAGTATCATATTACACATCAAATTGATTGAAATTAAAAGGACAACATGAATAATAAAACTTGTATTAGCCAAAAATTAGAAATTCATTCTCCTTGAAAGCATGATTTGATCACCTATGACATGCTCATAAAAAGTTCCAGAGGTTTAGCATAACGAGGGATGCAAGGATTCAGTGGAGGCAAGGATGGCCAAAAAAAAAAAATTCCCTGTATGAAACCATTTTTGTAATCAATAAGGAATTCCACTCATTGGTGGTTTAGGGTGATGGGTAGGCTTTTATTTTCGTAATTTTCACGAAACCATAATTTCTATATGCTAGCATTAAATGTTATATCATATACATCACATTTTGAATACTACTGGTTAGTAATCAAGGAAAACGAACAACATTAAGAAATTTCAAAGATAATTAAATTTCACACGTTTAAGGCAAAATTGTGCAAGGCAGGGATTCCACATCAAATTTGAATGAGACAAAGTTTGTAGATTGTGCTAAAGTCCAAGAGAACAATTAGACTTGGAACATGCACAAAGGATTCCTGCCTATAACCTAGTTGGATGACCCACAATGTGAAAGAAAAAGAAATCTCAACTCTGAGCAGGGGTGTTACTCACTGAAAGGAAGAGGTTGAAAGATCAACTTCTATTTATTGCAATTTTTTTTTTTTAGCTTAGAGATATCCATTTTCTGGTAAAATAATTTATTAACCTAAATAGTTGGAAAAGACAGGAAGAGACACAGTAGAAACCAAAATTAAAGGGCAATGAGTAAAAAATAAATTCCCGAAATCTACAAGGAAACAACATACCTCATGCTCTGGGATGTAAACAATGATTGGTTGACCACATAACTTGGACAGCACCTGATTCAGTAGGTGTTACAGCCATCAGTCATCAGATGATGTTTCATCCAAAATTGCAATGAGGTTTCTTGATAATTTCATGGGAAAAATGTTCAACATATCACACCATTAGAGAGATAAAGAAAGAAAATAACATTGGCTACACATGAATTATTTCATATTGCATTTTGATAAAATTTACACTGTTATCTAAAGACACTGCTCAAAACTTCAAATGTCAATTTTCCAACTCCCTCTTTGACGCAATCAAGTAAAAAAAATTTCAGGACTTATTATTTTGATAGAAACTTGACTCATGAGAACATAGATTTTCATTGTATTGTTCTAATAAGGATCATTAAGTAACTCCTACTTATTAATGAGAAATAGTTTATTTTCTTTAGAAATTTTCTAATTTATACAGTTGTTACTTCCCACCAATGAATATTAGGGATTGCCTATCTTGAAAGTGTCCAATTTTTATTTTACATCCAGAAAAAATTGGGGAGATGCTGGAGATCGAATCCTTATCTCTTGCAGAATAAGGAAAAATAGTCCTATGCCTCTAAGCTACTCCTAAGGCTTTGTTCATAAAATATGTGTTTACTAAGAGTTTTTGGGAATGCACATTTGCCAAGGGTGATTTCCTCCTTCTCACTCTCTCTAACCCTCTTTCTCTCTTCTCTTTTTAGAGTCCATTGCCACAAAGTACGTGATTTACTCTTATAACCCATTTAGCAGCCTGAAAATTCTAAACTTGTCTCATTGTAATAAGCCATGAGTCAACCTCTTAACTCCAAACATTCTACTACAATTTTAAACCTTGACCCTTATCAATAACTTGAAATTGGCTTACTGTCTAACCACCGCCACCGAAGTTGCAATGGTAGCTAAACATGGCCAGTGGGAGCTGTTGGCCACTTGTGCCTTCATCTCCATGTCAATGCTAAACTAAATGCAACAAGTTAGTTATCTATATGTTATTTACTATAAGCATCGAGAATATGGGCATTTGACTGCACCAATAGAAACTAACAAACAGGTAACATATATATGTTAAAGATTTAAAGGTCTCTCATAACAGAAATATACCCCCTTCTACAATTAAAAAAAAAAAAAAAAAACGTTTGACCGTCCTATTTTACTTATATTAGAAGTTAAAATACTGATGTCTAACCAAGATATTACCTTCTTAAACTTTTGGTTTAAATTTTACATTGTTGAAAGCTCTTTAAAATGAAACGTATAATTAAAGTTTGTTGCTTTTCTTATGATCAAAATTGAACATTTTCCATGAAGAAAAACGAAAGTTTCCATTTACTCCATACAAAGTTTGCATTGAACAATTAAAAAATGGAAGAATTAAAAAACCACAAAACAGCTTATTATAACTTTTTTCAGCTCATTAATTTTATCATACAATGTGTCATCTTGCAGAAAATAAATGCCAACAAATTTTTAGCTAAAAAATGTTATACAAAAAAAAAAAAAGAAAAAAAAAAAAAACAGAACTTCAAAATCCCATCACCTTAACAAAGACTATTAAGATTGTACAGTCAGAAAGGATATTGTACACTAAAACCTCTGGAGAAGAAAAGGGTTTCAAGTGGACTAGTGAATTAGCTAATCCAAATTTGTTCATGCCCTGATGAGTCTGCGAAATTTGAGTATGAAAAAGGTCTTTGATTTCGCACTTCTCACTTCAGAGCCTGAAATTTTTTACATAAAAAATGGGGTGTGAGTTTTACTCTGTTAACATTATGCGTCTGATTCTTTAACCATTAAGTCATGCTAATAACACTGAATTAAAAAGTGCCACATAGCAAATAAAGTCTAATATGTCAGCGTCAAATTAACATAAATTAATTGTGTTAAAGCCATTAGACCCTTGAACCCCTCTTTGTTAAAAAAAAATCCAAACCCTAAAGTGAAAAAATGTGAACTCAAAGGATACTTTTTGTATTTTTCCCTTTTATGTAGGGAACATTCTGCTAGCTTTAGGTTTTTCAAGTGCTAACACAAAAATAAGTACATTGACAGTTGACATTCTTATCCTTGTGGACACCACAAGTGGTTTTGTCATGCTGAAACTACAAGTGGCTCCTTGGACAGGCAAAGCCAAAACATATGAAATTCCAAGTTTCGTGTTTTTTCGCTCTTTATTTACATTTATTCTTAACTCAGTCTGTGCTGCGTGCATGGATATAAACAAGCATATTCGTGATAACTTGAAATATATTTCATATAACTGACAACTGAAAAAATATTTTCTACAATGGATATAAACAAGCATATTCCTGATAACTTTTAATATATTTCATATAACTGACAACTTCAAAAATATTTTCTACAATGCTATATCCTATCAAAATAAAGGAACGACTTCATAAAAAGAGCGAGCATTAAAACGATAGGATTCAAATAAACATGCATTAAAAAGAGTACTAACCAGTAGCTCTGACTCTCCTCCCCAGAAGTCAGGACGCACAATGCGCTGACAGTAACTGTGGAAAGATATTTAAATATGTTAAAAAAAATCCCCGACCATAGAAACATGCTAAAGCATAATACCTATAATGAGTACACGTTTATAATGTTTCGAGGACTCACCGTTTCAAAGGCTCATCAACTGTAATTGCAACCAGTGCTTCTTCATACTGCCGGCGTTCTTTACTACTATCGCATATAACTTCTTTCACAGCCATTCGTAGATCATCTGCAAGTTTTTGAGCAATTGAATGCAAAATTATCTGCAAACTTAAATCAATATAATCTTATTAACTCTTACATAAAATCCAACATTTATAGCACTTGGTAGCTCAAGTATTTTTATCAAGATTTTGAGAAATTAATTCGTGAGCCCAAGAAAAATCGTCTTACTGCTTAGTTTGCATTAAGAAAATTAACAAATTTTCACAGTTTTTTTTCCTCTTCATGGTGAATTGTTATTGAGTTTGTAAATAGCTAATTGTAGTTTCTTAAATATGAGAGGTCAATTTAGAACACTACAAACAGCAAATACATGACTTAAAAATGTGATAATTACAGAAGAAGGCTTGACAAAACCATTGACACTCCTACATAGAGGTCTGACTACAAGAAATAAGAGCTAGTGGACTTCATATTATGGTGAAAAGAAATTACCAAGCAACAAATGATGTAAAAACAGAAAAGCTATGAATGTCTGACAAAACTAGTCTCATTACAAAGGATTTTCTGAAATCAATATATACATGATAGAAATGTATAATTTAAATGAAGATTAAAACATAATTACAATAAATATACCCGCATCATTTCTCTCTTCTTGCGGCTTCAGAGAGATACCTTTATTAAATGCCATTCCTTTGACCTGATTTCATCAATAAAAATTTCACAGCCAAAAATGTTATCTCCAGGAACTCATCAATAAAGGCTAAAGAGCACATACTTTAGCATTAGCCATTCATAAAATTTGAACAGAAAGAACAAAATATAACGCTTTCAAGAGAGATAGTAGACATGCATAATTATGATGGTGATGCTACATGCATAATTGTGATGGTGATGCTGCTACATATATAATTTAAGGTGACTAATACTTTCAAAAGTCTACAGCACTCACCTAATAATAAGATATAGGCTATCAATGAAAACTTAGTACAATATTTCAACTATTTCTAGACTGTTTCATTTCATGATTGTATGCTCAGATTGAGCTAGCTGTACAGAAACGTTTCATGATACAAGAGCCTCTGCACATGCATTGCTTGTTTAGACTCAGGCCTTTGGTTTCTATGGAAAAATTAAGACTTGCAAGCTATAGCGACAAACACATGACTAATTAGAACATAAATTCCAAAGGCTAACTACAGTTCAACATTCTTGTAGATAAACAAAACAATAGCTTAACTTGTTTGTTAATTTCAAATCGTAGCAGATATTAAAACAGTCAAATAAAAACGGAGCAAATGTTACCAATGCGCGAAATAGACACCGCCCGTCCCCAGTAACTTTCTGTACTGAATATTGCTCGACTTTTTTCATCGCCGGCGATCCCCTACCTCTAGAAAATAAAAATATTACTGTAATTAGCAAATATAAATCTCAAAATCACTTATAAAACATACATATGAGGTCTTCAAGCGTATTCAAAATACAAGTAACTAATAATTCAAAAGAACTCACAGCGACTGTCCAATTCTAGCAAAAAAGCGATGACCGTCGTCCGCCAAAAGGGTAGCTGGAGGACATTTGTAGAATTTCGATGTCAATATGGGAGGAACTGGAGAAGCTACAAGCTCGAATTGAGCAATTCCATTTTTAAGTTGCTCGATTATATTCTCTGCATAATATCAAAAGAGTCAGTGAAGAGACTCGAGGAATTCATCAGAAACACATACGCCAGAGGACTCTGATTTCCAGTTGCTGATTTCACGAGTACACTTGAAGGTGAGTAAGAAGCTGAATTATACCATTCACGAGTTTCTCCGCCATAGATTCTACAGTACAGCACCGAGTCTGAATTTGTGATAGTGAGATGAGAAGAGTAGGGAGTGGAACCGGAAATATGAATTAAAAGATTTTTATATAGCGCCTGAAGTAAAGCTAGGCATCATTCCGTTGTAGTTTAGTTGGTTAGGATATTCGGCTCTCACCCGAAAGACCCGGGTTCGATTCCCGGCAACGGAAATTTTAATAGTTTTTTTTTTTTTTAAAGGTTTAATATGGCATGTTTTTACTATTGCAGTCTATTTAAATGTTTTTGTCAATTTAACAATAAAAGATGAAATTACATTTTTCTAAAAATTAATAATAAAAATAAGATTTTAAATATCTCTATGAAATAGATTCTGTTGGAATATGTGGGTAATCCCACATCGAATAAATACAACTAAATGAAATGGCATATAATGTGAAGGGTGAACCAACCAAAATGGCTCAGGCCATTTTGTGTTAAAGGTAAGCCCAACTCATTATAAGCCTAATATTAAATAAGTGGGAAACTAATGAGGGAAGTTCTGTTGGTTTACTGATGGAATTGTGTTGAGATCGTATGCCTTGTCAGTGGGTTAGTATGAGGGGGGAGTGTTGGAATAATGTGGTAATCAAATGAATAATAAATAATGAATTAGGATTATTAATGTGAAGGGTGAAAAAAAAATGGCTTAGGAATTTTGTAGTTAAGTAAGACAAACTTAATTATAAGCTTTAAATTAAATTAAATATAATTGAATTGAGATTTTGATTAATATGCTTAGGCAAGATTATAAAAGATTATTTTTAAATCCTAAATTTATTTCATATCTAAAAAGTGCAATTTATAGATAGTAGAATTGAAATTTGGAATATTAAAAATAAAATATAAGAAGTATTAAATGAAAAATAATTTTATAATTTTAATACTAAAAAATTAATAAACAGATCATTTCTTGTTTCATTAAAATATATAGATTATATGAAATTTATTAAGTAATGTTAAAATTAGATTTTTATTAATTTAGTTTCATGATATTTGAAAATTTTAATAAGTATATTTATTTAAAAATTAAAATTCAAAAAATGAATTTTTTTTAATTTTAATTTTTTATGTAAGTTTAATTGAATTTAAAAAATGAAGAAAATTTTTTTTAAATTAATTGATTGTATTGAAAGTAATTATTGACATTAAGAGGAAAATTAGAAGTAAAATTAATAAAAAAATTTTTTTTAAAATATGATGGAAATTGAAAAAAAACCTATACAAATTTGGTATATTTTGTGTGTGTGTGATGATTAAAAACGTGAATAATTAAAACATGTTCTGTTGATTTACATAATAAAACAATTTGACAAACATATATTTTGGTCAATTGTGTATAAAATATAATTAAAAAAAAAATAAACGAGAGGAAAACCTTAGTTGAACATATTAGGTTATTTTATTATTTTCTCAAATTAAACGAGTGCAAATATTTATTTTTTTATTTTAAAAAAATGAATAATACTATTGAAATTAATTTTAATTATAATAGTATCAGGCTTCCAGTTTTTCTTATAATTTAAACAAAATTAATTTAATTAAAAATAGATTAAATAAAGAAAAATTAAGTAGATAAAATATTTGAGTTTGGATAAATTAATTAATTAAAATGAATCATTTCAGAATAATAAATTTTAATTTAATATGTTATAATTTTAAGATTAAGTGAATTATTATAAAAAATGTAATAGAAGTACAATTAATATGAATTTTGCAATAATGAATATTAAGTAATTTTTTAATTAAATTAATAACATATATTTAATTTAATTAATTAATTAGAGAATGTTATAATTTCTTATCAATAATAATAATAGGAATTGAATGTAAATATAATATAGTAGGAATGAGTAGATTGGAGGTATTATTATAATTTATTAATTTAATAGGAGATTGATTAGGTGTTTTTATTTTTAGGCATTTGATCAAGAAGTTTGTAGTTTTTTAAGGGGAGTTGGTCTTTCTAAGTACTCATTGATCGTAAATATAAATCATGATGGTTTAATACAATGTAATTATACATTCAATTTATAAATTGAGGAATATAAGTTCAACAATTGAATTTGAGATTTTTATATGATAATTTTTGGTTTGATTATCTAGTGAATTATATAATAATTTTTGGAATTTAGAACATCTTAACATCTTAGAATAAAGACTATCATCTGTAGACACCCATACCCTCTAATAAGTGCAATCATATATAAAGTTACCCACTGATTGGTTTGATAGTCGATTACTAAATATGATATTTATGGCTCTAGATTCAAGAACTTATATTTTCAAGCAGAAGATGAATATCACAAAAGAGCTCAAAATCAGAAATCTTCAAAAGCCACCTATACAAAGTAAAACTCAAAGTGACTCCAATGACCTGGATTAAATATTATCATTGATTAGAACTGTAAGGCTCAGTAATTTAGTAACGCACTTTCTTTTCAAGATAATTGGAAGTCATATAGGTACATTTCACTAATAAAAGAGGTGCGTGCGTTACTAATATTCTTAGAAGACAGCTTCTGACGATTCAAATCCACCCCGAACTAATAATTTTCTTGCTTCTATAGGGTACTTAGTACCACAATCACAGCACCTCAATACAATAGACATATGAAAGCAAGGTATTATATTGCTATAAGTTATAATTAATGCTAGAATGACACTAATCATGTGTGAGTGAGAGAACAATAGGATGCGAAAGGAATATGGTGTCATACTTATAAATACGAGATTAACTGATCTATAATTACGAACAACTGTGTTACACATAGAATAGTAATATAAGCTATAAGCTCAGAACTCGTATTAATAAGCATTATAAAAGTGTACGTCTCTATGATTCTCCTTTCTAAGTGCAGAAGAATTTGAACCATCAATTGGATAGATAAAGAAAGCTATAAAGACAGAAGGCATCGAACGAAGCGTAATCAACACAACCAAGAGGTGTCGCTAGAGGAAACAAGCCACTTCAAACGCACAAGAAAAAAAGTCTAGAATAATGTCTTTTGTGTATACAGCAGCCTGTTTAACACAAACTATGGAGACTAGAAAAGATCAAAAAGATATAAAAAGATATAGTCCTCGATGTTGTGTTCTTATCTTAATTCTCCGAAACACATTCGGAATAGATAGGCGGAATAGTATAAGGAAAGTATAGATGTACTTAGAGTGGTAGACAAAATGATTTTAAGCGAGTGTATAAAAGAACGCTCAAATTCGCCAATGATTACTTTCATAACAGAGATTTGAAACATCAAACAAAATAGACTCCAAAATCTAGTGTTAAGTCTATCGAAGTTCAGCCTCTACACATCAAAATGTAGTGCACCTAAGAGGCAGACTCAACGCATTTAGAACATCTTACGACACATGGAGTGTGTACCTGAAATTAGAATCATAGATATTGACACATATTTGTTCAATATCTATGAAGTAGATAATGATGATGCTATGCATCAAAAGAACTCACAGATGAGTCATTGAAGCTACACGTAGGGAGTGGCATCAAATAGGACACTTGAAGATGGCGGCCAGAAGGTGTATGATAAGTGATTCAATTATAATACAACTCATGAACAACTATTCAGACGTGAATGTGTAGGAACTAAAGATTGAATCCGACCATAATTTAAGTGGAAGATATTAATTACTATAATTACAGAGATCATTTAGATTCGCCTAATTTATCGAGACCAGATAGATCATATGAAGCGTCAGACAAAAGTAGTGCTCAAACATTCAAGAAGGCTCAACAATATTCTATTCGCCAGAACAAAAAGGTTGCACGCGAGAAGAGTCGTCTTGGATTCAAATGTATATGTAAAGTTAGTGACATAGATATTCTAGCATATATTTTCAAAGCATGATAGATTAATATCAATCGGAACGAGAAAGTAAGTCTGTACCACTGATGCAGAGGCTGGCACGGAGAGTCTACCCGCCCAAAGTGTTCGTCCTAGTACAAGACCATCTTCATAGATCATCTAATAAATATAATAGCATTAAATTTTATTAGATTTTGTGGTAATACGGAACCTAGATATTAGATAGACACATTAGAATTGAGAAGACTAAGGTTTAATTCAATATGAATTATTTTTTGGTGCTCTCTAACTATTGTCTCTATATAGACAAGGACCAAAGCATGTTGCGATATCGAATGTATTAAAAGGCCAAAGAAAATGAGGATAAATAAACGACTGTATATTGATAAGGATCAATGTCTATTAGTAATATTAGATGTATCATGAATAATAAAAGTATTGGGTCGGGTCGAAAAACATAATTTGTTTGTAGAGTCAGAGAACGTTAAGATGTAAAGAAGTGTCAGAACAATGTATAACATCACAAGATAGAGGCGTCATTAATATTCAAGTATTAAGCTCACCAAGGCTTGCCCAGACCTAATATTCATCAATATAGTGAATCTGCGGCGACCTTAGAGTGTGATAGAATCATTGTTAAAGAAGAGGTCTATCAGTAGATATGACACATTTCTAGTCAGAGAGATATGAACTCACAAAAGAGTGTCTGGGTCTACAATACAAGGATGAGACTACATCTAGGCAGTGACAACTAAATTACGGCCCAAAATAAGTTGCGCACAGTATCAGACTACTATTCACACACACATGGCATCACACTCATTACAGACTAAAAGAAAGTAAAGATTACAAAGGATAGCTGGTAATATATATAGTACATAAACTTGCATGGGTAGACCAAACAATCTGAGCAAACATATGTATATCAAAATTTATAGTTATTAACATTTAAATTAACACATATCCAACACGATCACAGACAGATATCCTCTGCGAGATGATATGAAATTCATAACGTCCTACCTTGATTCTAAGTATATAAGACTACTATATACAAAATTAAGGCTCAGATTCGCCTTTTTTCAACAGAGATTGAAGCAATTGAAAAAAGAAGCTACAACAAAAATACAGGGAAGCCTCTATCGAGTCAGCAGAACAAAAGTTGATATCTGCCTTAATGACATGAAACCACCTATCTAAATCGTCATCAAGAATAGATAGATCGCTAAGATTGCATTGGTATTTGGGCTATTGCCAATATTGTAGAAATAAGGATAAAAAAATATTGTTCCAAACTTTGTTCTCGATTCCAAACAACAAATTCAACGAATGTCAGGAGAAAAATATAAGCGGACCATGATTTACATTACTTAAGAGGAGGCTCAGAATTATCTGACCTTCATCTAAAGTACATGAGTAAAAGATTCTAAATATATTTCGAATTGCAGTGATTAAGTGAGATTTGAATAATAATGGCAACATAATAAAATTATTAGAATAAGAATCTTCTATACTATCCAAGAATGTCAATCTATTTTCTCAGTTTGATCCCACCAAAAAAGGAGATTCATTCGACTTCTACGAGCGGGCTCATCTTAACATCACATCTACATAGAATAATAATATGAGTTCAGTAAATAATATTAAAAATGAAGTATAATAATAATAAATATAGAGTCTGTTGTCCAACATAGAAGAATACAAATTGTGATCATAATTAATATACTGTTCTTGTATAATAATTACATGAAATATCTATTGATAACCACGAATACATAATTCATAATCTTGGAGATATAGAATATAATGGCTAGAAGTCTCTATGACTCGCTGTGATAGTTAATAGAATGCATTAGATGCAAATATTTAATGTATGAGATGAGGCTCATGTAATTCACCTAAATTCAACAAGAAGAAGATTGAACTTCATCAATTATAGCGTCGGAAAAATTGCAAGGAGCTCATGATTATGTCCAACCCTGGACAGCTCCACAGGCAATCTTTATTATTTATATTTTTTATGGTCTTATGAAATAAAGGTTTTAATATTTTTATATAATTTTAATATTACAACCAAATAATAAAAAATAAATTATTTGAAAAATATTTTTCATTAAAAATTCTTTCTGTAAAAATTAATAGACAGAGGCTCACGGAAACAATTATATATTTGGCCTCGTATATTTGTTGACTTCTTGGAGCTCGTTCCAGTTCTAGCTATTAGCTGTAAAATCAATGTTGGAGTGATCTAGAAGCAACAAAAATACAATAAAATGGAAGAGAATATCAGTAGAAGAGTTACTAGAATATTCTAGAACTCGTATTGACAGTATTACTAAGTAATAACTCTACCAAAATTTTGGAGAGCTTTTTCTACAAATTGGACTAATCTCAATCAGTAAGGAGAGTATTAACAGTATATTACATTAATTTTCAATCCTACTAATCACATAAAGACAGTCTCTGTATATGACATTTTATATTTTTTTAAATAAAGCTCAATTTGTTCCTTGAATTTAAATTTATCGAAAAATTATTTTTTTATAATTTACCATCTTATTTGAAAAAAAAAAATCTCATCATGTATGTATTTATGTATATATATAAATTGATTTGAAGAGTTGTATTGATATTAATTTTATCTAAAAATTAAATTGAACTGTGTATAAATATAATATTTTGATTGTAATTATTAATTAACTATTATATTCACATTAATATAAATATGAAATTATGTTTTAATATTAACAATCTAAATAACAGAAGAGAAAAATTATGAAAATGTTTAATATAAAAAAAAAATAAATGAGTAATCACAGTGTAATGCACATTATTCAAAAAACTAGTGATAAAAAGGGAGAGTTCACACTTTTTCATTTAATGTTATATTAATAAAAAAAATACTATATAATAATATTTGATAGTTTATTATTTTTAAATAATTATCTGTTATCCCATAAAAATATTAATTTAAAAGTAATTTGATTTAATAATTATTTTTATAATGTTAACATCAGTCTAGATATAACAAAAGTAATAATCATATAGCAAATTATTAAAAAAAAGCTCAAAATTACATCTAAATATCTAATGGAATTAGCTTTTGGCCTAATCGTTGGCTGCAAATCAATTATTGAAATTAGCTTAATCAAACGTGTTCTTGTATCTTAATATCATTAGTTTATGCAGATATGAGCTCTAATCGACAAAATTAATTGTTTTAATAGTTATTAGTTGAATAACTATCAAAGCTCAAATACTATTTCATGAGGCAACCGTGAATTGTTTTACTATCATTTTATCAACACGTTTGAAAGAATAATATTTCATAATCCACTTTCTCGTAAATAATAATATAAATATTATGCCACTAAATACTAAAAATATCAGATATGCAAAACATTAAACCTTTGTATTAAAATTTATCGTCAGAATAGGACTATAACATTGTAAAACCTCAATTGACAAATGATAGTCAGGGTAGCAAAAAAGAAGAAGTGAAGCTAACCTCTGTGTGCTTGAACTCGAATCACGAGTTTGAGCTTTGCTTGTTTTTTCTTAGGTGTTAAACATCATCATTTCATACGATGAATAAAAAACTAAACCTACTTAAAAATAAACGTTCTTAAATTGTCATATGAGCGTCATGCATGATTAGGATCAATGTTTTATAAAATAAAAATTTGTTAAAACAATATCATAAAAATTAAATTATCATTAATTTTAGTTATATAGAGAATTTATTTGATAATTTTATTTAGATTATTATTGAAGAATTATTTTTTTTAATTTTTAAAATTTAAAAATACTATTTTTAAAAAAAAATTTGCTAGATGGTCGTAATTTTAGTCAAGCGAATTAAATCATTGAAACTCATCATAGACTCTCATTTATAATAAAAAAATTGATCAATTTAATTCTATGCTTTTTTTAAAAAAATATAAAAATAGAATCATGAATTGTAATATTAAATTCATCTTTTTAAGAAATTAAATATTATGTGTTTATTCATTGAATTTAGAATTATGAAATGTTTTCAAGTCGTTAAGTCTTAAATAACCAATAATAATCCTTTTCAAAAAAAATAATAAATAATTAAATTGTAAATTTATAATACTATTGTATATTTAAATAAAAAATATAACATTAAAATTAGTGATAAATATAATTTAGTAGCAACAAAAAAGTACCTTACCTTATTTCTTCTAGATAAAAGTGTTTATTTATATTTAATAAATTATATATATACATTTTTTCGCATATATATATATATATATAAAGTGGGTTGTCGGGTGACCCGAGTGTTGGAATCTAACGCCAAACTACAAAAGGTTTTGTGGCAACTAATGCACTAATTAATTGTATAAAAGCCAAGGGGATTGGTGGCTCCCCAGCTCCTCTCCCTTCCTCGCTGAATTTGACTCTTTTACAATTATTGAGCCAAACAGCTAAGCTCGAATTCAAGCGTAAGATTTGTAAAACCGAAACTACATCATTTTGACATACATTTAATTAATTTTATGTTATTATTTATTCTATAAAACTAGCTTATAACCCAATGAATTAAGTATAGATAAATTTTTATGGAACTGCCTCGGTTTATTTAGATTCCAAATATTAGATAGTATTAATTTGGAATCACATAATATGGTATTAAAGTATCAAGTTTTGTGCAAGCAGGGGTGAACGAAGCAGAAGAGAGATATCGATTTGTAACACAAACATTGGTGAGAATCTCATGTCTTAAAAATCTAAGGATTCCTCCACAAGGTCCGTCTGAGGAGAGTGAGTCAAGACCTAAGTTCAGGCTGAAAGGCATAGTCGATGGCCAACAGAAAAGTATTCTCGTATTACTCCTTGTTAGTCCTGAGGGATGGAGGAAGTTAGGCTAGCCGAAAGATAGTTATCGATTCATGGACGCACGATGTCGTTGCCTTTTCAGGATAAAAAAGGGTGGAGAAAATGTTTCGAGCTAATGTTTGAGTATCAGCACTACGGCGTTGAAGTAACTCATACCATACGCTCGGGAAAAGCTCGAACGATCTTCAATAAAATGATACATGTACCCAAAATCGACAATAATTATGAAGAAAAAATATGATTTTTTTTTTCAAAAAAAGCAATTTATATATTTTGAAATAAAAAGAAAATATGAATCATGTGACAATAATAATATAATATAATATGATATAATAATAATTACTGTGATTATTATTACCTTCATTTTTTAAGTCTTGATAGCTTCTTGACTTTTACAAGAGTAAAATAAACAATTCAACCACCTTAATTCTAAAAAAAAAAGGATAATCAACTAAATTAATTTTTTAAGTAACTTTTATAATTAAAAAAATAAATTTTAATGGAAATACAAATAAGTATAAAAATTGAATAAGATAATTTTTTATTTTTTTTAAAAGTGTCAAAAAAAAAGGGAGGTAATATTATTATTTTACTTTCCTGTTTAATTTTGACCTCCGTTCTCTTAACGTAAACGTTTGCAAAGTCGAAGTCCTCCAAACTCCAAACTCAACGTCTCAACTATAGTGGCGTGGAGGGGAGCCCTAGGAGAGTGATCATCGAAGCGATCGAACCAATCACACGTACATGCTAAACAACACACGTGCCAACTAGCGAGGGCAAGTAAACTGGAAAAGAAACGCCTTACTTACTATTTAACGACCAACCGAAAAAGCTGGCTCATTATAAACGCAGGTCCCTCTCTTCTTTCTTTTCCTCCTTCCGCATAAGAAGTATCGACACACTATAACAAACAACCAAACAGAGCCTCTGCTCTGACGATCTCCCCGATGCTTCACTTCTCCCTCATTTTTGCTTAAATTAAAATTTATATTCTTCTCTCTCTTTCCTCAGATTTTGCCTCTTCCTCTTCCTTTCACTTACCCTTCTTTAGATCATCTCTGGCTCTACAGCTTCTACTGCTTTGCTTTTGCTTTTGGATCCCAATTTCTCTGTCAATTTCTGGTAATGTTCCTTTGGACTCTTTTCTTTTTCAGGAAATTTTCTTTACTTCTGCTTCTTTTTATGGAAATTTCGTTTGTAATTGTTTGATTCTCGGATTCTGTCCTTTTCTTTTCTTTTCTCTTTTTTGTTTTGGCCTTTTAGATTAAGTGTTTGAGTTCTCTTTCTTCTATTTGTGGCTACTGGAGAAGAAATTGGAAAAGAATCGATTAGTATAGATTGAGTTTCTTTTCTTTCACTTAGCTCAGCTGAGTTTACTTACTTGTATATATATAAAAGGAAAACAAAAACAGAGAAAGGAAAGTTGCTTTCTTTTCTTTTTCTTTCTACCATTTTTTAGTTAGAAAATGGGTATTGCTTTTTGGTGAATTTGTTTGAAAACAGTAAAATTTTACTTGTTTTTTCTCTTTAAATTAGCAGTATTTTTCATTTTGCAGACTTAATTGCGTTTGAAGCTAAATTTGGACAGTTTGAAAATCTAATTGGCAGATTCGATTGTAAAATTTTGGAGCTAATAAGTGTTAGATTAGGAGAATGGCTTCTATATCGCATTCCCCATCTGCATTTCGTGGAACTTCAGCTTCAGATCTTCTTAGGAGCTCCAGCAATGGAGTTTCTGGTATCCCTTTGAGGACATTGGGAAGAGCACGATTTAGCTCCAAGACGAAGGATTTTGCAGTGATTGCTAAGATTAGGAAGGTGAAGAAGCAAGAATATCCTTGGCCAGATAATCCGGATCCAAATGTAGCAGGAGGAGTGCTCTCTCATCTTTCGCCTTTTAAGCCTTTAAAAGAGAAGCCAAAGCCAGTTACTTTGGATTTTGAAAAGCCACTTATTGGTTTAGAGAAGAAGATTATCGATGTAATTCATTTCCTGCCTGGGTTAATTTGAATGTGAATGTTTGTCATTGGTTGCTTAACATTTTTTTTTTTCGGTGTTCGCTGCAGGTGCGGAAGATGGCAAATGAAACTGGTTTAGACTTCACTGATCAGATTATTTCACTAGAGAATAAATATCAACAGGTTTGATTAATTGCAGGCTCAATAAATAAGTGACATAAAGTTGAATAAAGCAAATAGACGATTTCTTATATTATGCTTTTTGTGCTATGACATGCTTTATGTATACACATTGGCTAATTAAAACCTCAAATTACCATGTCATATCAGTTTTCTGACCATAATATGGTTTTTGGGCTTTCAACAGCAGATTGTGTCAATGCTAATTAGAATTGAGATGAACTAATTCAAATATATTGGTTTTTATGACCATTCTTGTTTGGGTCTTTGGAATATTGCACTTGCAACTACTGCTAGTCAATTTTTTTAATAGTCAATTTGGAATGTAATTCCTGCATTATCCGTTGTGTATCCAGAAGTTTTTAAAGTTTTTTAGGCCTTGAGTGATAAGATGTGTAACTCTTCTTTGCTTATGATATCTACTGTTATTTCAAATTAAATAGCGTTGTGCTTGCCTAGGCAGGAATCAGGACTCTTCTCTGACCAATGACCCGGTATTCCCCTTGATACGTGACTATCATAAGATTGAATGAAATACAATTTCAAATATGATGGACCTTGGGCCAAGTTTAAAGTGAAAATCTAAATTTTAGATTATGGATAATCATTTGGAAGCATTTACATGGTTCAGAAAGGGATATATCTGTTATTGAAATCAAACAATTAATGCTTTTTTTGCCTGAAAAATTTAGAATGTAAGAGTAGAATGAAAAATCAATTGAAGTGATGCACATTATTATTGCATTTTTGCAAATAACAGGAGCTGGAAGAAAAATCCTAATCAAGCTTATAGTAGTTTAATGTCTAAATTCTTGGGCCTTGTTGTTTTTATATGTTATCTTGAAAACATTTGCATGGTTCAGAAAGGGAGATAACTATTATTGAAAAACAAACAATTAATGCATCTTTTGCCTTAAAATTTAGAATGTATGATTAGGAAGTGAAACCTCAATGAAAGTGATGCACATTATTATTGCATTTTTTCAAATGACTGAAGCTGGAAGAAAAATCCTCATCAAGCTTAAAGTTTTTCAATGTCTAAATTCTTATGCCTCATTTTTTTGTTGCTAGAAGACTTAATTTGAGTTGGTTTCTGGAGTATTTTTCATGACCTCCCCTTTTTGTTTCTCTTTTAAATTACAGGCTCTAAAGGATTTGTATACACATTTGACCCCGATACAACGTGTGAATATTGCACGGCACCCTAACAGGCCCACTTTCCTTGATCATGTATTTAGCATTACCGATAAGGTATGCTGCTTCTAAGCTCTCAAGCTTTTAGATTTTCAATTTTTGAGTATTTTCCTGTTGAGATCTTGTAATTCAGGTTTCTGGATTTTTTACTCATCTTAGTGAATGTATCGTATCCTACTGTCTCCAGTTTGTGGAACTTCACGGAGATCGAGCGGGTTATGATGATCCTGCTATCGTTACTGGTATAGGAACCATAGATGGTAGAAGATACATGTTCATGGGTCACCAGAAGGGTAGAAACACCAAAGAGAACATTATGCGCAATTTTGGGATGCCTACTCCCCACGGGTACAATTAGTTTTACAGTACTCCCATCTATTTTTAGATGAGAATGATTATTTCAACTTAATATGCTTTTTCAATCTGAATTTTTAGCTCCTGATGAACTGATAAATTTTAAATTCAAACAGATACCGGAAGGCTCTAAGGATGATGTATTACGCAGACCACCATGGATTTCCTATAGTTACTTTTATTGACACACCCGGGGCATTTGCAGACCTCAAATCTGAAGAACTAGGCCAGGTACGTTGGACAATTATAATTTGAAGCTTCCATTTTTATTTTTCTTTTCCTTTTTCCTCCAAATTCTGGCTCAATTGCTTTCTGTGATGTATGCATATGTACAGGGTGAAGCAATTGCCCATAATTTGAGGACAATGTTTGGTTTAAAGGTACCAATTGTGTCGATTGTTATTGGGGAAGGTGGCTCTGGTGGTGCTCTGGCCATTGGCTGTGCTAATAAATTGTTAATGCTTGAAAATGCAGTTTTCTATGTTGCCAGGTAATTTGAGTTTTCCTTGCCACATTTTCTCCTGGTTCTTAATATGAAATCAATTATATTATTGGATAAGACCTCATGTAGGGTACTTAGATGCAGGTATATCATCTTTTACTATACTTGTAGCTAACAACTTGGTAACCGAGAACTGCCTCTAGCTTTCAGTATCAATTGAGGAATATGACAATTATCATATTAGCCAAGCTTTTCTTTTTCTTCTCTTATTTTCTTGAGTTGCTTTCCTTTGATTGCTCACACCGAGTTCTTGATCACACTTAACTTGTTGCTTTTTGTGCTTAGAAAAATCCTGCCCATTCTTGGTGTAATAATTGGATACTAGTGGTATCATTTGAAGGACTACTGTGGACTTTAACTCAGTTCCCTTTCTTGATATTGACTTGTTTGAAAATGAGTTCTGTTCTCTAAATTCACGCATAGTGGCCTTCATTATGTGTGAGAGCATCAACTATATAAATACGACCCATGTTCTCCCAAAAACCCAACCACTGTCTCATTCCAAATCAATAGCATGTCTCATCATTTCCTGGATAAGGATGCACATGCACATTCTTTTTTAAAATTTTATGTGAATACTTTTATGTTTTACGAGTTTATGTTGATTCTATTTCATTGTCATCATATAGTCCTGAAGCATGTGCAGCAATTTTATGGAAGAGTGCCAAAGCTTCTCCAAAGGTTTTTACAGCCTTCTCACTTTTGGGGTTGTTATTAGGGGATTTGATTACAGAAGACTGATTTTCTTTTTCTTAAATGCAGGCGGCTGAAAAATTGAAGATCACTGCTACTGAGTTGTGCAAGTTGCAAATTGCAGATGGTGTCATTCCTGTAAAAAGATCTTTTTACTGTCATATCTTCAGCATATTCTAGCTTTCTTTTTTCTTTGTTGTGCCTTTCTATTTTAGACTGCAGATACCTTGATAAAATTCTCCAAATAATAAGTGGAGGTGACTTGGGTTTTCTGGGCTCATTCTTGTAAAGACATGTATTAAAACCCTAATACAACTTGTCACCGGATCACCTCACATGAATTGATGCTAATTCAATTTAGTTTGCCTATGTTTCGGATATTTGTGTTAGTTTCTTTGACATCTGAAAGGAATTTTTTCAATTTTAACAGGAGCCATTAGGTGGCGCACATGCAGATCCATCATGGACCTCACAACAGATAAAGAATGCAATTAAGGAATCTATGGATGTGAGTGCCACTTACACTGTCACATTTATTTAATCATTCCTATATGGATCTTCCATAGATGTAGCCCAAACCTGAATAGAACCGAGAAAAAAATCCATATTGCAACCCATTGAGATATGGATTAAAATTTAGATGAGTTGCATTGTGGTTAGATTATAATATGGATCCTGGGTTTTTACAGGAGCTGACAAAGATGGATACAGAGGAGCTGCTAAAACATCGTATGCTTAAGTTCCGAAAAATAGGTGGATTTCAAGAGGGAATCCCAATTGATCCTAAAAGAAAAATCAACATGAAAAAGAAAGAAGAGCCGGTTGCTGGAAAGACTCCAGTGCTAGAGTTGGAGGGTGAGGTTGAGAAACTGAAACAGCAAATTTCAAAAGCCAAGGAATCATCAAGCAAGCCTCCGGAGTTGGCTTTAAATGAGATGATTGAAAAACTTAAAAGAGAGATTGACCTTGAATTTTCTGAAGCCGTTAAAGCCATGGGCTTTAAGGACAGGTTTGCGACCTTGCGAGAAGAGTTTCTGAAAGCAAATTCACAGGACCAACTTATGCATCCAGGTCTAATGGACAAAATTGAAAAACTTAAGAATGAATTTACTCAAGGCCTCTCTGCAGCTCCTAACTTTCCAAGTCTGAAGTACAAACTTGATATGTTGAAGGAGTTTTCTAAAGCCAAGAACATCTCAGAAAAGAATAGTAAAGGTTTGACATTGAAGCAGGAAATCAATAAGAAACTTAAAGAGGTCATGGATCAACCTGATATGAAGGAAAAAATGGAAGCATTAGAGGCTGAAGTTCTAAGATCAGGAGCTTACAATGAAGGGGAATTAGATGAAGAGACGAGGGAGAGAATTATGAGTATGAGAAGGGAGATAGAGTTGGAACTGGCAAATGTTTTCAAGTCCTTGGGTTTGGAGGTTGAGATTGTGAAGTCAAAAGCAAAAGAACTTGGTGAGCAGACTCCATTGCTAGACTTCAAGGCTAAGGTGGAAAATTTGAAGGAACAAACTAACAAGAAAATTGAAGGTCTAATAAATTCATCAGATCTTAAAAACATGATTGAGTTGCTGAAGTTGGAGGTAGCAAAGGCAGGAAATAAACCTGATGTGACTTCGAAAAACAAAATCGAGGCTCTGGAACACCAGATAAAGCAAAGGCTCTCATCAGCTATTAACTCAACAGAGTTAAAGGAAAAACATGAAGAGCTGAAGGTGGAAATTTCTGAAGCAGCGGAATTTGCTGCGGGATTAGATGGAAGTCTGAAAAATGATGATTCAAGGGAAGGGGTTTCTAAACATGATGAGTCAAGAGTAGAGATTAATTTGGGCGCAAACCGCACCTTTGCTTAGAGTAAGTTTGTTTGTTTTTTTTGTGAAATAAAATTATTTATTAAGTTACTCCGATTGTGACCTAAAGTTCATGGATTCAAGCCATGAAAACAGCCTCCCTACAAAAGTAGGGGAACGGCTGCATATATGAACCTTCCTCTGCATATATGAACCTTCCTCGGAGCCCACACATGTTCATGCACTGTGTCACCCTATTTATTCCGCCATGGATTAGTTAGCATCTTTGTTTCAACTTTTATTTGAAGCAATGGCCTTTTATGACTAGGGCATAATCTCAACTGTTTCTATTCTCCTCTCTGGACTTCTTAGAGTGGTTTCATCCGTGCACTGGCACTTGGTAAATAATTGAAATGTTTATATAATTTTACATAATTATGATGCATGACTGAATGAATGAACTTCATTGCTTGACAATTTTAATATTCTGTTACTGACTTAAGTTGCATGTGTGTCTGCCATTGTGCAGTATTTGTAGGTAAACTACCAGTGAAAATGGCGTAGAAACAGTCGAGCAGTATTTGATTTAAGCAGTTCATTAAGCACCTCTGGTCAGAATATACTCTTCATCATTGTGCTTTTACACTACCACCGACGATGCACTCTTGCCTGAGTGAAACGAGGCTTTGCTTCTATGGACACGAGAATTGCAAGGCCTTATATCGTTTTTAAATTAGCTGAAACATTTTTTTTTTTTTCAAATTGAGCTTTATTAATTTTATCAGTTTCCACCTAACTTTTTAATTTTCCTTGTTTTAAGTTTTGTGCTAAAATGTCTCTTTCTATTTATAAACAGAAGAATTTGTGTAAATTATGAGTGCAATAGCATACTTTACCATCAGGAATAACACACTCGTCTTTAAACTTTTAATTGAGGATGGTCCCGTAATGTTTCATTTTATTTAGTACTGGTACCGGTATCGGTTGCAGAGACTTGCGAGGATTCACGAAGCTATTCTCTTCGTCTCAAAATCTAAGTTATATAAGTTATACAGTCTGTTTTAGATTGATTGCTTTGTCCTTAAACCACATGGCATTTTGAGTATTTTAAAAAGCAATAAATAATATTTTTTTTAATTTCACTTTTATTTTTATATCATCTTCATAAGTTATTCTTAGCTTTTAAATCAAATTATTTTTGGAGCTGTTATAATTTAACTGAATTAATATATGATCTTCATAAATTATTTTTAATTTTGAGATAAAAGGCATTTGATCAAATTACTTTTGTTGTTATAATTTAAGTGAATTAATTACTTCTTGAGCATCATATTGACTAGAGTTTATTAGAATTTGTTTCAGTGTAAAATTCGGCTGTTACTAATTATAAAACTTTCAGAACAATGAATAATACTCTCAAATTGCTTTCTTATTATTTGAAATTAATTTAAATATTTAGATGTTACTGAAAGTTACTACTGAGTTGAATTTGACATGCTCATCTTTATACAATTCCAAACAATCACTTTTAAACTGCAACTCTCTACATAAACGATCTCCTTTTGGCCACATCAAACATTAATTTCGGTTCTTTCATTATTAATACTAGCAAATTATGAGTTGTAAGCAGACACAAGATCAAAACTGATCAAAAATTAATTTCGATTCTTTCGTTCACAAATCGAACATGATAGAGAAATTGGTTTCAATACAAGAAAGGAATGACAGCTTTTCTACTCTTGGGGTAATCTTCTCCAAACTTGTCCTGATACCACTTGTGGTTGGCATGTGCCCTCGGAACCAAGTTGGCACATGTGTAGAGAAAAAACCCAAACCCAACCCAGGACCATGTCATCAAAGACCAACCAACCCACTCCACAATCTCCCCAAAGTAGTTAGGACAACTCACCAGCTCAAACCACCCTCCTCTTGGCACCTTATACCCACCACCCTGTCGTTTTAAGCCCACCAAAACCCTATCTGACCAAATATTAATCCACATGCCCCAAATGAACACGAATAATCCACCTATAAACTTCCACCAGAACCACCCATCACTATCATAATCATCCTTGTAATGAGATACCCATCTGGACTGCAAATAAGCGTTCAATAAGTTAAACCCGAATGCAATCAGGGCCACACTGACTGGAAACCCGCTAGCTGCTTTAGTATTCTGCTGACTAGCATTCAGGTAAAGACGAAGAGGGTAGATGCAAGTCCTATGGAAATAGTGGATGATATAAGGGGACATAAGAATTAGGGCTTTGAAATTGGTGGCATGTTGGCCAAAGGGGAAGAGGAGAAGGGTGAGCCAGAGAGTAGGGCTCTCCATGAGAAACCAAGCCAAAGGCGGGAAAATGGTCGGACCCCAGCCAGGTCGGTTGTGTTTTCCATATGGGGCTTGAAGGAACCTGAGGGATATGAAGGTAGGGGGTCCTATGAGATAGAAAGCAAGGAGGCTGTAATCAAAGAGGTTCTGATCTGAGAAGGCCATTTTTGTGTGCTTGATGGGCGAGTCAAGACTCAAGCGGGATGCCTATAGACCGGGCATCTGTTGAATTGGGCAGATCTCTTGAAGTAATCAGCTTCAATGATATAAGTACATGCAATGGGAGTGATTCAGTTGAAAACAAGGAGAACCGTCTCCCATACTTTGACACCTATAGTTGGATAATTGGGAACGTCAGCAGCGACCTATGAACTAGCCAATAGCCCATGTTAAAGAGAGGACAATTTAATACAATAAAATTAAGAGGATTATTAGTTTAACAAATCTAGAAAAATTATATGTACATACAAAAATTGGAAACAAGGAAATGTTATTCAGCAACTGAAAAGCGTATAACGACTGCATTTAGATATTTTTCAGGCTGATTAGGAGTTTAAACTCAAATTTTTATTCCAGAAAAAAAAGGATAAAATTCTGACTTTTCATTTTTGAATTGTTAATGTTTTCTATTTTTTTAAAATGCCAAACCTATAGTCATAGATAGTTATTAGGTTTTTGTTATCCAATTCTCTCATTTTCTACAATCCATAAGCTCAAAGGTGAAAAGACCCTAACCCCTAATCAATATCAGAGAAATGAGGTAGTGATCTCAAGAACACTACCCTATTTTATCTTTTCAATCCAACAAGCAATTTAACCTGAAGTGAATTTCATATCCTACATCCTCAAACTTACATGCATGAGCCCAATCACTAGGATAACTATTGTCAACTGAACTTAATATATCTTATTTGTAGTCCTCTTATTCTCAAAACAGGTATAGAATCTGCTAGGCCAAATCCTCAAAATTGATATAGACCAACAGGTTTCGGATACATATTTCTTAGGTAGTCATCTTGAAAAAACTTGTTGGAAGTTCACAGGCCAACAAATTCTATGTCCATGAAAAGGACTTAAAAATCCAAGTTTCAGCAAAATAGTATCATCTACTAATCTAGTTAATATAACAAAACGAAATCCATGTATATAGATTTAAAAAAACATAATAGACATGCAAAAATATTATAAAGTAAGCCATGCAGAGCAGAGTGAATTTCATATCCTACATCCTCAAACTTACATGCATGAGCCCAATCACTAGGATAACTATTGTCAACTGAACTTAATATATCTTATTTGTAGTCCTCTTATTCTCAAAACAGGTATAGAATCTGCTAGGCCAAATCCTCAAAATTGATATAGACCAACAGGTTTCGGATACATATTTCTTAGGTAGTCATCTTGAAAAAACTTGTTGGAAGTTCACAGGCCAACAAATTCTATGTCCATGAAAAGGACTTAAAAATCCAAGTTTCAGCAAAATAGTATCATCTACTAATCTAGTTAATATAACAAAACGAAATCCATGTATATAGATTTAAAAAAACATAATAGACATGCAAAAATATTATAAAGTAAGCCATGCAGAGCAGACAAAACTACATGAAGAACTTTACATATGCATTATGAAGTGTGATCCAGCCTCAAGTAAACTTGCTGATCAAAATATCACTCTGCATAAAGGTATTACAGCAGAAGCAAGAATAAATATGAAAACTTTAAAGACTATAAAGGATCTTCAAGCCAATAACAGTAGAGAACTCTCAAAAGTCATATATAATATGGACTTTTAGACTATAAAGGATCTTCAAGCCAATAACAGTAGAGAACTCTCAAAAGTCATATATAATATGGACTTTTCCAAACTTCTGATTTCAAATATCAACCTGGACAGAAGTCTGTTCTTCTCAAAAGTCAAAAGCACGAGATTTTAAAACTTAAAATACCAATGTCTTACTCATGCAGCATGCACACAATTTTGTCCCCAGCCAACTAAATCACCAAACACAAAAATAGGACTAAACCGAACTCGTGCTAACAGCTAAACAAGAGATATCATTAAGGTCATTCTAAATAAGCAAATTGCACATTCTTGTTTCTAAAACTAAAAGGGAAAGCCACATTGTTAATCCATTCAGCTCTTCCTATCCACAAAATCAAACTATTAAAAATAAAATTACATCTAGACAATTTTTTTTTTCCATGTAAACAAACTGGTAACAATTCAAAGAAAATAAGATCAATGTGTTATAGAATGCAATATTCAAATAGACCCCTATCTCACAACTTCGAGTTGAAAGTATCAAATAGCAAAATTATTTCTCAATAACATGACCCCTTTATGCTAGTAACCTTGAAGAATAATGACGGATACACAAATGAAATATCATGAAGTACATATTTCAAATCAATAATATATATCAGGATAACCAGGTTTATAACATAGTAAAGTCACAAATCTGAAGCTAAAACTGGATTGCTCAAACATATAGATTATACTGTCAGTCTGAGAATTTACCAATGGAGGAAATCAGATTAGCTTGTAGACAGTAACTTTCCAATATGATGCCAAAATACTTTACTCAGTTCACTGCCGAATTCAGTAACCAACTCAACACACAGTCAGGTCACACAAACTCAATAGGAAATGAGCTTATGGATCTTGGATCAGAAATTTCTTGGCGTCAAATGCGATAAGGTACTCTTGATGGAGAAGATCAATTTTGAAATAAGGGTTTATGGAGGAAAGAGAAATACGGGTCTTTTCCGGGATGAGGGGTTTTGATTTCTGGCTTTTTTTTATTTTTATTTTTATAAGGAGTTAGGGGTCTCTCCCGTTACAGATTGCTAGTGGATTCTGGTTTGTTTCTTCATGTTTGGATTGGTGGAAAATATGGTAAGAATGAAAATTAGGAAGGAAAATAAATAAATTTCCTTTCACTAGTTTAGAACGGAATAAACGCGTTGGCACTCTAACTTGGTTAGTAAAATTAAAAAGTGGTTTGGCTTTTAAGTCAATTTGATACATAAACTTGTTTACAAAGCATAAAAATTTTTAGCCCTAATTTTTCACTATACTTATAATGTGAAATATTAAATAAAACTACAATTAGGATCGGATTATATAATTTATTTAAGAAATTAATTAAATATTGTTTTTTTTATCTTAACAATTAATTTTAGATTCATAAATACATAATAATTTAAATATTTTAAAATTGACCTTTATTATTAGATTATTTCTTATGAAATCTATGCAAATTTCTCATAGTAAATATGTTAAAGTTTATATTATATGTTTTGAAAATTTACTATGTTAAAAGAAATGACTTTTATAAATTAATACATTAAGCAAAAGATACCTATGCTTAATGATTTTTGAAATTTATTTATTTTTCCATTCAAGTAATTTTATTGTTTGAGTAAAAGTTTTAATTTGTAAAAGCAATATTTATATTTATTGTTTTTAGTTTAGCTAATAAGGCGAGTTCATTGTTTTTAATTTGTTATTGTAGAATTCTTTTATAGAAAATTTTGATTAATAGGTTTTGTTATTATAGTCGAAGAATAAAAAAATTAGTGAATTCAAATATTATTTTTTTCATCATATTAATTTATTTATATTTTTTTAATTAAATTTAATTTGCATCAGTTACTTATAAATATAAATATTAACTTGCACATCGTACAGGTATACAACTAGTTTTCACTATTTATATGCTCTCAATTAACAAACAGGCGTATTAACCGGGTTGAATCGATATAAGATTATTGAAATAATTAGATCTATGATCCGACTATCTTATCTAAAATAGTTTTCAACATTTTTCCAAGATATTTAACGAGTGAGTCTAGTGGCAACTTTTTGTTTTGAAGAATGTTCAAGTTCAACTTTTAGACGAGGATAATGTGTCGAAAAACTCTAAAAAAAAAAAATATTTAAGGAGGTATTGGATTAACATTGAGTTAGAATTTTAAAAATTGTTAAGTTTGATAGAATTGAAGGATTTTTTAAAATTTTCACAGATTTCACTATAATTCTACCTAGAATTTTATGGAATTGATGAGATTTTTTTATATATATTTTGATTGATTTTGATGAAATTACAATAATTTTATATATCCAATTAAAAATAATTTTTAGTACCTAATTGAAGAAATTAAAAAGTTTTTTAGCCCAATTGAAAAACTGAAAAACAATAAGGAACCAAAAAACGTGTCATTTTCTCCAAAATCATTTCTTTTTTCTTAAAACTTAAAGTTGTGGACAGTGATAGGCCTGCAATAGGTGACGTCATTGCCGGCCATTCCGTGCTTCTAGAATGGTTGCAGGGTGAGCAAATGGCCATTTCGGTTCAAATCGAATCAAATCGATATCAAAAAAGACAATCAAAGTTTTTTATCAATAGACAGAATCAAACCAAATTGCCTTTTAAACTGAATCAAACCAAACTAAACCAATCAGTTTAGTCAATTTTGATCAGTTTTGCCATTTCGATTTGATTTTAAACCTAATCGATAGATTTCTATGAAATTGACTCGAGCTAAATAATAAATTTGATTCAAACTAAATAAACTAACAATCAACCTTTCTTGATTTAGCTGACCTAACTGGATCGAAATGAGTCAGTTCGATTCTGTGCATAAGTTCGCACACGCCTAGCGATCGAATCGCAAGTTTAAATGTATCTTTTTTAATTTAAAATTAAATTAAAAAAAATATCTAGCACTCTAAAATCTAACAAAATATTATAGTTGAAGGATGGATATGTGAATGACTATTTTATTTATACCTAGCACTTTAAAATCCAACGAATTCAAAATTTTATAAAATCTATCAAAATTAGCAATTTTTTACCATTAAATTTGTATAGACTTTTAAAAAGTCATAATTGAATACCATCAGATTTTTATGAATTTTACAAGAGTCTAAATTGAATACTATAAAATTTTAGTATACTTCAAAGAAATCTATGTTAATTAAGGAGTATATTGAATTAAGATTGTGTTAGATTTTTAAAAAAATTATGGAGTTTGACAAAATTGAAGGATTTCCTAAGATTTTCATATATTCCAATAGAATTCTATATAGAATTTTATGGAATTAGTGAGACTTAATTTATAGATTTTGATGAAATTATAATGATTTTTATATATCTAATTAAAAATTAAATTGAGGACCTAATTGAACAATTAAAAGGTTTTGGAGTCCAAATGAAAAATTGAAACAATAAGGGACCGAAAAGCAAACATCTCAAAAATCATTTTTTCTTTATTAAAAACCTTACTGTCGTCGATGGTGAAAGGCCAGCGTCGTTGGCGGCGATCCTATGCTCCCAGAACAGTTGCGATGTGGTCGGATATGAATAGTGAAATTACTACCTGTAACATAGATGGAGATGATACATGTATAAATATTTAAATACTTGCTAACCATTAACTACTATATTAAATGGGTTCGGTTATAGGTACTCGCAAGTATCTTATTCATCATTAGTAAAAATATATTTTAAATAAATTCAAAATTTTTATAGTTTAAGATTTACGAGTACCGTACTCGTTTAAGAGGTACTTTAAACGAGTTTTAGACATATGCAGTTAGTAAAAATTTAAACGGATTCGAATATGGGTACTTAAATGTATTTAAACGGGTTTGGAACATATACGAATAATAAAATTTTAAACAGATACTTATATAAGTAGTTTAAAATTCGTGAGTACCCACTTAGCTTTCATTCTTATTAAGGGATGTTAGATTAGAACTCTATTAGATTTTAAAAAATTTTTGAAATCTTTGGGTTGGAGAATAAATTTGTGAATGACTATTCTTTTCATATTTAGTATTCTAAAATTTAATGAAATCTATAATTTTATAAACTCCTTTCAAATTAGTAATTTTTTGAATATCATCAAATTTACATGGACTTTTAAAAAATCATTATTGAAACCATGAGATTTTTATAAATTTTATAAGAGTCTAAATTGAATATCATAAAATTTTAATGGACTCCAATAAATATATATTGAATACCATTGAAATTTTAAAATCTTTTAAAATCTAATAGAGTATTAATTAAATACATTCCTCTAAATATCATTGAAATTTTAAAATCTTTTAAAATTCAACAGAGCTCTAATCCAATACACACCACTTAATTTATTTAGGCTAAAAGAAGAAGCTATAGAACCTCCACCTACCTAGGATGTTCAAAACCTTCTTATAGAGAACTTGTAAAGACCTCTTATATACTCAAGAGTTATATGAAAATTTTAAATAAATCAAAATATTATTATTAAAAATTGATAACTATGTCATCACTTAAATGACGAGGTATTTAAAAAAAATTTAAAGTTTGTTAATTAACCGAGGGTATTTCATTATTTTAATAAAAATAAGTGAAAGTTTCACTTTTCTCTATCATATTCTCTCTAAATTAAAGAGGAATTCAAAGCATGTGAGTCCGATGAAAAATAAATGAAATACTCCATTCTTTCTGCTAATTTTTATACTTCTTAACTCTTCATGAGAATTAAGAAAGTGACTCAACATCTCAATTATAAAAATAATAAGAATTAGAATAATTGATTAAATTACTCTTTTATTAATTTTTTGTAATTAATAGAGATAAAATTTAGTGGAGATATTTAAATAAAATGGAAGTTATAATTTTCTAAAAAAAAAAAGGAGAAGTTAGAATAAAATAATTAATATTGCTTTGATTTTCTAAAAATCTAAGCCTCTGTTTGGATGTGTGTAAAATTTAAGTAGATGTAAGATAAATAGTGAAAATTTATTGGGATTATCAAAATCCCTTGTTTGGTTTGAGGTAAAATATCAAAATTTACACCCATTTTATTCTCATTTTCACTCCATTTTGAGAGGAAAATGAATACTAAAATTTTCCACTCCTTATTTTACTTCCCCTCTTCCCAAACAAAGCACAAGTAAACAAAGAAGTATCAAAAATAACAAAATGTTAACAGTATTATTCTATTCCATATTCTCCTCCTCTCTCCCAAATAAATGACTTTTCTTATATATTTTCCTTAATTTTTTTTTCCTTACTTCTATCCAAACATATACTACTAAATTGGGTTTTATTTTGTATAAAAAAAAGGTTTTATTTTATTTAAAACGACCATATTGCCCTCGTCAAACCAGCCGATCCACCGCGTCAAGTTTGCATCCCCAGAAGGGCCAATTTCAAAAACCACCGACCCAGTGCTTTTCTTTGAAAGGGTTAATTACTACTTTTCCATTTAATATTCTCACTTTCATTTAATTAATCCATTTTTACATTATTGTTATTTTTATAAATATAAATATGTATTCACTTTGAGTTGAGCTTCTAACCCCCGATTCGTGGATTTCGTCTCCTCTGTCCTCTCTCTCTCCTGACATGGATTGTTCATTAAATAAAACCTTTACTTCTCTCTCTAAGCCAACCAACCTTTTCACCTCTTTCTCTCTCTAGGGTTTCGAAGAGTTCAAGTGACGACGACGAAGACCTCTCGTGCTATTATTGTGGGCTTTTCAAGCGTCCAAAGCGAGACAGGAGAAACTTCCTCAATGGTCTTTTGATCGCGCGCATATCAATTTCTTTGCTACAGAAGGAATCAGCTTCTCTCTGTCACTTCATGGTTTTTCGTGTTTTGGCTAGAATTCGTCTTTGATTACGTGGTAAATGCAAGCTTCGAACTCTTTCTCGATTTTTCACTTTTTTTATGCCTTTTTTTGGGTTGATTTAGAGCTACAGGACAATGGCATTCGTGTTTAAATTTAGTATTTAGGGTTTGAGTTAGTCATTTGGTCTGCTATATGTTTCTGGCAAAAAAATGTGACGAATTGAGTTTTTCAATTTCAAATTTTGGGGTTTCGAATAGCGCGGAACTAATGGTGAAAATGAAGCATAATTATAACTACATGGAAGTTGGTGTCTAATTCTTGAAAAGGGTAATGGCATCTAGCTTGATGTGTAAGTTTTTTATTATTGTAGTCTGTTCCTTTCCCCTTACACCATTTTCTGTTCCTTTCCTTGGTGAATGTTAATGGCTAAAATTGCAATGCTGCTTATTTTCTCTTTTGGTACAGGTTGATACGTTGTATTTTTTGTGGTAAATACTGCTATAAGAAGCGGCCTGTCTGAAAATTTTGAGATTTTCATGTTGGTAAATGCTGATTGGTGGATGTTGAATGGTTGTTACCATGGATTTAAATGTATCGCCTTTACCTGAAGATGATGAAGAGAATTTTGAAGAGCACATAGAACAATATACTGCTCCAGAAGAACGTTTTGAATCTGCAGTTGAAACTGCACGCCGGGTATTAAGTTTTATCTGATTTTGTGTTCTGAGCAATTAGCAGTAGAAGAGTATATTTATTGGTCTGAATTTTATCCTTTTACCGGAATAAATCACTGAAAAGGAATATTGTAATTAAATTTTGGACTTTATTTCAATTGGAATGAGTATATTGATACCTGGAGGCCCCTCTCTAAGATTCTGTGGAGTAAGGAATTATTCTTCTGCCAAATTTTAAGAATGCATAAACGGCAATGAAGAGTAACTGTGGAACTGTTGTTGATGAAATATTTTATTATCTGATTAAAGTATATACATATGTTTGTCGTTCTTATATTCACTGTCTTCAAAATAGTTGTGTGAATGGCTCTCCTAGAAATTCTGGAAGACCGCAGGACCACAACAGATATATGGCTTAATGTGTTTGAGATTGAATATATAAAAGTAGCTAGACTATATCATTATTTGTATTGCTGGACAATCTATGAGTGAGCATTTTTAATTGCTGGCTGTATATAGAAATAAGTTTTGAGATTAGACGATAGTTTGTTCTCGCTCTTTCTCTGTGATAGTTTGTTATCTTAATTCCTTATTTGCAATATATGCTGGTCTTCATGCATGTCTCTATGGTATCTGATGTGCTGTGTGTGCTTAGGTATTTGCCCTCACGCATTGTTGTATATTTTCTTTGCATCTCTGGTTAGGAGCGAGAAGAAAGACGTAAGAGATTGAGAAATGAACGTTCTGAAGACAGACCTATGCATGTGTCTCGGCAACCAGCACATGATCAACATTTTCCAACTAAACACTTCAAAACTTATGATAAAACTAAGCTCCCTCCTGGTAAGTTTTTTGTCCAATTGATTTCAATAGATATAGTTTACCAGTGAATATGACATCATTTATTTATTTAGTTTGGACAATGTTTACACTCACATTATGTGGAATGGAGTTTAGAATAGTAAGTTGATGTTAGCGATCTGTTGACAGTTCATTATTGAATTTTTCTGGTCAAATTTCCATGCATTGGTGGATTTTACATGTGAGGAAACATCGCTAAGTTATTTTTGCAATTTTATACATCAATTTTTTCCCTTCAGTTTTGAATTATATCTTGTTATTGAAATGATGGCCCTCAGCTAGGAATCTAGGAGTCTAAGAAATGTATTGTTTTCATATTTTTTTTGTGATGCATGTGATTCCAAGTTGTACCTTGCTATGCCTTGGCGATGATGGTAGTTGGTGAGAGGCATAATGCATGAGCAATGATTCCACTGGCTGGAAATCTAAAACGTTTAGGTAGAAGATCACACTAGGGGACTGGTCGTCTATTGCTGTTATCAGTTGCTATTAGATAGATATAAATGCTTAAGACTCGAGATTGTTAACTAAGTATGCTTTAGATGAATGCACGGCTGTAAATTTAAGGTTGTCACTTGGAAGCCATTTAAGTTCATCTTTCATATACAGCGGAGACAAAAGATTCATGTAACAGACCCTAGTTAGTTGTTATTACCAATTTTATGCTTTGTTCTATTTATTAATATTATCAAATGGTTTTAAAATTTTCCTTCAAAAAGCTTTTCTGCAAAAAGTACTTCATTTTTTTTTCTGACTAAATTTTGGTTTGCATTGATATTGATCAGAGCGGACATTGGGAACAAAGATTCATATAGTAGACCCCAACTAGTTTGGGACTAAGGCCTAGTTGTTGTTGTTTTATATACAGTGGAATATCATTTGCCATATAAAGAATCTGTTTAGGCCAATTTTGGGAAACATCATATCAACTTGTGGTGCGATATGCTGTATCTTCTTAGAGTATGGTTGGCCTTTCTCCTTTTGCTAGATATCTGAGAATTTGATTTACCTGGGCCAGGTTGATGAAATTTTATTTGTGTTTTCCATGATCTGAGGACAATATGATTGTACAATCTCAAATGCGATAGTAATGTATGTGCCTTTGAACTCTTGTTTGCTTTCAAAATGCTAGGCTGGCTGGATTGCCCTGCATCTGGTCACGAAATCTTTGGTATTATTCCTTCAAAGGTTCCACTTGGTGAAACCTATCACGACTGTATTCCTCCTGGAAGACGATACTCTTTTAAACAAGTGATTCATCAACAGAGAGTATTAGGAAGAAAAGTAAGTACTTTGGAGTTAAAAGTGCTCTTTATGCCCTTTTCTAATTCCTATGTGTATATATAAATTCAAAATGAGGAAACTTGCTAGTTTGCCCCTTTCTATCTAATTGATTGGTCTCAATATGAAGTGATTTGTTCTTTCTGTGAGCATAGAATATTTCATTTGGATGATATTTAAGTTTTATTCAATGATTTTTCAGCTTGGTTTGGTTATTGATTTGACAAATACTTCTCGTTACTATACAACTACAGATTTGAAAAAAGAGGGTATTAAGTATGTTAAGGTAAGTTGCAATATTGCATTTCTTTTTAGGCTAAACTCTCAGACAGTATTGTATTTTTGTAGTTAAATTGACTTCCTAATTTATTTTCCTAGATTCCATGTAAAGGGCGTGATGCAGTACCTGATAATGCATCTGTAAATAGCTTTGTTTATGAGGTATGCTTCTTCCATAATATCCTTATTTAGTGTTCTCTGTATGTTTTCTCCTATGGATTTTTCTTTAAACGCCTATCTCCTTTCCTTTTTTCTTGTTTGTTTATGTGCTGTACTGACCATTATATAGAATGGCATGCAGTAATTTGCCAGGTTATTTGTTGTATAGGATATTCTTTCTTGGACATAGCATATAACCACAATATGCTTGTTTGTGCGCAGATCTAATGTGTAATTCTTATTGTTCTAGGTTACACAATTTGTCTTTCGTCAAAAATCTAAGAAGTTTATTCTTGTTCATTGTACGCATGGGCATAATCGCACAGGATATATGATTGTCCATTATATTATGCGTACAATGCCAATGTCTGTCACACAGGTTTGTTTGCAGTACTTTGTATTTTGTTAGTAGGTCCAATTCCACAGGCTTCTTACTCTAGAACCTCTTCTTATTTGCTGCATGTGCAGGCAATAAAATTATTTGCTGATGCACGTCCTCCAGGAATCTATAAACCAGATTACATTAAGGCCTTGTATGATTTTTATCATGAAACAAAGCCTGAAATGGTTGTTTGCCCATCGACTCCAGAATGGAAGAGATCTTCTGACCTAGATCTTAATGGTGAAGCACTGCCAGATGACGATGATGATGGAGGTCCAGCTGCTCCTTTGAATGTATGCGTCGTCTTTGAATTTATCTATGATATTCTTTTTAATATACTGTATCGGTGGAAATCATGAACAAAACTGCTCTTTCTTGCAACATATATGCTTAGTGGAGAATGAATTTTTTATAGAAGATATTTGGTTTGCCGAGAAGTTGCCTGCTTTTGGAACATTGAATGTTAAAATCTGTATGTAAGGTTGCTGGCCTTTCAACTGGTCAATAATCTCATCATGAAAAGCTTCTCTGGATTCCATTTTTTTGGGTATATGCCGTTACATTCAAAGCATACGTACTGCACTAGACAAACAATTTTGTTATCTGTTATGATAGAAGAACCTGATAGGTGGTCTTTGCCTCTGAATCATGACATTCAACAAAATGGTGTTTAGCAACATAAACATCTATAAATAATGTATGCTGGGATGCACCGAGTAGCAGACCTTTTAAAAGAACATGATGCAGAAAAAAGAATTGGCAACAAAGACCATGCTACATGATGAAGAAACCATCAAGTTTGGTGGTGGCTGTATTAAGGTCTGGTTTGATTCTTGCAATGACTGAAAACTTGCCTCATTGCTAAACCGCCTATTTAAAGGCAAAAGGCAAAGAAAGAAGAGAATAAGATTGGTTTAATTGTGAAGGGCTCTGGAGTTGTGCATGAAGCTCTTGTCAGTATGATGAAATTGGACAAGTATTTACTTTTGTTGAGGTGGTGAAAAAAAAAGCCAATACGACTCACCGAAAGGCGTATAGGCTGTATTTAGTAATATTTATTAGATGTTGGTGTAGACATTAAAATATATGAAATTGACCTCCATGTATGCTATTATGTTTTTGATGTACTAGATCTAGACACAAATTATGTGAAGTTGATCCCAACATTTGGTCAATCTCTGTTATATGGTGTAGAATGGTTTTTGCTTGTTTTTTTTTGGTTTTGATTGGCACTTTTCAGTTAGAATACATGCGATTAGGTTTTCATTACACTAGATCTTAATATCAACTTTCTTATTTTTTATTTTTTATTTTTTTGGACTAAGGCTTGGTTGTTGTTGTTCTTGTTTTTTGTGCGCGCGCATGTGTGTGTGAGGTAAAACAATTTGGTGACAGATGTTGGAGGTTGTTGAACATTCTTAAATGAGAAAAGGTGCTTCACTAGGTGGTAAATGGCTAGAGCAATTTAGTTGATGTGATCATTCGATGTCGGTAGAGTGTAATATGTGGTCTTGGTGATATCTGTCAGCATAGTGGATGCTTGGTGGTAGCCTTTACCAAAATGCTAGCATATATTGGTGGGTTGTTGCTGATGATTTATGGTAATATGCTTGAAGCTGATATCTGGCATATATTACTGGACTCTGCCATTTAATCTGTTACTGTAGAAACAAAAGCCATGAATGCATGTTCTAGTTGCAAATTGGAGTAATGATCTCCAAAAAGGAAAAGGAAAATATATATTTTCTTGATTATCATTCAGAAGAAAATGAAAACGGTTATTTCAATTGTCCCATGTAAGAGTTCTTACGGCATCAAAGTTTTTTGATCTAGATTCTGGCACTAACTGTGCATCAAAAGTTTTGTTTTGATATTGCTTTTCCATTACATAACATGTCTAAAATGTCATGGTGGTAATCTATTATCTTGATAATCAGTGAAATGATGTATGCTGTACTTTTTTTTTAAGGAAAATGTTTACTATGCTTTGGTTATACATTACTGGACTAATTCCTTTGCATTTTTATTTTGGCTTTAAATTTCTAAGTTTTATCTCTATTTTTATAATTATTTTCCCATAGCAAAGACATGATATCTTGATGCTGATGTACCAAAACAAATAATACTCTATTATGCTTCATGTCATTTCAGGACAACCATGAGGCAGATGCTACAATGACAAATGATGATGTTTTAGGAGATAAAATACCTGCTGATCAACTGGATGCTCTGCGACTGTTTTGTTACCAAACACTTAAGCTGAATATCCCAGTAAGGACTCTTTTACGATTGTTCTTCACACTTTTTTTTTTTTTTTTTTTTTTTTTTAGATTGTTCTTCACCACTTTTTTTTTTTTTTTTTTTTTTTTTTTTTTTTTTTTTTTTTTTTTGAGACATCTAAGATCTTGAGCATGTTGAGTTTTATTTTATCACAAGTTACATGTATAAGCATGCGTGTAAATATATTGACATTATTGTGTTACTCAAGAGTTACTTTGTTTTCTCCTGGATAGATTTCTCTTACATCTAATATTTCCCCTGTCAAATGGCTCTTTAGATGTTCCAGCCTGTTGTTGTTTTAGTAGAAAGGTCATGAATTTCATTGTTTATTCTGTCTGAATGAGGAACGGATAAGATATTCAAAGCTCCAAATTTCTCATATTTTTTATGTAATTCATTGTTACTTTGGTTGGCGTGGAGCTTACGTCTTTCTCCGTGAATTTTCAGGTAAGAGGAAATCCACAATTTCCGGGGTCGCATCCAGTATCTCTCAACAGGTCTGTTCGGCATTTTCCTTTGATGATAATTTGTGCCCACCCATCCCCCTCCATTTTTTATCCCTATGATTAAGGTCCCTACGGGTTAAGGAGATTTTTCCATCTCTAACTTGAGCAAAGCCATACAGATCTTGATGATAATTATGCTGTGCTCTCTAAATGTTTTGTTAATTTGAGCTGGTTTGTGTGTGTTTTATCCCCTTGTTGAAGAAGGTTAGATCTGTTTTTTTCCGATGGAATGGGTTTTCACCTATTATTTAAGCATGGTGGAATCTGAAAGAAAATTTAATACCTAATTCCTATGCTCTTTTAGATGGTTAGTAGTTATAGTTTTTTGTTAAAAATTATCTTGTATGGATTCACATCTTATGGTAGTTATTTAAAATGTTGATGCTGTTGGAGGCAGAAGTTGGAACACTCAGGAGAAAAAAAATCTTGTTTATGACGAACAAATGAATGGAAAATGAGAGTTCTTATATCTTGTACAATTTGAAGCAACTTGGTGAACTAATATTGAACTTTCATCTGAACACTTTATATTATTTTCACTAAATAAGCTTCATATTATATAAAAAAAATGTGTCTATTTTGTGTTATTATACTGTTGTTTGAAATTGGCTAGTTTTTTAGTCACATTATCATTGAGATTAATCGAAATGATATTTTTCCTTTTCTTAATATTGTGTTTGGAAAGACTTATTATGCTAGAATTCAATTCAAATTCTATTTGCTCATTTTCAATTTAGGGAGCCTTTTTTGCAAGAATCGAACATACCTCAAAAAGTGGGTGATTTTGCAAAAATTCAATTTCTTTAGTTAGTTGGTAGCCCACCCCCCAACACCACCACCACCACACACAACCCCACCCACACACAACCCCCCAAACCCCCCACCCCCTCCACCCCCCCAACCCAAAACAACAAATACCTTAAAAAGCAACCTTTGTTGAACAGGCGCAAGGGGTAATTACAACAATTTTTCCAATTCTTCAAGCAATAGAATTCATCTTTTTAGGAGTTAGTTTCAAACATGTGAAGTCTCCCCCCCCCAACCCAAACAACAAATACCTTAAAAGCAACCTTTTGTGAACAGGCGCAATGTTGGGTAATTACAACAATTTTTCCAATTCTTCAAGCAATAGAATTCTATCTTTTTAGGAGTTATTTCAAACATGTGAAGTCTATGTAGAATCAAATAGAACTCTACTGCATGATTTTTTGCAAAAGAAGTGTAAAGCTAAAATAGATAAATACCCTATTCAAACATTGTTGGAACTTCAGATGTTTGCTTTTTTTATCTCAATCAAATTTATTGGACTTGTTGGAGGCTGAAAACAACCAACGATATCACTCCTAATAATGCAGCCATGGAGGTGAATGAGAATAAAAAGTGTAACTATAACAAAAGTTACCTACAGATCACAGATAATGCAGCCATGGAGATACGATGGCTTTACAGTTACGGCTCTTTTAATAAAGTTCTTTTTAGTGCATATGATGTGAATCTCAGACTACCCTATTTAAATTTGCCTGAAAGAGGTACATGAAAGTGGTAAGCTAGAGGTTTGTGGTAAATTCAAAATGGATTAGTGAGTGTTAACTTTGGTATCATGGTTTTAAATATTGGTGGATGTGTTATGTTTAGACTGATTCGTAATGGTTTGGAAGGGCAATGATATGATATTTTCCATGTTGGTACCCAAAGTTTGAGAATGAAGGTGAATTGTCCGTTATGGTATTGACGATTCAAGCGAGACTAACGCAATGTAACAATGAACAGCCATCAGATAAGTATGCTGACAGAGGTTTTTTACTAAATCAGATACGAAAAATATAGTAGATTTTTACCAAAGAGGTTCAGTTTCTCTAGGGAATAAAAATACAATGGTTAGACTCAAAAATCTTGAACTGAAATCACTGAGTCATCAACAATTGCTTCGCTGGCCAAAAACTTCTGTTTCCATTCCAACTCTTCAAAATCTTTTCATTCTACATCTTCCCAATTTATTGGTTTTCTTTCCAAAACTTTACACTTTCGTAGATTCTAGAACTACCCAACTGATAAAGATTGTATTTTGATTTTTACTTCATCAAAATTTAGCGGAATCATACAAAAGTTGAAATTTGGTATTGGAAAATCACAAGGAATGGTGAAGAGAAGAAAAAAAAAAAAATAGTGTGGAGAATAGAAGTTGGTTGTAGCAGTCTGTCTGAATGTGGAACAGAGGAATTCTCTTGGCTTTGGCGGTTTTGCATAGTGATATAAGCAGGATAATAGGAGATTTGTGGATTTTATACATTTCCTTTCCTTCAGGTGTTAGTTTAATTCAGACAATGCAGTTTTGTTATTATTCTCTTTCTTTCTCTCTCTTTGTTTTTATTAAGGAGCAAGTGTAAAGGTTTTGGGCTTTTCCATAATCTGAGATTCTAAATTAAATAAATTCTATTTTAAATTTTTAAAGTGAATAATATGAGTTTTTATATAAGAAAAGTATAAAAAGAAAAGTTAGAACAAAAATAAGATTTCAGGTTAAAACTTGAAGTTAATTTTTTAAAAGATTTAATAAATAATTATTTTGCATTTAATTCTTTACTAGTGTGATTTAAAAAAAATGTTATAGCACTGGCTGTGATCGCTACATTTTTGCTGCGACATACTGACATGTCTAAAAATGCAACAGTGACTGACACCACCTCAACCTTGTTTTGAAACTGCGTTAAATATTGTTTTGTACCAGCATGGAATGTGTTATTTTCCGAAATTATGGTCCTTATGTTGACCTTAAGCAATCTTGCAATGTGTCTGCAAGTGCATATTCACCTGATGCAATCAGCGGGGATGTGTGGCAGTGGAATTGTGCAGGCTTCATTATCCTGGAGGGGCTAAGTTGAAAAAATCACCTCCCTCCAGAGAACATATTATGTGCACCTAGATTAGGTGATATGCTGTGATTGTGACGGTTATCTTCTGGCCTTGTTATGGTGCACTTATTTTAAATTTATGAAAAGTAAAATGCTATGGTGCATTGATCTTAAATTTATAGAACTAAAAGGCAAAAAATGATGCATCTTATTTCTATCTTCTCCCTCATAACAAAAAAGTCTATTTTTATTGGTTTGTGACTTGTTTTTGCTTATTTAATTTGTGCAAGAGTGCTCATGCCATGGGACTGATGTTGACAATTTTTTTCAATTATTGTCTTGGTCTCAGTTTGTGGAACTACAAGGTTAATTTTGTGGAATTTTCAATTTTTTTGGGGTGCAGGGACAATTTGCAGCTGTTAAGGCAGCGATATTATTATGCAACATGGAAAGCTGATGGGACTCGTTACATGATGCTGATTACGATGGATGGCTGCTATTTGATTGATAGGAGTTTCAATTTTCGGAGGGTCCAGATGAGATTTCCTTGCAGAGGCACAAATGAAGTATGTGTCTAAGCATTTTATAATGGATTTTGACATTAAGACCTTATTAGTACAGTTTCTTGTGGATCATCATTTCCAACACAATTCCTTTTTCTGGTTTTTGTAAGCCTTTAGCTGAGAAGACTCACCACTATACCTTACTTGATGGGGAGATGGTCATTGATACATTGCCAGACTCACAGAAGCAAGAGAGAAGATACCTTATCTATGATGTAATGGCAATTAACCACATGTCAGTCATAGAGGTTAGATTCTAGTAAATTCTGCGAGAAATAATGCCATGCTTTATATACCAGAAAAATTGCTGTGATTTTGTCTTGCTTTTGCTTGCTATTATTTCATTAAGGGAAAATTATAAACTTTTCCTCATATTATGCCAAAATTAACTACTGTCCCCCTGTTTTTTGAAATATATTATTTTGTCTCCATATATTGATTCCATCCAATATTTCCATTTTTTGCTGTTAAACTTAGAGGAAAAGACTAGAAAACCATTGTATCTCTTTTCTTTCCTATCTCTTTGTTCTCTCTTTCCATCTCTTCTCCCCATCCACTCATGCTTGTAACAGACCACATTGCAGCATTTGGCCTATCCATTGCAGAGAGACCTATCATTTCCATACCATTAGGTGTCATTTCATGGCCAAAGAAGGCTGGGTTCACATTAGGAGCCACTGCTGCAAGTCCCATTTCATTAACAGCAGATCTGTTTCGTACTCCAACATGACCTCCAACCATATTGTTGGCACCCATAGTTCCTCCTCTTCACTGGTCCTCCACCCTAAGGATTGGTGATTGTTTGGCTCTACCATTTGCTTTTCTTATGCAATCTTTGCTTTCTTTATTTTTTTTTTATTTTTGAATTTATTTAAGTTTGCAGAAAACATAAAATTAAGAGGGATTTAAGAGTATTTGTGTTGTTTCACAAGCCACTTAACGGAAAAAGTTGAACTTTTTTGACAGGAACAATAGTGTATAATAGTAAAAAACATAGGGGAAAAAGTAGTGTATTTTAAAGAACAGAGGGACAGTAATTAATTTTGGCATAATGTGGGAACGATTATAATTTTCCCTTTCAATAATTTGTTTACATCTAATAATGTTATGCCCTTGCAACACCATGAAAACACTAGGTACATCATGTGCCATACGTGGATAGGAAATTTAATATATTATCTTATTCTGTTGTTTTTTGGTTGTATATTGTCATTTCAACCCCTAAGTTGTGCATACTTGTGTACAAACCATGTCTGAACGTGCAAATTTAAGAAATTATAAGGATATAGGCATTGTGTGGACTGCATCTATTTTTGTGGGCTTATTTACACTTCTAATCTTGAAAACTGATTACAACTGCACATTTAGTTTGGGGCAAATGATAGACCTTATCTTTCACAGAGATACACGGTAACAATTGAATTAAAAAAAGAAAATGTTTTATAATTTGTGTTCTTGCTTGGTGATGGAGAGGAGCGCTGCTCAGATTTTTTCCCTAACTATTTTCACTAAACCCTCTCTCAAAAGAGCCATATTTTTTTCAGTTAAATGTTCTTTTTTATGATTAGACTGAGCGAGTTGATGAAATTGTATGTACATTATATAGTGCCTTTTGTCATCAAAAGACATACTGCTAGCCAACTGGGTTTTTCCTTCATAAGACCTACTGATGTTTTTTATGGTTCAAAATTGCTACAGAGGCCTTTTTATGAACGATGGAAGATGCTTGAAAAAGAAGTGATTGAACCACGGAATTATGAACGGCAGTATATTTATCAGAGCAGGAATCCTTATTACAGATATGACTTGGAACCCTTCAGGGTATATAATTGAAACCCAGTGTTAAATCAGCAGTGCCTCTGGCCCTTTGTATGTCCTTCTATATTCTGCTAATGATTTGTTAAATTGTTTTCCAGGTCAGAAGAAAGGATTTCTGGTTGCTTTCTACTGTTACTAAGCTTTTAAAGGAATTTATTCCAAGGCTTTCACATGATGCAGATGGTCTTATTTTTCAGGTGATTGGAATCAATGCTAGTAATATCGCTTTCAAAGAATAGTAAAGAGAAAATATCAGTCTAAAAATTGCTAAACTAATGAACTTCCCTAATCATGAATGGTTGATTGTATGCCCTTGGAAGAATCTTATACACTTAATAGTTTATTATTAACAAGTATCTTGACACAGTCTTTTCGTTGTTCTCTCTCTACTCATTCAATAATTATGAATATTTGTATTGTACACACCATAGGGGAAAGGACCATGTTGTTTCAAGTGTGTTTCATTTTGCTGTTAAGGTGTTAAAATGTGATCCTTTTTCTTTTACGTGCTAGGGTTGGGACGATCCCTATGTTCCTCGCACCCATGAAGGGCTTCTGAAGTGGAAATATCCTGAAATGAATTCCGTTGACTTTCTATTTGAGGTGTTTTTGTCAACTTTACCACAAACTTAGCTGTTCCATTGTGTGCCTTCCCCTCTCTGCCCCCTACCTTATTGGCCTAGACTTCTCATTTACAGTTCATCCTGATGCAAAGTTAAATGTATTTACAGGTGGATGCTGACGGTCGTCAATTACTTTATCTGCATGAACGAGGGAAAAAGAAGCTGATGGAAGGGAACACCGTTGTATTTAGAGGTTGATGTGAATGCCTATTTTATCTTGCTTCTCTACTCTGTTGTGAATGCTACTATTTCACTGGCAATTCAAAGTCTTGAATTTGAACTTTACACTTCACTCAAACTTACACGTCAAGGGAGGAAATATTTAGGCTTCAAGAAATCACTGTGGCATATTCTTTGGTGCTTTTGTCTAGCTGTGAATGATCTTGCGTGCATAAATTTATGAGAGGATTTTAGGCGCTTTAAATTGCCTTTCTTGTTGGTTTGAATAGCTTTCAACTGATTTTTCTTACATCTTCATTAGACAAATCATTCATGCCTAGTAATTCATTGATCATAACTTTTAACTAGATTATCTTCTTTATGTTATTCATAGCTATATTTTGAGTCTCATTTGAATTCTAAAACTTACAGATGGTTCAGATCCCTCTTCATACTCGGGAAAAATTATCGAGTGTTCTTGGGATTCAGATGAACAGGTATGGGTTTGTATGCGGCTCCGGACAGATAAATCTACACCAAATGACTTTAGTACCTACAGGAAGGTCAGTCTTATAATTTGTTTTGTATTAATGTGTATGCCTGCTTAAGTGTATCAAATAAACTGCTTGCTAATTGAAACAGGTGATGCGAAGCATCAAGGACAATATAACAGAGGACATTTTGTTGCATGAGATTTATGAGATCATCCGCCTTCCCATGTATGCAGATAGGATAAAGAACGACAGTAAAGCTTCAGCAAGACGCAGGTGATGGACAGTAGTGATGTATGGTCCCTTGGGTTTTTTATTTTCTGACGAGTAATGTCCAATATGGTAAAAAGTGGTTACAAGACTAAAAGAACCCAACGGTGGACTTTTGATGCTGATAAATGGTGGCAGTGTTTGGTGGTTCACTTCATTGAAATTGGATGGACATATCATCTGGAGGGTCAGTGAGATGTTATGTAATTAGCTACACCTTGTTATAACCTCATAGCGTGTAATCTGCTGGTGAGTTCTATGATCCGGTTGGTACACAGTTAGTTTTCTACATCAGACCCCAAATTATGTCTAAATGATAGCTGTCCAGATCAAAGAAAATTAGGAATAGGATGACCATGTATATTATTAATATTTCGCCCTTTTTATGTAGTGTTTTATAAGTTGTTTTAAAAAGTTAGCCATTTTTTAGAATTAGAGCCAAGTTTCTGTCTCTCTTTCTCTCCCTCTCCCTCTCCCTCTACTGGGAATGTTGTTTTTTCTTAGCCTTTTGGGTTCCCAATGTGAATATCATTTTTGTAAGTTGCCATCTTTTCTTTTTGGTTTCTGCCCGTATGCTTACAATATTCCCTTCTTATATCGTCTTGTATTTTATTTTATTGATTTGTCGTGATGTGTACTTCAATAAGTAGGAGTGCAATGTGATTGGAGAATGATCCGATGTGTTTTTTTTTTTTTTTTTTAAGAAATATTGGGAGAAGGATCCGATGTGTTTTTTTTTTTTCTTCTTTCTAAAAATATTTTATCTTTAAGCGTTGGGGGGATGAGGATCTTCCAAGGTTCGCCTCCACCTGTCCCCCAAGCTCTACCTGATTCCGCCCTTAGTTGAATGCCACAGCGTTCGCATGCTCTGGTGCCGACCTCTTCTTTGGTTTTCGAATTGAAAAGAGCCAACTCGGATGTCAGTAATTTGCGTACGCTGTTTTATCTCTGGCTCATCAATTTAAATTTAGACGTTTAGAAATGGCTAAATGGCTAAAAAGCTCTGTTTGATAATAATAATAGCTTTATGGACTAGCTTTAACATTTTATTAAATCAAAAGTAATTTTATTTTTAATTAAACTAATAATGTTTGTTAATATAGTTTTATAAACTAACTTAAAAAAAATGTTAATACTCTTAAATTTTAGCTTTTTTAACATTAGAGTACTTTTTTTTTTTTTTTTTCTAAGAAATATTTTATCTTAGAGCTTGGGGGATGGAGGATGCTCCAAGGTTCCCTCCACCTGTCCCCCAAGCTCTACCTGATTCCGCCCTTAGTTGAATGCACAGCGTTCGATGCTCTGGTTGCCGACTCTTCTTGGTTTTCGAATTGAAAGAGCAACTCGGATGTCAGTAATTTGCGTCTGTTTTATCTCTGGCTCATCAATTTAAATTTAGACGTTTGAAATGGCTAAATGGCTAAAGCTCTGTTTGATAATAGATAATAGCTTTTGGACTAGCTTTTAACATTTTATTAAATCAAAAGTAATTTTATTTTTATTAACTATAATGTTTGTTAATATAGTTTTTATAATACTAACTTTATAAAAAATGTTAAGTACTCTAAATTTTAGCTTTTTAAAATCTTTTTGGCATTTTATCTATTTTTTTCTGAATTTCAGTTGAGTAAATAATTAATTTTTTTTTATCATTTTAAGTTAAATAGCTAATTAAATAATTATTTTTATTGAATATTTTTAATTTAAACTGTCATATAGTTATCAATTAAGTTAACAGAACAATAAAAAAAAGCTAATATTGTCTAACAAACACCAAGTTAAACGACGACAAAGAAGAGGGAGTGAAAATAGCTATGCTATATTTCTGTTTCGCTGCTTTACAGTCTTAGCTTGAAATGGTCGTGGCTATGCACTAGCATGCTCGGAACTCGGAAGTCGCTGTTTATGCTATGATGTCTTGTCCCTTTTACCGTACTAAATGAATCGAAAAATGCAAAATTATGTCTTAAATGGTTATATAACATCTTAATGATATCCTAATAATATTTGTGTGAGTTAAATTTTTTAGTTCGATTTTGAAATTGAAAGCGTCACCACCCAATTGTACCATCGATTATAGCCATTTAATTGCAAAGTTTTGCATGTAGAGATATTCGGTTGCAAATATTTCCTGGCAAAATGCTAAAATAGACAAAATGTGAAGTTAAAGCACCGTTATCATTTTCCTCGAATAAATCATGAAACAAGTAATTTAAAAGGAAATGAAATGGTTGGGAAGCTCAAATAAATTATTATTATTGTTATTATTATTATTATTATATTGCTTAATATGAAAAAGGAAAATAATAAAGCAATCGTCAACTGTCGTTTTTGTGCAGAAATGTCTTCGACTCTCTGCAGCACCAAGCCAAGCCCTTATGCAAATAGAAAACAGAAGATAGATCCATAGAACCCTATCGCTCACTATCAGGGTTCATCATTCCCTATTCTCCTCAATTTCAATTACATTCTCAATTTGTGATTACGCTAATCAAACTCATCGAAAATAATACCTTGACTCGATCGATTATCATTTTTTCGAGCAAAGTGCAAAAAGATCACATGAAATTCTCGGCGACAACGACCTCTATTTTCTTGATTTCTTTGCTTTTGAGCGCTTCTCTAAATTCCGTCAATGGAGAAGAAACCAAGAAGAATAAATTTCGGGAGCGAGAGGCCAGCGACGACGCCCTCGGTTACCCTGATATGTGAGTTCGATCTCCATTTTGATCAATTTCATACTACTATTTGAAATTTTAGCTGAAATTAGGTTTAGTTTTTGTCTTTTTTTTATTTTTTATTTTTTTTGTACAGAAATGTATTTTACTGTGTTCTCGTTTTTGTAGAGATGAGGATGCATTATTGAATACTCAGTGCCCTAAAAATTTGGAGCTTAGATGGCAGACGGAAGTTAGCTCTAGTATTTATGCTTCTCCTTTGATCGCTGATATTAACAGGTGATAAATTGCTAAAGCAGAGTTTGGTACTATGGTCTCTTTCAGGATGTATGTTTACTCTCTAATTTTGTGTTTCTTTAGTGATGGCAAACTTGATATAGTAGTGCCTTCTTTTGTTCACTACCTTGAAGTTCTAGAAGGCTCTGATGGAGACAAAATGCCTGGTAATTTGCTACATCCTTCTCTTCTAGGAGGCTGATATGGATCCTCTTTAACGACTTTGTTTAATTCAATTGGATTGACACATGATTCAATCGGCAAAGGTTGTGTATGAAAAACACAAGCTTTTAGAGAATGCTTCTGTTGATTAATCCAAAATGCTATACATGGTTGTTTGATAATATGTCAGGTTGGCCTGCTTTCCACCAGTCAACTGTGCACGCCAGTCCTCTTCTATATGACATTGACAAGGATGGTGTGAGAGAAATTGCATTGGCTACCTACAACGGTGAAGTTCTCTTTTTCAGGTAATTGTTGATGAATTATTCGTGTGGGGATTATCTAGTTATTGTGTAGCATTAACGGTTAAAGGAGTTCTGCTCTGATGATCCCAAATTAACAGCTGATCTGTATGATATTAATTTTAGGGTGTCAGGCTACATGATGACAGAGAAACTGGTTGTACCTCGTAGGAGTGTTAAAAAAGATTGGCATGTAGGTTTAAATCCTGACCCTGTGGATCGTTCTCATCCAGATGTTCATGATGAGCAACTTATATCAGAAGCTGCTGGGAAGAAACCAGTGTCTCGTAAGTTTAACTTAGCCCCAAATTCAAAATGAGTTCTTCTGCCTGTATCTTTACTTGTTACTGAATAGCTGGCTATCTTCACTATCACTTTAGATAATATGGCACTTTTATTATTTCATTGCTATTGTTTGAGTCTTGACTCTTGAGGAGTCTCCCCAAAGATGCATATTGTGCCCTTTTCTCAATGATGTTTATTTTGGTTGGATATTGTGCCCTTTTTATTATTTCATTGCTATTGTTTGAGTCTTGACTCTTGAGGAGTCTCCCCAAAGATGCATATTGTGCCCTTTTCTCAATGATGTTTATTTTGGTTGGATATTGTGCCCTTTTTATTATTTCATTGCTATTGTTTGAGTCTTGACTCTTGAGGAGTCTCCCCAAAGATGCATATTGTGCCCTTTTCTCAATGATGTTTATTTTGGTTGGATATTGTGCCCTTTTTATTATTTCATTGCTATTGTTTGAGTCTTGACTCTTGAGGAGTCTCCCCAAAGATGCATATTGTGCCCTTTTCTCAATGATGTTTATTTTGGTTGGATATTGTGCCCTTTTTATTATTTCATTGCTATTGTTTGAGTCTTGACTCTTGAGGAGTCTCCCCAAAGATGCCTATTGTGCCCTTTCTCAATGATATAATTACAGAATTATTTATTTCTACGTATGATTCTGATAGGTACTCCATCTGTTAGGTTTTCTGGCTTGGTAACATTTTAGAACTTGTGTTTCTTCTAACAAGAATGGACCATATGACTAATGTTGGCTGTTTTGCAGAAGCAGCAGAAAGTACTCCAGAAATTAAAACTAAAGTTTCCGAGTCAATAGAAAGTCACCTTCCACCGCCAAATGTCTCAGTTCCTCTGAATGAGAAGAAAATAAAAGAGAGTCAGATGGAGCCAATCATCTCAGTGCCCACAAATACTGCGTTAGTTGGAACCAATAATACTGAGAATGGAACAAATACTGGGAGACGACTTCTAGAAGATGATAACTCCAAGGAGTCTCAGGAAAGTAGTTCAGATTCCAAAGAGAATAACAATGAGGATGATCATGCGGCAACTGTGGAAAATGATGAAGGTTTGGATGCAGATGCGGATACCTCTTTTGAGTTATTCCGTGATAATGAGGAGCTGGGTGATGAATATAGTTATGACTATGATGATTATGTCGATGAATCCTTGTGGGGAGGAGAGGAGTGGACTGAAGAACAACATGAGAAATCGGAGGATTATGTGAACATAGATTCGCACATCCTGTGCACCCCTGTGAGTGTAGACCTTACTTAGATTAATACTTTTTAATGGATGAAACTTGCTTCATGGATGTTATTATGGTACTGAGATGAAATTTATTCTCTTATTTCTTCAGATCATAGAAGATATTGATAACGATGGGATTTCAGAAATGATTGTTGCTGTTTCATATTTCTTTGATCACGAGTGAGTTTTCTTAAATGGTTCACCACGTACATGTACTAACTTACATTTCAATTATTTGAATGAGCTTAAGCTGTATCAGATATGTTTTACTTTAGAAGTCAAACCTGTCTCATATTTGTTTGTTATTTAAGTATCTGCCAAATGGTTTTGTAAAATTGGCAGGTATTATGACAATCCAGAACATTTGAAAGAACTGGGTGGCATTGATATTGGAAAATATGTTGCCGGTTCTATCGTTGTATTTAACCTTGATACAAAGCAAGTTAAGTGGACTCGAGAATTGGATCTAAGTACAGATACTTCAACCTTCCGTGCGTATATATATTCTTCTCCCACAGTTATTGATTTGGATGGAGATTACTTTAGAAGTCAAACCTGTCTCATATTTGTTTGTTATTTAAGTATCTGCCAAATGGTTTTGTAAAATTGGCAGGTATTATGACAATCCAGAACATTTGAAAGAACTGGGTGGCATTGATATTGGAAAATATGTTGCCGGTTCTATCGTTGTATTTAACCTTGATACAAAGCAAGTTAAGTGGACTCGAGAATTGGATCTAAGTACAGATACTTCAACCTTCCGTGCGTATATATATTCTTCTCCCACAGTTATTGATTTGGATGGAGATGGGAATTTGGACATTGTCGTTGGAACCTCATTTGGCTTATTCTATGTGCTTGATCATCATGGTAAGGATTTTATCGGCTTCTTTCTCTCCTGCAACTTGCTTAATATGTTTCTTTGTCATATTTAAAACCGCTGTAGATTTTAAAAGCTAATATCTTCTTATCAATGTGATTTTCAATGATTAAAGTTCATCCTTTTGTAGACTATAACAACCTTGCTTAGAAATTAGTTGAGCTTGAACTTTCAATTATTTGAGCTTGCTTATAAATTGTTTGAGCTTGAATTTTCAATTGTGAATGTTACTTGGAGATGCATTATAGTCTTTGAGACACCATATGCTTATATCATGTTTTGCATTACCTTGTAACTGTTACTATGTAACCTTGTTGTATTATGTTTTTACTACATTCTGTGCTCTTTACATTCGCCAATCCATATTTTAGTAAGTTTAAAATTTGAATCAGCAGTATACATTATATTGCCAATTCTAGTTAATTGGTCGCCAACTATCAAATATTTTGGGTAAAATCAAAAGGAATTGCTAAAATTGCAAAGTGCACAATGGCTGGGATGTTTTGTTCATTCAGCCCTCTAAATATTGTGTAAGCTACCTGTTTTTAATTTGCCAGAGGACATTAGAGCGTAAATTTTGTCTTTCCTCCAGGAAATATTAGAGAAAAATTTCCTCTTGAAATGGCTGAAATTCAAGGGGCTGTAGTTGCAGCCGATATCAATGATGATGGGAAAATAGAACTAGTGACTACTGATATACATGGAAATGTTGCTGCATGGACTTCACAAGGAAAAGAAATTTGGGAGAGGCATCTCAAGAGCCTTGTTTCCCAGGTTGGTTGCTATCTCAGTATTTCTTAATATTATGTGTTCTATGTGAATGAATAAGGAAACTGTTAATTGTGTATGACTGTTGACTGTGCTGTGGATGTTTTATTGCTTGATGCAAATAATGTCAATTTTTGAAAATATTAGGAACCTATTTACTCATTTTGTTTATATCAGTTGTGATGTACTGATTGATGAACTGCTGGTAAGGGAATCTTTTGTTTTTGTTACAATAGAAGCTGAGTTATGGCTCTCGTTTGGAAATTCAAAGTCAGTGCAAATACCTTTTTAAGAATGCTTCAAAAGATAGTGATCTAACAGATGCATGACATTTCTCAGGGGCCAACTGTAGGTGATGTTGATGGGGATGGCCATACTGATGTTGTAGTTCCAACATTATCAGGGAACATATATGTTCTTAGTGGCAAGGATGGTTCAAATGTTCGGCCATACCCTTACAGAACTCATGGGAGGGTGATGAATCAAGTTCTTCTTCTTGATTTAAGTAAACGTGGGGAAAAAAGCAAGGGACTTAGCCTTGTGACAACATCATTTGATGGATACCTGTACCTTATAGATGGGCCTACATCTTGCGCTGATGTGGTTGATATTGGTGAAACATCGTAAGACATTAATTTATCCTCAAGTATTATGATGCTTCCTCTCATTTTTCTATAATGTATCTAAATTTTGAATCTCTTCCTTTCAGATATAGCATGGTCTTGGCAGACAATGTTGATGGCGGAGATGACCTTGATCTTGTTGTCACGACAATGAATGGAAATGTCTTTTGCTTCTCAACTCCAGTTCCGCATCATCCCCTTAAGGCAGGATGCTTTGTACTTGAGCTGTGGCATCTTTCCCATATGCTATTTCGTCACATTGATAAAAATAGGAATTGCCATGTATACCTTATAACGTGCAATACATTCCGTGTGGTTTAACTTTTAAATGTTTACCATTGTGCATTTTCAGGCCTGGAGATCAGCCAATCAAGGAAGAAACAATGTTGCAAACCGCTTCAATCGTGAAGGGATCTATGTTACACCTTCCTCAAGAGCTTTTCGTGATGAGGAGGGGAAGTACTTCTGGGTGGAGATTGATATTGTTGATAAATACAGATTTCCTTCTGGCTCTCAAGCACCTTATAAAGTCACTGTAAGTTGCTACTCCTCCATGCATGTTGCAATTTTCCAAAATCCAAGGAAATGTCTTATGAGTCTAATTTTCCAATTGGACTGTTTCAGACAAGCTTATTAGTTCCAGGTAATTACCAAGGTGAGAGAACGATGAAGCAAAACCAAACCTTCAATCAGCCAGGAAGATATCGCATAAAACTTCCGACAGTTGGAGTAAGGACTACAGGGACTGTACTGGTAGAAATGGTTGACAAGAATGGGCTGTATTTCTCAGATGAGTTCTCCCTCACATTCCATATGTATTACTATAAACTGCTCAAGTGGCTCCTTGTCCTCCCAATGATTGGGATGTTTGGTGTTCTAGTTATTCTTCGCCCGCAAGAGGCTATGCCTTTACCATCATTTTCACGGAACACTGACCTGTGAATATATCCTCCTCCTGTGTCAACCTGTCATGTATGCCAAAGTTGACTGAAGTTTGATAGATAGTTTTCAGATGAACTAATGTCGGGAACTTCAGGCGGCAAGAGAAAAGATCGGGTCTCAATAGAAGTTTTTGGCCACATACTTAAAGTGGATCTTTGACTATCCTGAAGATCAACAGAATTTGATTTTTGGACTGTGTAAGATCGGAATTTGTATCATACTTGAATTTGAGTAGGTGGATTGAAATTCTTATACCAAAAGAGGGAGGGAAATCAATTTTTCCTTCCTAAATCAGATGTTAGTTTTGAATACTCGGTTCACAAATTCTTTTAGATACGAGATGACGAAATAGAGACAATCTTTGGAGCTGCATAAGATGATGAAATAGATACGTCTATTAGCTGTGCAAGTGTTTAGTTAATCGCATTGCTTGAGCTCGACATTGTTAGACGCTAATTTGTTAGAAACAATTTGCATATTTACCTAGCAGTGGAAGAGGTGAAAAATTCGAACTATCATAGCCTCTTTGCTTTTCCTCGTTGAAACTTCCTATTGTATCCAAAATAAAAAAATGTCAGCTCTGTTTTTATGAGTTATGCTAACCCAAGATCGTAACATCCTCCCCTCCTGTGCTATTGGCTCAACTATGGCGGTATTGGCAACAATTTAACTTTGAACGTCTTAACAAAAGCAACAGTGTATAGTAATATAACATTTTACAAAATACAGCTATTAATTACTAAAAAAGCTAAATGTTAAAAATTAATTTTGCTAAGCTAAATGTTAACAATTAATTTTGCTGAACAACTATTAATTACTACAAAACTAAATGTTAATAATTAATTTTGCTGAAAAGTGATCCGATACTGACATTGGTTCAACAATATAATCTGGGTTCTATGACAAGTGATCTGATACCAGCTGACAGAAAAACAAATTAGCAAGCTTTTTCTTTGCTTAATCAATTCATTAAAATAGGAATTAGCTCATCTATCTAAATCTTTCATCTCGTCAAGGCTTTGTAATTTTGTCACATTACCCCAACCATCTTTAGGTTTCAAGCTGACCAGTGACCTAAAAAGAAATCAAATCCAAGACTCATTCTAAAAATAAAAATAAAAGTTCAATTAGGCTCTTCTATAGAAAAGCACAAAATAAACCGTAGTGAACAATATCATCTAAATTGCTTTGCTATTAAGTAAAAAAACACCATGTTTAAAATACTATTTGAACTAATTAAACTTTATTTTTCGAGTCTAATTTTTGTAGGGTAAATTTAACATGTTTTACCAATTAAAACTTAAAATGGTCAATAAAAATCTCTAACTGCCTCTTGTTTGTGATACTACTAATATGGAGTTCCAAAACAGTAATTTTTTTACAAGGATATGCAAAAGTCTGTTAGTCAGAGTACTTGCTTTGTAATAATGGATTCTAGATAACAAGCATGGTGAATTTCATGTAACAAATCCATTCTCTGTTTTTCACACCAGAAAAACCACAAAAAGACAGAAATCCATTCCCTTATCAGCTTGTTCTGCCAAGCATCTGTTTTAATTTGGAAAAGAAACATGTTTACATGGGAAATTGAAATTTCATGTACTTGTTTGTTTGGCCAAAAACAAAAAACAGAAAAATGCCTTCAAAATCAAATTATACTAACTAGAAGCTCTGCAACACAGGCCTCTTTCCAAGCCTCTTGATCTCTCTATCCATTTGGCCAGTAAGCATGAAACCAAACATCTTAAAATCACATAACAGAGACCAAAATGGATGCCCAAAAGTTGCAGGAACATTCCTTTCCACAAAGAAATGGCTATACCAAGCAAAACCATACCCAAACAAAGGCACCAAAAACAAAACCCACCAATTGAAAAAAACAGAGTATATCAAACAGAGAATACTTGTAAGTGTACCCACAAAATGCCAACGCCTTGTCCATGGCTTTGAGTGTTGTGTCACATAAAAAGGCCAAAATTCTTCTAAGCTCCTGAAATTCATATCTTCTGAATAAACCCAAAAAAAAAAAAAAAAAAAAAAAAAAAAAATAACCCCAAAAAAAAAAAAAAAAAAAAAAAAAAAAAAAAAAAAAAGAATACCCAATTCAACTAAGCGCCGAAATTCTATCTGGAAAAAAAAAAAAAAAAAAAAAAAAAAAAAAGGAAATACCCAATTCAACTAAGCCGAAATTCTATCTGGGTCGTGTTTGGGTAGAAAGAAAAAAAGGATTTAGGGCTTGTAAGATTATGGGTAAGCTTCAAAAAGAGGCTTCAATAGTGATTGGAAAAAGAAAGAGCAGAGATTGTGCGGCTAGGGTTGACTGTAAATTTTTGGAGAAAAAAAAAATTTTGAAGGCTAATAAAGTGGATTGGATTGTTTCAATTCAAGTGGCGATGTAGTATTAGAGAGTAATGGGCAGTCGCTGTTTTTGATGTAGTTTAGGATCCAACAAGAAGTAAAACTTAAGGTGAATCGTTGCTGTCTTCTCCTCTCCTTGTTTTAACGGAGAAACCAAAGTTGGTTTGGTGTCTTGTGCAAGAATTACGTTTATTAATAATTTAGTCATTTTGTTTACATGTCACTTTGAGAATATTTTAGTAATTAATTTTACACGTTTCAAGCTTCCAAATTCTCTGCTTATTGTTTGGCAGGTTCCAATTCCAGCAATAGGCCTTAAAAAGAAAATAATAATTAAAGAGATTCGATGGATACCAAATGAACTGTATTTTTCAAATTAGTTTTTAATTATTCAAATAATGTATTTTTTATTTTTTTTAATCACATTTACAGTAATTTTAATATTTTGATATTTACTAATCCATGAGATGAGATTATTATATTGTTAAGTTGAGGAAAAACTCAAAATTTATCAAGTCGTTAGTTTTTTTATAAAATTTTTTAAATTATATAGTATTTATTAATGACTCTAACATCTTATAAATTCTATGTTTTCCATTTAACTAATAAATATTATTATTATTATCTTTTTTTAATACTTGCACCAGGTATTTCGAAGGCAAATGGGCTAGTTCAGGAGAGTTTACGTTGTGGAAAATCGAACTCATAACATAAATCATGGTGATTAACTCCGTAAATATTCTTTATCATTAAGTTACCCCTATTCGGTTTTAAAAATTATTATTATTGATAATAATTGAATTAAATATGCAAATAACGTACTCCCTCTGTTCTCTTACTTTAGAGAAAACAGAAAAAACTCTTGGTAAGAAATTAGTTAAACATAACTTTGCCCATAATACCTCTAATGAGCTTTAAATACATAATTAATGGTGAGGAAGTCAACTCATTACTATAGTATTTTAAAAGTGCATTTATTAGTTAAAATCTTTGAGGATTGCAAAGTCTCCTTAAATTCAAATTCAGTATATTTACATTGTTTTCAAAATTAGGGTTCTAGTAAGCAAAAAGTTGTCCTCATACATGACGAACTCATCTTCTTCATACGCTAAGTCCAAAAAGAAGGGCATTCGCTATGATGAAAATTTGTGCCCATATTAATAAGGCGCAGTGTCGATTTAAAGGCAATTTTTAAAGGCACGATACAATGATACAAATTTGTGACCGTATTATGAAAACTTTTCAAGAAAAATAGACACAGTCATGTCCACATGTATAAAGTTGAGCTTACTTCTATATAAAGCGTATAGAAATGGTCCACGAAAGGTTTCAATTCAATTTGTTCGATAAATTTTAAATTTGTGTCCAGATTAATGAGGTGTAACATTGACATAAAGACTTTTTTTTAAAGTAGGGTGCAACAATAAAATGTGTGGCTATATTTTGATTAAGCATTCTGTTTATTCGAATATTTAGTCTAAATGAAGACTAAAATATCCCTAATTAGCATTAAACACACACTTAATGGCGATGAAGCCATGTCACCCATGTATTGTTTCAAGAATGCATTTATTAGCAAGATTGTGGCCCAAAAAAAGGAAGAAAGTCGATATTTTTGGTGCTAATTTCTCTAAAATTTCAAACTTTCCAAAATCAAAATTTTAACATTTGGAGCTTAAGTTTCCCTTAAATAATCAAATTGGTGGACGTTTTATGCTATTTGTGCATATTTACATAATTTTTGGAGCCAAAAGTTTTAAGAAATCCAAGAGTTTCCTCAACTTCTATAATATGGATAAATATAAATATCCATACAAATTAGAACATCAGTAAATATAATTACTCAGTTGTTTTCGAAAAATCTACCACGACTAAGAAGGGAATCATGGCTTCTATCATTATGAACTCACCTTCTTCAATTAATCTCAATGAAATTCCTATAGACTCTTCCACAGTTTCTGAAGAAATAACCACTATTTTACAACCGTCAGACTTGAACTTCATGCCAGATGAAGAAGGCATTATGCTTGTTCCTAACTTGAGCCAATCCCAAATTGATGTTCTAATCAACAATAACAAAGAAAACAAGAGAAAAAACATATCTGATGATGTATTGTAAGCACAATTCTTTCGACTGAGAAAGAAGGGATCTTAAATGCACAGAGTTATGAAAAAGTTGCAGCCACATTTAACATTTATGTTAAGATAGTATACAAAATATGGGGAAACGCAAGGTTTCATCTTGAGAAATTACAATGGCATGAAACGTCCTTGGAATAGGGGTATAAAACGAGTTGAAATACTTGCAGAAAGGATAAAAAGAAATTACACTTAGACATTGAATGACAATTCGATCTCTAGCTGCTGAACTGGGTGCATCTATTTCATGTGTGCATAAAAAGATTAAAAATGGGGACATAAGACCTCACTCTAATGCAATAAAGCCTCTGTTGATAGATGAAAATAAAATTGCAAGAATTCATTTTTGTCTGTCAACGATCAAACCAGGTACAGTAAATTGAAAACCATCTTTCAATAATATGCATGATTTAATCTACATTGATGAGAAGTGGTTCTACATATGTAAAGAAACACAAAAATTTTATTTAGCTATAGATGAAGAGGAACTTTTGAGAAAATGCAAAAGCAAAAGGTTCATCCCGAAAATAATGTTCCTTGCTACTATTGCATGCCCTAGGTTCGATGTTAATTCAAATCTCTTATTCGATGGCAAGATTGGTATATGACCGATTTTTGACAGTGTACCAGCTAAAAGGAACAGTAAGAATCGCTCAACTGATACTATCGAAATGAAGCCCTTAATGTCAATAATATTAGATGTAATTCGTGACATTCTCATTCATAAACTTTTGCCTGCAATAAAAGAAAAATGGTCGCAGAATGGTGGTCCAGCCACTATTTTCATACAGTAGAATAATGCTAAGCCACATATAGAAGTTGGTGATATTGAATTTGCATAGGTCGCAACTGACCTAGGATTGGAAATCAGTTTATTATGTCAGCCACTAAACTGTCCAGATTTGAATGTTCTTGACCTTGGATTTTTTAGGGCTATAGATTCAATTAAACATGGAGAGGCTCCAAGCACCATTAGTGACCTTATTGCTGCTGTTTTGAAAACATATGATTTGTTTCCACCATTTTCAATGAATAAGGTGTTTAACTTTGCAAACTTGCATGGTTGACATTCTCAAGTGTTTTGGTGGCAACCATAATCGGATAAAGTACATGTCCAAGGATAGATTGTTAAGGAATGACACTCTACCAACAATAATTGAGATTGACCCACAGATTGTTAAAGATGTAGCTATAAGTGTCAACCAACCAATTGTAAGAGAATTTGAAGATTAAACCCTGTTTTTAATTTAAAAAGTGCAGTATTATGTGAATATGTTGGAACTTTAATTTTGATGAATGATCTCAATTATATGTTCTTTTTTCTGAGGACACTATCATAGTACCATTTTAGTTATAAAATGTGCTCATTTTATTGATTAGTCTTATTGCACATTTTTTATTTTATGCGCAATTTATAATTTACGGTATAAAAAATTTAGCTCAAGTGTACTAAATTTCATGCTTAGGTTGACTTAATTTGTTTGGATAGTAAAGTGAAGTTTTTCCAAAATACCGTGCAATGCTTACTATTTTTCTAGCAATAGATTTGGGTACATGAGAGTGAAATAGGCACAATTGGAACAAATTGTTGCCAGTAGTTACGAATAACATAGGGAACCATTTTTTAAAATGGGAAACACATTAAACTAAATCCTCGCGAAAAAGTCAGAATTCAAAAGTAAACACAAAAAAAACCAATTTACTAAAATAGTGAACATTTGCGTCCTATATGCTCACAACCATAACATAATTTGATTACAGCTATATCTAAATGTGCACAATACAACACAAGTGTGCACAATATATGTTTTAAAACAAACAAATGACATCATAATTAAAATGTTCCCAACAATACATTAGTAAAGTTTGAAAACAAATGAAATAGACAACATAAAGATTTAAAAACTAAACCATATCTTCATTATTAAAATTCTTGTCAAGAAATGCATCGATACTAACAAGTGTGTCATGCACAATCTGATATGCATCAACATTAGAAACTTCCAACTGGTCACTTGTGAAGGGATCCTACGAGTCTTCATACTTGTCACTTGCAAATGGCATTTGTGAGGGAGGCTGCATCTCATCATTATCATGCTCAGCTTCCTTCTCTTGTGAGGGAGGTTGGGTTTCGTCATCATCATGCTGATCATCCTTGTTTTCCTCACTACCATCACCTCCTTTCTTGCTGTGATCATCACCATCATTTTGTTGGTCACTATTCTTATCTTCTGGCAAAGTTGCATATGCATTTTTGGGCACAACAGTCTTTGCATTCATAGCATGATTGGGCACAAGTTCACCATCCTCACCCTATTTTTCCGATATCTAGTCACTGTTTTCTTCATTATGCACACGTAGATATGCATCTGGAATCTCAGAATAGGGGCCAGTTGAGTGGACAAAGTGTCTAATGCTTGCCATAGCTATTGTCAGTTCTTCAATATGCGCACAATTTTTATCAACCTTTTGCAACTAAACTATAGAGCAGAGAATTCATTTCCTCGACTTTTTTCAGAATTTCCAAGTTTATATCAACATTTAAGGATACGCTTACAGCCCTCTTTGGAACATTTG